GGCCCGAGAGTCTTCCACTAGCGTTATTCAGTGTAAGGTACACTCCCAGAGGAAAATACAGTTTGTCACCTTATGAGATTTTGTTTGGTACAGCACCCAGGTTAGGTTGCTACTTTCCCCAACAGCTTCAGATTCAGTCAGACGCCATGGTAGACTATGTGACTGCCCTTTCACATGCCTTGACCAAGATACATGCCCAAGTGTTTTCTTCTATTCCAGATCCTGAGTCGAATACAGGTACACACAAGCTGCTTCCAGGTGATTGGGTTATGGTTAAGAAGTTCCTCAGGAAACACACCCTAGAACCGAGATTTGATGGTCCTTATCAAGTGCTCCTGATTACAGCAACGTCAGTTAAACTAGCTGGAAAAAGTTCCTGGATACACGCTTCACATTGCAAAAAAGTGCCTGCTCCAGAAGAAGCTGATCTTGTTGAAACATGAATTTATTATGTGTCTCGTGTTTTCTTATATTGTTGCATTTTGCCTGGGCCCAACAAGTGGCCATAACCAAAGATAATCATGTTTACACTTTCTGGTACAATTCTTCTGATACTGATGTAGCTACATACACCTTTGATTACTGTGACATAGTTACCTGTACATTCCCACAGACACAACATGCAGCCATATACAAGGACATACCTAACAAAAAGGACCCATACATTTGTGTGACTGGAGGAGCTTGGGGACACCACTGTAGTTCATGGAAAGCTGCGGGTGGAATACAGGTAGACCATGGGGCTACAGACCTCAGGTTGCACTAGACAGACTTGACAAAGACGGGAAGCCCCTACTTTCTAGAATGACTCTTAGTAAACCCACAGGGTCAACTCCCATTAAACTTACCTTGAATATAGAACACCCTAGTCCAAGGGACGCGGGGGAATATGTGATGGGGATGTACTGGAAGGGAGGTGGCTCACACAATGCACTGGGGACATTCTACCTACAAGACATGCTCACCTCCCCAGACTGGGTGGGGACCACTCACATGATCGTTAACCCATTAAAACCACATATTAAGACCCTACATGACATGGTAGCTATAGCCAACCCCACCTTTGAAGACACTATGGCAGTGGAAACTGGTTTTTCAGACACTAATTTATGGCTAGAATGGATGAGGTATAATGCCAACTCACACAATAAGACCAATTGTTACGTGTGTGGGGGAGCCAGGCCCCATCTGGGCACAGAATTTGCCTCCTGAAGTAGAATCATGTGTTCTGAGCCTTTACACACAGTCCGTCACCAATTCCTCGACATGTGAATCGTGGAAGAGAATTTACCCGATCACTCACGGACATGTAAAACCACCTGATGGAGTCACCATCTACCCAGGTAATTACACATGTTATACAATATCTAAAAACACCGGTTTGTATCTGGGCAAATTCCCATCAGGATATTGCTCAACTTACCATAATCCACCCGTATCACTGCTAATGAACCACACAAAGACAATCGGCGATATCTATTGGTTATGTGGGGATAAACAATTGAGGTCCCAATTAATTGGGCAATGGTGGGGGGAGTGTGCCCTAATTAAAGTCATAATGCCTATCCATATCATTCCAGATGGTGACCATAACACGTTAAACCTCACACATGTACACTCTAGAACCAAACGAGAGACTCCTATTCGAGGGAGTTTTGACCCCCATGTGTATATTGATGCCATAGGTGTGCCAAGGGGGGTGCCTAACGAATTCAAAGCAAGAGATGAAGTGGCTGCAGGATTTGAGTCCCTAATTCCAATGATAACTGTTAACAAAAATGTCAATTGGATTAACTATATTTACTATAATCAACAGCGTTTTGTCAACTACACTAGGGATGCCCTACAGGGCCTGGCAGAGCAACTACAAGCCACTACCCAAATGACATTTCAGAACAGAATGGCCCTAGATATGATTTTAGCTGAGAAAGGGGGTGTATGTAAAATCCTCCCTGAGACCATGACATGCTGCACATACATTCCAGACAACACTGGGCCCAATGGTAAGGTGACTATGGCCATAGAGAAGCTAGATAGTCTTGCAGACGAGCTAAAGAAAAATTCAGGAGTCATCGACACTTGGGACAGATGGTTTGGATGGATGAATGGTTGGCAAAGGACCCTCTTCCAGGTGGGGACAGCTGTTCTCATAATGATCGTCATTTTCTTATTTCTGACCTGTTGCATATTCCCCTGCATACAGAAGTATCTACAGAAAGCGGTGGACAAGACTATAGATGACGTGACCCCTACTTTCATACACCAAGACATCACAGACCTCGAAGATGATACTCCACATACACCCCTTCAATCACATCAGTTCAAACAAACAACTGCTTTCCTGTAGGGACAGTATAGGGAAAGCGTCTGTCTTAACTGGCGAGTCTCACGTGTGGAGATGTAGTGGACTAGCCACTGCGGGTTACCCGCGGAGTGAAGTGTTCGATGCTAGTTAAGGCAGATAGGTTGCAGGCAACTAGGGACATATTAGGGACAGTAGCAGTTGTTATGGTAAATAGCCATTTTAGGGGGGACTGTTGTGGAAATAAGGTCTACACATATTTCCTAGTTAGTGAAAAATGTCTATTTACTCATTTCACGATATATATATATATAGTCAAGCACACACGTTATAATTAAGATGGCTGCTAGAAGCTTCTTGCTCCTTTCCCCCCCCCCCTTCCCTTTCTCCTTCCTAACATCGACTAACTACCTCGTGCACCAAGATGGCGCCGGGAAACCGTGGGAGACCCTCATGGTCCCGGTGACATCACCTACAGTAGGCAGAACATTAGAGCAACCACTTAACACCTAACCAATAATTGATGTATTATTCCATGTTATCTCTGACAATGCTTATGATGTAATTTTGCTTTAAAAGGGACTTGCCGTCCCCTCTGAATAAACATTCCTCAAGTTATTCAACAACCTGGAACCTGTGTCTGATGTGAATTACTTCAGGGAGCGTGCACGCATTGTTTCATTGATTTGGCCAGGGGCAGATACACAAAGAAATAATCAATACTTTTAATTGATTTTTCCATTTCAACAGCCATGTTGCTCCATGCACAGGGCTCAAACACTGCCATGCTGTGGGCGGTGATGAGTCACGCTGTTATAAAGAGGTTGCACAACACAGCATTTTATAAATCCATAAACCTCGCAACATGTAACATCACAGCAAGCAAGTGTTGGAGATCCGTGCTGAAAGGGATTGGGCACGTATTGAAAAAGAGACAAATGAGCAGATGGAGGCAGGTAGGATCCTAATTTGAAGACTTTGTTTCTCAAAAATCTGAGAAACAGAATTTTAAGGAACAATTTCTCCTCCTAAAAGTAAAAAAACTTTTATTTTATTTAACCTTAAATTCCTTTTTCCTTAATATGGAGGCAGTATGATAGGGATGTGCTCTTCCCTGGGACAAGCATCTGAAAGAAATTAACGTAAAAAAGATCCTCCCCCATTGGTTATAAAGCACTAACCTTCCAAGATTCCACAGTTTGTAACAATAAAACACTAGAGACCTCTTACTGCAAAAAATGTATTTATTATCAAAATAAGGGGGGAAACTTGTACTGCCACCATATTAAGGAAAAATGAATTTACAGTAAATAAAATTAAAGTTTTTCCTAACATACGGTGGCAGTATGATAGGGATATATCGAGATCCCCAAAAAAACTATCTGGGCGGGAATTAGGCAACTATTGCTGAAAGCACCTTGAACCCGAAAGCTGCTTCAGAGGCAGAGAATATGTCTAGCATATAATTCTTCACAACGGTGTTGAAGGAAGACCATGCAGCAGCTCAGCAGATATGCTCTGGAAATTGCTTGAGCCTTTTCCGCCCACGAGGTAGCCATGGCTCTAGTTGAGTGCGCTTTTAACGATGAAGGCAAAGGTAATTTTGAGGAAGTGTAGGCCAATTTTATGGTATCTACTAGCCATCTAGCCAGACTAACCTTGGAAGCTGAGACCTTTGAATTGTCCAAAAAATTTTACAAAAATATAGTCTGATCTTCAGAAGCCAGATGAAAGATCAATATAAATTATTAGGGCTCTTCTAACATCTAGCATATGCCATGTCTTCTCAGGTTCAGAGGCTGACGGATTACCAAAGGAAGGCAGTACAATTGGATTATTAATAGCCCTAGATGTGATGACTTTCGGAAGAAAGGATGGTTTGGGATGTGGGACAGCTTTGTCTGGAAAAAAAATTGTGATTTCTGGAGAAGATGAAAGAGCGTGAATTTCACTGATTCTTTTAGCAGAAGTTATTGCTACTAAAAGGGCTTTTTTAAGAGACAAAAGCTTCAGGGAAATTTCATCCAAAGGTTCGAATGGTTCTTCACAAAGGGCCTTAAGAACAACTGAAAAATCCCATGAAGGAAAGACATTTCTCTTAGGAGGTCGGATGAGCTTTTATGGCTTTGAAGAATCTCTGAATCGAAACGTCTGAAGCCAAATTCTTGACCAGGAAAAGGCTAAGAGCGGAAAGGTGAACTTTGAGTGTAGATAACCCTGATCATTAATACCATCCTGCAGAAAATTCTAAATCGTATCTGTAGAAGGAGAACTACTTAGGCAATGATGATCCTTGCACCAGTGAAGAAATCTTGTCCAGATTATTAAATAAATGACCGAGGTAGATTTTCTGGTGGAATTAAGTAAAAACTGGCATCTTTCATCCTTAACACCTTTGTGATGTAAAATCAGCTGCATCATTCATATTGTCAATCTGAACACCTTCAAGCTTTCTAGGAAAATCCCTGTGTTCTCCAGGAGATTTGTTAATAGTGGAAGTTCCCAAGACCTGAAAGCCATTGTCCTCAAGTCCGAGAACCAACTTTGGTTTCGCCAGTATGGAACTACTGCCAGAACCAACGCCTTGTCTGTTCTTATTTTTTGTAGAATCCTCAGGATGAGGCTTACAGGAGGAAACACATAAGCAAGTTTGATGTCCCAATTGATCGATACACAAACCAGGACCATAGGAGAGTCTGCCTTGAAGAGGGAGGAAAATCTTACTACCTTTGCATTCTTTCTTCTTACCATAATGTCTATGACCGGCATCCCGAATTTCACCACAATCTGAGAAAATATCACAGGATTTAGGGACCATTCGTTCTGGGACCATCTTGATCTGCTAAGTTCGTCTGCTATAATGTTGTTTATACCACTTTTCTGAACAGCCAACAGATCCTCTAGATGATGTTGAGCCTGTGATGTAATTTTTGTGCAGAGTATCTGTAGTTTTCTTACCCTTGTATCTCCTTGTTTGTCGATGTATGCGACAGTAGTTTGGTTGTCGGATTGAATTCTTACCAACTTTCCCAGAATGAGGGATTTGAATTGAAGAAGGGCATAAAAAAAACTGTAATCAATTCTTTGAAATTGGATGACTCCTCTCTTTCTTCTACTGACCATATGCCTTATTCATATGGTACTGAAGATAAGCTCCCCATCCTAGATCTGATGCATCGGTGGCGATGATGATCCAATCCTTTGGTTGAAATGACAGACCTGAAGAAAGGATTTGAGCTTCTGTCCACCAGTAGAGTTGATTTTTTACAGGCTCTGAAATCTCTATTATGGAATCCAAATTATCTTTTTTTTGGACCATTGTGTCAGGATCTCCCACTGTAATAGTCTTGAGTCCGCTGTGGTCCATTTTATGGCTAGAATGGAAGAAGTGAGATGTCCCAGAACTTTCATATAGTGCAGCAACTTGTTTCTCTTAGAATATCTCTTATCTGATCTTTTTCTTCACAGGAGGTAGGTGGATCGAGATGTCTTTTGACTTGATAATAAAACCTAGAAATTGGATGGTCCTTGTGGGATGAACTTGTGACTTCTCTAGGTTGATGACCCAACCATGCTCCTTCTGGATACTGAGAGTGAATTTCCCATGTTCTACCAGAGCGTTTCTTGAGCTTGCCTTGACAAACTAGTCGTCTAAATAGGGAATGATTGTGATACCTTCTTCCCTCAAAAACATTTGTCGAATCAGTTCTTCTAATGGAGATCCGAATAACTTTTTTTTCCTTTCCAAAGGAAGTTCACAGAGAGCTGCCTTAGAGGCTTTATCGGCTGTCCAGGCTTTCAGCCATAGTGATCTACGGAGACAGATGTTAATCCCATAATACAAGCCGAGAGGTTTGTTACTTCTGTTGTTATATCTAGAAGGTAATCAGACAATTTTAGGTTTCTGAATAGGTGTACCATATCCTTATCTTGTTGATCCACTAGGCAATTTCTAATGCCTGAATCCAGTAGTACTGAGCTTTAGCTACTGAAGCTCCTGTCATTGCTGCTTTACATTGGAAACCTGCAGCTTGGTAAGCCCGTCTGCAAGAGGTTTCAGCCCTTTTATCCATTGGGCACTTCTCCAATTGGAATTGTTGTCTTTTTAGACAGTAGTGCTACTTGTACATCAACAACAGGCAATTCTTCCCATTTGTCTTCTCCTTGTAACTTGAATATTTGTTTGAAATGTCTGGAGATAAACACCCTCTTTTCTGGATTTTTCCATTCCCTATTCATGAATTCCAGAATATGTTACTGTCTTGGCATGGCCTTTTTATTGCCTTCCTCTGGCATATCCTCTGGCAAGGCGATATAAACTTCTTTGAAAAACCTTTTTAATTCCTCGTGTGGAAACCCAAATTCCATCAATGAGGAATCACTAGAAGTGTCTGAAAATTCAGATGTGGAGCATTCACCAGAAGACAACTCAGATTTAGAAGATAATCTCTTCAGTTTGTGTCTTTTAGAAGTTTTCACTGAGCTTGCTTTTGAAGTACGTGGACTTGCCTTTGAAGCTTCTTTAAATGATTCAAAGGTCTGAGCTAGGTTGTCCTTGAACAAAGATAAAAAAAGATTTCATGTCCTGTTGCTTAGATCTTTCCAGCGTTAGGTCGAACGTTAATTGCAGATTCTTTTCTTTGTGCCATCTGGTAGAGGCATAGAACATTCACTACATACACAAATGCTTAGTTTTATAAGTAGCTTTTTTGGGCACTGGAGCAGTCACTTTGTCCCGTTTGGGCACTGGAGAGTTCACTTTGTCCCGCTTGGGCACTGGAGAGTTCACTTTGTCCAGTTTGCGCACTGGAGCAGTCACTTTGTCCAGTTTGCGCACTGGAGCAGTCACTTTGTCCCATATTGTCAGGGCAGACAGGACCAGACATAGCTGTAAAAAAAAAAATCAAAAAAAAATCTACCTTTTAAATAAAAAAAAACAAAACAGATTTTAATGATTAGGACCAATAAATCTAATCTCTAAAACCTCTGACCCGTGTGGGGGTGCTGGTGACACGGGAGATCTGTTCTGAGTAGCCTCCCTGCTCTCAGTAGGACCTGCACAACTTTTTATAAGAACATTTGTTAAAAATTGGCGCCAAAAATCAGAAGTTCCGATCACGCATGCCCAGTTGCACAATCAGAACTTCGGTGGAACGCACAACCACCCGCTGTGCGCACGCGTCCCATTCGAGCAGTGATTGGCTGCCTCTAAGAACTGCACACTTGTTCCGCCGGTAGCCGCACTCGGCATAAAAAACAAGCAGCTCCTACCTGCTCTGTAATCCTGCAGGTTGGAGCAGGACCATGCAGCTCTCCACCCGGGAGGCTATCAGGTCAGTTCCCCCAGGAATCAACCTGTGTGCCTCACCAGTCTTCTAGTCTTCCGATGATCGTCCATTTCTTTTATACGTTAATTTCTTTCAGAGGCTTGTCCCAGGGAAGAGCACATCCCTATCGTACTGCCACCATATGTTAGGGAAAAAAAAGTCAAACACGTAACACGATTTATAGCCAGCTTTATGTGGTTTATTATAAAATATAAAAATTGATAACCAGGTGGCTTTTAATAAAAAAAAAAAAAAAAAAAAAAAAGAATTTACAGGAGGCCACTTGCTGCTCGAGTTGTGTGAATATTAATTATTTCCAGTTATATTTAGAATAAGTATTACAAGTAAAAAATCTATGGTGCTATTCATTTAACTGGGAACTATGGAGAACTACAAGGAATTACACATTTGAAACCCTAAATTTTAAGCAGGGAAAATTCTCCTATTTTGGTCAAATATATGACATTCCCAAAATAATTTCTTCAGCCTATGTAATTATATGTCTGTTTTTACACAAGCAGGTGTAAGGTCAGGAGCTTAACACTTTCCAAGGCTTATAGCGTATTTTAAATGCAGCCATTGGTTTAAAGTATATTTTAGTGACCGCAGACAGGTAAGAGTGGTAGAAAAGATATTATAGCTTTTAGCAGACTAAAGCCCTAGTTTTCAATGGAAGAAGTGAGGAACTAGATTTATTCATAGCAACAGATAGGATCATATTAAAAGAAACAGCAAGTAATGGATTGTTGCTATTTTTTTATTATGTTGATTGTTAAAGTAGAAATTTAAAGCACTTAAAATACGTAGTTGTGCCTATTGATTAAGCAGCTTAATGCATGTAACATATTATTTGCAGGCTTTCCCCATTGTGTCTGTCTGTTATTTGCTTATGATAATAATTGGTTATAAGAACAAATAGTATGTGCTAGGATTCACATTTTGTTTCAACAAAAAGGACTGTCAAATAAATGTCCCATATCGAAGGTAAGTAGATTCTTGCTGGAGCTCACCTATTCCACATACATAATTTATAAGCCAATCACAAAGACAAAGGAAATATGGGCTACACCTTTAAGAAAATATCCTAAGCAGTTTAAAACAAAATGTTAAAAGGACCCCATTCTTGATCTGGAGTCATAAAACATGCAGTAACCAGTACTTGCCAGGGCTTCCTCAGTAAATATCCCTGAAGGCCAATATCGCTAAACACCTTTTCTCTTGAAGAATCATGCACTTTTACCATTTAAAAAAAAAAAAAAAAAATTGAATGAACTGCGCTCCCTATTTGCTCAGAACCACCTCTTTCCAGTGCCAGTTGCTAACATAACAACTATGGATTGATAATGTTCTAAACAGAGCTAAATCATGAGTAAATGTACATCATAACAAAAATAAAATACCTATTGGTAACTAAAGTGCTGTGAATCTACATTGTTTTTCTCAACATCTGTAAATCCATTCAGCTACAACAATGCAGAAATCCATGATTAAAACAGGTCTCTGTCAAGCATGATGCACCTCCTCTACACAAGGATACTGCTATATCCATACAGACCATTAATTAGGCCAGAGGAAATATATTATATACATATATATAAAAAAGAATTTGCGCACTTGGATCAGGACCCAGGCAACTATTATTCTATAATTCCGGTAATGAGAGTGCCAAGTCTTCACACATTATATATTTATATTTACTGAAAGCATATTGACACTTTAAAGTTATACATTTTGCATAGACACCTATAAGAAATTTAACTTTTTTTTTTTTTATTGCTATAACATACTTGAGGTAGTTAATCAGTCAGAAATCGAAGGCCACAAATTAACGCAAACAAGTGCGTGTTATCAGTTCATGATAAAAACAATCCCTTCATAAATTGTTCATGACAACATGAAGCAGTATCCTAGGTATAAGGTAAAGTATTGGATAAATCCCCTCATAGATGGAAAGAAAGAGAACATAACATTGTAGAGAGCAATCACAATACTCACTACTTACTCTTCTAGTACTGAAACAGTTATTTGTAAGAATCACTGAAGCCCTTAACCAATGATATTCAGTTCTAAAATAAGTCAAGATCTTCTCTTTGTATGTGGACAAGTACTTGGCTTCTAGCCATGTGTACACAGGCTCATATACAATTAGAGAATGTGCGGACTGTCATGCCCTCTGATTGCTCCATTGCTTCTGTAACTATTGCCATGGTTCTCCTAGATTAACTAGCTGCTTGCACATACCTGGAAAGCAAAACAAATCGCAAACAGAAGAGAAAAACGGCAGCATTCTGTGGTCAACTTGTGGTTAGCCCAGTCCTACCTTGAGCTGGTTATTGAAAGAATCCATCTCCAGGAGCTTTGCAGAGGTCTCCTTCTCCAAAGCCTCCAGCTGCTCACGAAGACTTCTGCAAAGGCTGGTCTTTTCGGAGGTTTTCTTGTCAATACCCTGAAAACCCGTACTGGAATTATCTAAAAGAAAATCGATTTAGATAAGTTGGTTTGATATTTAATGTTTTTTTTTTTTTATTGTAGAATCAATGCTGTATCAGTTCTATACGATTTTTTTTGCCCTGAAATAATTATTCTGTGTAAGATTTGGACACGTTAAAATACTGTGCAATAAAGGTGAATACATAGCACGCCAACTCTATAAATTGTGTCATAGCAACCTCATAAGAAAAGAAAAAAATATATACCTCATATATATTTTACATTTTTGAGTTTTTTATTTTATTTTTTATTATTAGTTATTTGGTGAACGGTTACAAGACAGGAAATGTTATATCTTTCAAAGATTTTAATCTTAATAAAATCAGTCAGCCTGTGCAAAAGAAAAGAAAATAATGTCCAGTCCTGTATCACAACTATACATCAAAGGACGTTTATGTTATCATTTCCCCAGGAAAGAGCACACAGGAAGGTAGTGGTCATGAACCTAGAGAAGCACTTGAATTAACGCAAGCATTACAGCCAGCAGTAGTGGTCATGATGTCTAGAGTGTCCTAGTACCACAAGACAGTTTAATAGAAAATGTTAAGGAATGGTTTGACATAAACTAGGCTCTTTCCAGTTCCTGCAGTTCACACGCTCCTTGGTTAGATTGATAAGTGTTAATTCATGATTATTAACACCGTTTAGGAAAGGGGGCCCCTGGGGGCTGAAGTGCCTTGGTTTATGTCAAGCTTCCTAAATGGTTGACATTAAACTGAGGGAATGACGCCAGAATACTCTAACCGAGCTGTAGCGCTTATATTGTTTAGTGTCTCTTAAAATCAGAATATTTGTTCTAAATTTAGCTATATTCAAAAACTGAGCAGAACAAGAATCGTGGAAAACCAGACAGCTGCAAAGAGCAAAATAAAAGGACCTTAATTTAAACAGTGTATAACCTCATATTTTGGTAGTAGAATTACATGTAAAGAATTCTTGGATACACTAACCTTAAAACATCACCATGCAAATCTAGATACAAACTAGCTGCCAGGGGAAGTGTACTCAATTCACAGAGAGAATAAAGGCGCTTTACATCCCTGCATAAAGTAATCAATGGAGAGCGATACGCCAATATATATAGCAAATAATGGCGTTACAACCATGCCTGATATGGAGAGTTAGAGTGCTTCACAAAGGAAGGAATTAAACTGACACTCCACAGTCCAAATACAAATAAAGAAATAAAAATAAAAAAATCACTATTTAGTGGATATACTCCAAATGTAAACATGCATGCCTTTTTCATTGGCAGTATATCTAAAAATAGTTTGCCAAATAGCAGTTCTCTTGTACGTAGCTTTTGCAAGCCCTACTCTTCTAACCTCACCCAGACCTTCAGTGGTTGTCCAATCACAGACTTCCCAATCCAGCTCAATTAGAAGCCTTTGCAAGGCAGGTGCGCTTGGCAATTGATGCATCTTGACAACCAGGAAGTAAAAGAACCTGTTGTCCAATTGGTAGTGGGGGGAGGGGAAGGGGGTAAGAAGGTTAATTTATAAAAGTGCCAATATCTAATGAAACCTGCACTTTTTGTAAAATGAAAATACTCCTCACACAAAGCACTCCAGCAACCTAAGTTACTTTAAATGTTTGGAGGGTTCCTTTAAGGTAGAGGATTCATAGATTCCATACAGCCATAACATTTTTGTATTGAGATTTTTTTTTAATCCACAAAACTTCATCACTGCCTGCATTATTTAAGGTACAGAAAGGAAACTGCTAATATTTGATAATATATGTCCTTTTAATGCTCTATGGCGCAGTGTGAAAGATGGGGAAATAACTTTAAGAGGAACAACTGGAAATAGCAGGATTATAGTATTTAATATGTTCTGTGTATCATGTAATATATATGTAACGGTTTCCAAAATGTCTGTTTCACCACGTTTCTGAATCTTTTAGGCATCTCCAGCATTGTACTGGTACTGCCAATTCTAGAAAGTTTATGTAGGATGAGGTGCCAGTGGAATAACATGATCTTGTGGGCCTCGATTATGCTATGTAAGCAAGCATGTTCCTGGCGGGCGTTTATGATTTGCGATCATTCTTGGTTAGAGATTGATACTTTTAAGTCCTTTTCCCATGCTAAGTAATAAGGGGTTTTTCCTATAGTTGGGCTGATATGCAATGGCTAGGTACAAGAGGATGAGTTGACTGCAATTTTAACATATAACATGCCTTGGTTTGTTTTTTTTGCCATGGGATAAAGTATCTGAAAATATGTACTTGCAGAAAAAATAATGCTCCTGTTGCAATTCACAAAGTCATAGTTCGTGGATAAAATGTAATTGATCTATAACTCAGCTTGTAAAGTTACCGGGAGGGGGCTATAATTTTCAAATAGGTATTGTGTTATTTTCAGAGTTATTGGTCACGGGTAGTAAATGCTAAAGCACGTTATCCCACATATGCAATATTCGGCCTACGGTAGAGAGTAGGTATGTTTTGGCTCTAGGGATCCAGAATAGAGCAGAGAGCACAGTGACAGACAGGTATACCTTCTATGTGCTCTTCCGGTTTGTTGTAACCATGGCTTTGGAGGTTTATTACGTATGGGAATAATGCAGCTTTGTGGTATAATCCCATATTAAGGACTCCAAATTTACCCAGTCTAATTGGAATCTGCAGGAAGGTATTCATTTTTAGAGACGAATACATTATAAAATATAATATATTTCTCCTGCATGATTTTTACTGGTAACATCCTGTAAAATGAAAGGAAACAACATATTCCTGCTAAATTATTTTATTGAGAAATAAATCAATATTTAATTGAAATTCATGAATGACGAGAGGGTGTTTTACAAAAGATCGTATAGCTGATCTTCACAGCCCTCTACAGTGCAGCTATGACTCACGTTATGGTTTTATCGAATATAGTTCAGTGACTTCCGATTTTACAACAAAATATTATCCATCCCCCTTATGTACTGCAACCCCAAGTCATTCAGTCTATTCTGATCGACCCTCTGCATAGGTTATTAGTTTAATGGCTGCTTAAACAGTCTAATAGCAATGTGCTATTTTCACATGTATTAAGGCAGTTTTGCCTGTATTTGTGGGAGGGGCTTAAATTAATTCACTCCCCTATATAAGGGACACCCCTTACCTGACTCATATCGCTTGAGGTCAGCATCAGAATGATTTCCACTTCCGGGTCATCCAGATGCCATTTTACCTGATTACTCCATGAGGTTTTCTAAGCAGAGCTGTGTCAGGAATCCAGCCACAGGCTTTTCCGGCCTACCACCTTCTTTCTTCAATCCATCGCCGTGGATGGTGTCCAAGTGACTCACAAACAGTAAGTCGACCTACCCGTTACGCCAGGCATCAGTCCCACGGCACCATGCACGGGTCAGGTCCTCACTTTACAGCTGCATTTTGTCTATGTCTGTTCTAAAACCATTGCATGTTCATGCATATCATTCGCTTAAACCCCCTACCGGTCTTTGGGTGTACTACAGGCTTCTTAGACATTATTGCATTTCATGTACAAACCAACGAACCACTGCATTTTCGCCTACACACTGACCCCTACCGGTCATTCGGTGTACTACCGGCTTCTCAGACATTATTGCATTTCATGTAAAAACCAACCAAACACCGCATTTTCACCTACACACTGACCCCTATCGGTCATTCGGTGTACTACAGGCATCTTAGACGTTTTTTGCATTTTCATGTACAAACCAATAAACCACCTCATTTTCACCTACACACTGACCCCTACCGGTTTTTGGTGTACTACAGGCTTCTTAGACATTATCGCATTTCATGTACAAATAAACGAATCACTGCATTTGCACCTACACACTGACCCCTACTGGTCATTTGGTGTACTACAGGCTTCTCAGACATTATTGCATTTCATGTACAAATCAACGAATCACTGCATTTGCGCCTACACACTGACCCCTACTGGTCATTTAGTGTACTACAGGCTTCTTAGATATTATCGCATTTCATGTACAAATCAACGAACCACTGCATTTGCGCCTACACACTGACCCCTACCGGTCATTCGGTGTACTACGGGCTTCTCAGACATTATTGCATTTCATGTATAAACCAACAAACCACTGCATTTTTCACCTACACACTGACCCCTATCAGTCATTCGGTGTACTACAGGCTTCTTAGACGTTTTTGCTTTTCATGTACAAAACCATAAACCACTGCATTTTCACCTACACACTGACCCTTACTAGTCATTCAGTGTACTACAGGCTTCTCAGACATTATTGCATTTCATGTACAAACCAACGAACCACTGCATTTGCGCCTACACACTGACCCCTACAGGTCATTCAGTGTACTACAGGCTTCTCAGACATTATTGCATTTCATGTACAAACCAACGAACCACTGCATTTGCGCCTACACACTGACCCCTACAGGTCATTCAGTGTACTACAGGCTTCTCAGACATTATTGCATTTCATGTACAAACCAACGAACCACTGCATTTGCGCCTACACACTGACCCCTACAGGTCATTCAGTGTACTACAGGCTTCTCAGACATTATTGCATTTCATGTACAAACCAACTAACCACGGCATTTTCGCCTACATGCTGACCCCTACCGGTCAATCAGTATACTACAGGCTTCTCAGATTTTATTCCACTTCATAAGCAAACAAACTAACTACAGCATTTTCGCTTTTATACTGACTCCTATCTGTCAAATGGTAGCATTAACCCCTTAAGGACACATGACATGTGTGACGTGTAATGATCCCCTTTTATTCCAGAAGTTTGGTCCTTAAGGGGTTAAAGGGTATTTTAACATACAATCAGCATTTCTGACCCCTACTGGTCAACAGCAAAACTGTCTTCACATGTCATATACAATTTACCAGCCAATATAAATTACACATAAGATTGTTTTAAACATAACTATAGACCATAAATTAAACTCCAGCACGGGCTCAACTTCAGGTTTAATTCACAATAATTTACATTTCACATCAAGACCAACAGTGGTTCTATCAACACTGCCACCTACAGGTCTGTCAAGTACATTGACAATTTTCATGGGGTTTTACAAACACCAAAACACTGACACCTATAGGTCAACAGACAAACAACATTTCACATACCAATCAGTATCCAACTACACTGCCACCTATAGGGCACTCGGCAGATCTCCAGTGCACTTGCATTTTGCAACACCATGTTCACTGACCCCTACCATTCAATAAGACATACAACAATTCACATAGCAAGCACTATATCAACATCTGGTATAAATACATATATTATTACACAGTAGCAGATGCATCTGTATATATGTAACTGGTAATATAGTTCACATACATTTTTCACAGCACGCTGCTCCCGCAACAGACTTCCCCTAGCAAGGGGACATACAACATACAAGGTGGGGACAGACCACATTTTCACTTGTACATACAGCACTTAATGGGTTAAGATTGATACATATTTAACCAGTATGGCTACGATGTTTAATATTTACACATCACGTCACTTTACTTTTCACATATACTGTACGTATTAAGATAAGCTTGGTCTATGCCATATTTCCTTATGCCATACGGATTTATCCATTCAGGTTACAGTTACTACTAAAAAACCTATACGGATTGTCAGGTTCAATACCATACTACCAGGCACATACACCTGCTCACGTAGTTATCCATCTCTTACCGTCCCTGGAATAGTAATAGTGTACTGGCAATTAGGGTTCTAGGGCCCAATAGGTATTACCCCCTTTTTTCTCTGCATTATGCTTCGGTTAGTGGTCCCGCGAGGCCAACACCCCGCCTCACACTCGGAGGCATACACCCCTCGGGCCACTCGTGAGCTAGTCGCCTCGCATTGTATCATAGAGAGGACCTCACCTGTCACTCCCCTTCCTATTTTCTGGTTACTGTCACCGAGAGGCCAACATCCTGCCACAACGTTCGGTGGCCACACAAAATCCCCTCGCGCCAAGCATAGATAGAGCCTCTCAAGCCACTTGGCAACTAGCAGGGCCTCACCAGTCACCAAAAAACACCAAGCCTAATCGTTTCGCCTTACGGCTTAGCTAGCAAGCCAGTACAAGAACCCTGGGTACAAATAATAATTGCAATCTTTATTGTTATTTAAGTATTTCTCAAAAAGATGGTGAAGAATCACCTCTTCCTAGCACCCCGGCTAGAATTGATACACCTTCAAGCAGAGGAGATGTTGCTAGTCCAGCAGCAATCAGATCCTGGACGATCCCACACATTACCACCGACCTAAGGTGGTGACAAATCCCCTACCCTGCTACAGCAAGGAAAGCAGTTATTCAAACTCCTCCATACATCAACGGACAACACGGAGGCAGGGGAAGGCCCAGCTACATCAACTCCGGTGACACCCAGGCTATGCTAGCTACACTCATAAACTCATGAGCCAAAAAATTTATGACAGACTGGCAATCTCGAGTTGGTCACCACAGCCCTCACAAGGCTGGGCCTCGCGCTACTGTACATCCAGCACCAACCGAAACTCGGTTACCTGGTACAATCAATTCTTATGACACACAAGATGTTAAACCTGCACGTATGATCCCAGCACATTGGGGAAGCAAGGCATATATATGTATGATGATGTATCTGTGATGGTTAGATCCAGGGATTCCAGGTAAATCGGGAACTGACCATCCCTTGGTTGGGTTGGCATTTGGAATATGTGGAGATGTTTATTTGTGCAGGTACCCATACAGAAGGGATTTTGTCCCAAACAAATGGACGAGCACTCTCAGGCTCCAGGTACCAGCACCTCTGAACTACCAGAGACCACTGATATGAGTAGTTGCATTGCATACAGACTGTTGCACTATGTTCAAATAGTTCAGGGCACATGACAAACCATGTGTCCCAATACAACTTACAAATAACGTATTCACCATCTGTACACACCAATGCATTTTCAACACTACTGACTCATCACCCTTCCAGACTTGTAGTAGATTTATTAAAGCTCTGGAGCTTCAAAGGGCTCCCATACAGGTATCATAAACACAACTTCAAGGAATATAGCATGCCCTCACTTACAGTCAGCACAACAAAACCATTGGCTGTAAACACACTCATAGCCAAGATTTGCAGAGGGGTCTTCCAATCTCCACCATTTACAGCATGGCACCAAACAGACACATTGGTATTGTCACATGGAATCTTCCCTTAAACAAAGACTAACCATGGACTTATTGGTAACACACACCTCCGCTACCCCAAGTTTCAACTCCCTCATACCCTCCGAGGATTTTTCTTACTATACAACACCATTGATCTACCTTTACAGCTATCACTCAAGCATGGGTTGAAGCTTGATTAAGTAAGACCAATATCATCAACGCAGTAAACGGCTACCATCTACCCTACACACTGGCACTTACATGGCATAAATTGGGCAATCCTTTCCCCGCTCAACTTTCGAGCTACAGATTAGCCTACTATCGATATTCGCAGATACTCTGTGCTGGTTATGATAACATATCCAGAGGCCTTACAGTCATACACTATCTAGAAGACTTCTTGTTAATCAAAGAAAGCATATTTTTCACTAGAAGCCTCACGGCAGCTTAGTCTGGTTGACCACTTGGGCGTCCCAGTACCCCATAAGAAACAGAAGGCCCAGACACTATCTTCACATTACTGGGCATATGACTTGAGTCGGCATCCATACACGCAAGTTACCACAAGACAAATAGGGAACATTCTCAACTACATCAATCACTACCTCCTGCTTAGTACTTACAACTGCAAGGAACTACGATCCCTACCAGGTTCCTTAATTTTGCCATGCTTTCACATCCAGAGTACTTTCCCCTTTTTTCCACACTTCCAACATGACGATCAGAGGAGGTGCCTAGACACCTCAGCAACAGCAGACCTGCACATGGGGGGGGGGGATTTCTTAACCACTTGGCATGGTAAAAGCATGTTCCTTCCAGGATTGTCTGACACTTCTCCAACCAGATGGTCAGACGCAGCGTATACCACGGGTTTGGCAGCGATCTACCGGGAACAATTGCTTTGGGGCTGTTGGCCATGGCATCCAGGTTTGGAAATTTTTCCACCACTTCAGCCCCTTTGGGAGATCTACCCCATTGTAGCAGCTGCTGTGGCATGGGGTAAATCATGGTCAGGGTCATCAATCCGTTGTTACTCAGACAACTAAGCACATATCATATCATCAACAAACGCCACTACTCATCCATAAGTTCATGATGTTTCTGGGGAACTCACTTGGTTGGCCACTTATCACATTTCACTTTCATGTACCAGACGGGGGTATACATCCCTGCCGACAACTGTCTCATTTATATTCCAGGCATGTTCATCATACGCTTCCTACAGCCGCCCATACAGTCACGTCCACTCTTTCGTTCCAGAGACAAAATCATGGATTAGACATACTCATGCAGCATAGCATGCACTATCCCACCTAGCACTTTCGTCCCATACTTGTAGAACGCATAACACAGCTTTTCACCTGGCTTAAAGAATCTCATTGGAACACGACATAGCTCAACCTGTGTCACAAAATTTCTCCTAAGTTTTGCTTATTTTTGCCACCTTAAACTTAAACTATCTCATACACCATTAATTATATATTTTACAGGCATTCAACAACACATGATAACCTATGGCCAAAACTACCATAAACTTCATGCTATCATACCAGAAAAGAATATACTCAGAGGTTTTCAGGAATCCATTCCCCCACGTTCCTCTCAGAGATTACCAATAGCCATCCAACTGTTCATCCTTATCGGACCTATTAGATCTACAACCATTCAATTATACTACCAAGTCGGCCATTACCAGCCATGCACATTGCCTTTTATGCCTTTCTCAGGCCAGAGAATCCACTACCATCACCACCACTCAGACAGATCATTGTCTTCAACGATCCCACGTACGTAAACACATATATCATTACCTATTGGCTCTACCACATTCCGAAATGAGTCAACATGCACCAACAGTAGAGATAACATACTATCCTACCCACAACAAATGGTGCCCACTTTCGGTCCTAGATTCCTACCTTCAAAATCCTTTCAGGAATTAAATACTGTAATGCATTTAAGGAAATGTCTGGTTAATTTGTATATATTTGTTGACTGTATTAAATCTTTGATTATTCATTTTTGCCCTCTTTATTTACAGGCCTACCGTATCGTCGGTATCGGCACACCACAACCGACTTGCTCCCTTTACACTATCCTAAGCTTATGCTGGATCCTTACTCCATATACGGCTATTTTGCCCCTTACACAAGTATTAAGGCAGTTTTGCCTGTATTTGTGGGAGGGGCTTAAATTAATTCACTCCCCTATATAAGGGACACCCCTTACCTGACTCATATCGCTTGAGGTCAGCATCAGAATGACCCTCCCACCCACTCCTCATTTCAACACTTTCTCTTTTCTTTCCATTTACTTTACTTTCTTACTCCTTGGTGGGCCCTCTTTATTTACAGGCCTACCGTATCGTCGGTATCGGCACACCACAACCGACTTGCTCCCTTTACACTATCCTAAGCTTATGCTGGATCCTTACTCCATATACGGCTATTTTGCCCCTTACACAAGTACTTTATGGGGCCATTCTATAATTGTTTCATTTTATTTTGTTTCAAACGGTTTAGTTGTATTCTAAATTTCCCAAACTAATATAGACAATTAAAACAAACAAAAACACAGCCACACAAACTGGTGAATGACCGGTGACACAAAAAACAGGCAACTGTAAACAATGATGCACATCTAGAGAGCAAAGAAGTTATGTCGGGATAATTTTCATCCACTTACCAGGTGAGCTGGTAAGCTGCATCTGTTTAATTTTCTCATTTAAAGCTTGCTTTTCAGGAACCAAGCCACTCAACTTGTTTTGATATTCCTAGAGGGGAAAAAAATAATAATCAGCTGTTGCACAGGCTTCCAAAATGACTGCAGGTAAATGGTATTCTACAGCGGGTGCAAAATGACTGTAGGTTAGTGGTACAGGTAAATGGCACTCTGACTGTGGAAGGCGGGTACTCTGCGGGTAGTGATGGTTTCTCGTTTAAAAGGAAGCATTAAACTAATTGTAACATTAGAGCAGTTTCTATATGACAGTTTCTTCTAGTTTATTTCCCCCTCAACCATGTTAAAGTACTTTTTGCCCACAGCTGACAACACTCCCCTTCAAACATTCCATGTACGGTGCTTCAAGCTGACAATACAAAACTTGGAATATTTGAAGGTTTACTATGCAATTTAGCTTTCTTAAAGGACCACTATAGTGCCAGGAAAACATACTCTTTTTCCTGGCACTATAGTGCCCTGAGGGTGCCCCCACCCTCAGGGTCCCCCTCCCGCCCGGCTCTGGAAGGGGGAAAGGGGTAATAACTTACCTTTTTCCAGCGCTGGGCGGGGAGCTCTCCTCCTCCTCCTCCTCTTCCCCCCCGGCTGAATGCGCACGCGCGGCAAGAGCTGCGCGCGCATTCAGCCCGTCGCATAGGAAAGCATTTACAATGCTTTCCTATGGACGCTGGCGTGCTCTCACTGTGAAAATCACAGTGAGAAGCACGCAAGCGCCTCTAGTGGCTGTCAATGAGACAGCCACTAGAGGATTAGGGGGAAGGCTTAACCCATTCATAATTATAGCAGTTTCTCTGAAACTGCTATAATTATGAAAAAATGGGTTAACCCTAGAAGGACCTGGCACCCAGACCACTTCATTAAGCTGAAGTGGTCTGGGTGCCTAGAGTGGTCATTTAAAGAGTCTTCTTTACACCAATTAACTTTTTTACTCTGAACTCCATGAGGACAAGGTATGGGATCATTCGTAAGGTATAAACAACCATTTGGGCATATTCATCAAAGAAATACTCTAGGCACTATTGCCACTTTATCATTGAAGAGGTATTGGTACTGGGAGTCTCCGGGCGCTGTGCATTCAATAGTAAATTGTTTTCGAATGGTTTAACATTGCATGAGCTTCTACTGCCAAGCGTAGACCTGACCTTGTGTTGGTATGGCAAAGGCAGAGATTACATTTCACTTTAGCCATACCAATTTATACTAGCAATGATCCAGGTTTTCAATGAATTAATCACTGGAGCATTCTTGATGGTAACTGAAAGAGAGAGTGCACACTAGATAAATATGGGAAAGTCAAACATAGTTGTTGAACATTGAACTCTCACCGTAGTTGGAGCCCAGAGCACTTGATTTGACTCTGAAACCCAATTTACAAGTCTACAATGCAACATAAAAACCAAGGATTAGGACATTAGCCAGAAAAGGACAAAGAAAATAGATGACAGATGATCACAGCACATTATAAAGATCAGTCCAACATTGTTTCATAGTTCTTCTTTGTACCTGAAGCTCCTGCTGAAGTTGTCTGATCTCCACAACACCAAGATCACATTTTCTATCCACGCTTTCCAACTCATTCTTCGACTTCTGTTTTCTGCCACGGACATCTTGGACTCTTGAAGAAATTTGATGATGTTTATCCTCCTAAAGGCCAAATTGATAGAGAAAAGACAATTTACAAGAAAGAAAACAAGATGTATGAACTTGATACAAAACAAATGAATAAAAACAAAGTTAAAAGTTGTGTTTACTTTCTTCCCCCCATAGAGTGTCAGCGATACGAAAGTGTTTGTATCTAAACCAACATTCTAATTAAAAAATATTTTTTAAAATGATATGAAATATATATTAAGCCTATCCATTTACTGCTTTAAATTACAGAGCACTTTGTCCAATCAGTTGCTTCTCATAGAGAAACATGGCACATATGCGGTAATCGATGCAAACTGTCAATCTAATGATTCTCAATGATAAGCATAGGATCCATTCAGAATCACTAATCTTTGCATGCTGGAGCCAGACTTCAAGTAGATTCAATAATTGGATATATTTTTGACAGGAGACCCTTGTAGCTGCTTATCTATAACACCAATGTTTTCAACATCAACAAAAAACATGAAGTGATGTTGGTGCTTAGACTGTCCCTTTAAGAAAGAGATAGATATAAACAAGAAAAAAAATGAAGAGGAATGATTTGGACTGTCAGTTTAAAACCAACCTGACCCTACAATACAGGTGAAACTAAATAATCTATATTAGTTACAATAAAATCTGATCAAAAGGAATACTACTATCTCCCAGATCTTGAAGTGATTGAAACTAAACAAAAATGAAATATGAATGATTTTCAATTGATTGTCAACAAGGTGTATATGACAAAAGTTAGTGTTGGGGTGTTCCATGTTTTTCCCCAGTGTTTCACTGGTTTAGGAGACAGTGGTCCGGTTTACTGCATTTTTAGATTATAAACCTAGAAAAAAAAAGGTTTGGTGACAACGCAAGCTTTTCTTTTAAAACTACTCCCTTTTACTTAAAGGCAAATTGACTTAAATATTATGAACTAGAGGGGATGTAAAATGTATTGCACCCAGTGCATTACACGTTCTCACCAGAGCTTCTAATTCCATCTGTAAACTTTTCTTCCTGGATTTGAGCTTCATAATCTCCTCCTGCTCCCTGTTCCTTTGATTGAAGAGCTCCTGCCGACGAATCCGTTCCAGCTCTTGTTGTCTCTGACGCTCCAGTTCTTGCTTTGCAGCCTGTGCAAGAATTCAGAAAATACTGTAATTGCAGTAGATCTTGCATCATCACGAGCTCATACATACATCTCCATTGTAACAGAGCAACAAACGATATACGTTACAGAAGCTGCAGTGTAAATTGTGGGATGCTTGAGTTCAAATGAAAACATACATTTTTGCCTCTTAAGGATTCATGGCACCTGATTAAAACTGTATAGATTTTTAGCGTGTTATTCAGCACAGCCTTTAATATTTTGCCCCAACTAAAAGATATTTGCAATCTCCTGCATCGCAATGACATTTATTTCAAGAATAAGGTACCCACCTGGAACAGATAAATGCAATATTATTTGCAGGTGTTTCATACTTCAGCATAAAAACACAAATATTTACAAGTTGTCCTCATATTTCGGCATAAAACCAAAACGCATTATAGACTTTCACGGGGGTCCAATAAAAGTGCAGTAACATCCGCTTTCCAAAAATCCAAGCACAAAGTCACATCTCATTGCCTGGTACACTTGTCAATAAATGCTTCTCTCACATGTTCTGTATACAGATTTCTTGTCATGATTAATACTGCATTTCCTAAGTATACTTGCATTATTGATACATAGTAACAGATCAGACCCCTGTGTGAGCCCTAAACAATGCAGTTGAAGTGCAGTATATTGTGCTTGTGGAGGACAATTGGTTGAATTAGTTCCACCACTGCTGTAAACTATACCTGAATAATAAACAAACGCTGCTTAAAAGACAATAACTTCAGTTTATGAAAGTAATGAGGAGATATTTAGGAAGCAGTAATAGTTAATTTTTTTGTATGAAACTCCAGGTATATGTCTTACCTCTCGCCTCTCGATTTCTTTTCTCTTCTCTTCCTCTCGCTGCCGCTCAATTTCTCGCTGTCTCTCCAGACGCCTCTCCATCTCCATCTGTTTCTTCCGTTCCTGCTCTTGGCGCTCTCGTTCTCTACGCTCCTGCTCTTCCCTCTCTTTCAGCGCCTTGCGTTCAGCCTCTCTCTGTTGTTGCTCCAGAAGGTGCTGTCGCCTTTTCTCCAGCTCCATGTTCCCCCTCTCCATGTTCTCCTTCCTCTTCTCCTCAAAGGTTACTTTAAAGTAAAATAAAAGCACAGTTAACTTAATAGAGAACTCTACATCAACGGGTGGTTTGAAAAAATGTAAAAAAAAATTAAAAAAATTAATAAAATTCACTATTCAAGCTGGTCTTACTGCTGGCCTACATATGCCATAGTTTTCCCATTAACCAGCAAAAAGCAGAGAGCTCAGGTAATATGAATTTAGGATTGCTGTACATCATGAGAAATGTAACGGATAACTATATGAATTGACAATGTTAGCCATGACTGCTATGTGCACACAAGCACTTTAATTTGGTATTTATAGCCCTTGATTGATTACACGGCACTCCAATTATTCTACTTAATATTCTCTATGTGTCACATATAAAATGTGAGGTGGGCAGTTCCTGTTCACAAACCAAAAAAAATAATTTTTTAATAATGGCATATTGGAATATTGTCCAATTATTTGATGTACAACTAGCACTCTTAACACACAAATATCACACTATAAATAATTACATGTACATCGTAAAACGTTGCGGTTAGTCAGTGGATGTGTGTGTGGTCATACATGCCCACTTTAACCCCTTAAGTACCAAACTTCTGGAATAAAAGGGAATCATGACATGTCACACATGTCATGTGTCCTTAAGGGGTTAAATCAGGGGTGCCCACAAGGTAGTTCCTCAGATGTTTACAAACTATAACTTCCATTATGCTTTGTCATTCTAAAGGTTGTAGTTTGAAAACATCTGGGGATCTACCTTTTGGGCATCCTTGCATTAGATGGTCACATCAAGAACATTTTGCTCTAGAGACAAGCATAGCTCTGGACTTGAAAGTGAAAGAAAAAAAACCCATATACTTCACCTGCTGTTTTTTTCTGGGGCGGCTCCTCTTCTTGCATCCTATGATATGATGGAACTGTTCCATTTACAGGATCAGAACCACCCCTGAAAAAAAAAAGACATAACTGTATTACCAATATATCCCCCCAACTCAGCTCCGTCCAACTTTAACACTATGTGGGCCACACTCCATCAAAACAAAGACATTACCAAATTATTACAATAATCAGAAAAGATTAAGGGAGAAAGGCATTGAAACACTTTTTTTTGTGCCCACAGGGAAGCATTAATTATGATTCCTATATAAACTATAGGAATTACTAAATTTGAGAAGTAAAACAAAAATACTTAAAATTAGTGTAAAGGGTGTAGCAATAATTCTTATTGAGAACTCTGGTATACAGTGATATACACCTAGCAGGACAAGCCTGACGAATACGTTAGTGACCCTTATATTCCTGGTGAATATCCCGGTTCTTGTTCTGGGGTACAACAGATATTAAAGCTCTCAATTATGAACTGCTCCTAAAATCACACACTGAGTGTGCATGCAGCTGCCATCATCTGATACGGATACATACAACATTTTAAGGAAACTATGGCACAAAAGTTATGTTTTATTTTAACCTGATACCCAGTCTCTGAAGTGTGATCACGTTTTGGTATTTTTCTGTATTATATGCTGAAGAGCACTGGACATGAGACTGAATACGCTAGAGTGCAAGTTTTTTTTGATTGTAGTAGTAGTGATTTTCCAATTATCACTAGAAAAGCAACATTATGGCATCCTATAATTTTACTTTTGTAACTGTGCTAATCCATATATCAGCAACTTGTAACAACTAACATAAAAAAACAAGAGAACAATGAGTTTACTGGGAGTTCTGTATCCCTGGGGGCTCTACATGCACCATGATGCTTGCTGAGAGATGGTAATGTAAGTTCTAGAAGGGACATAGAAAACAATCCACAGAAACTGCAGGGTCAAAAGTTATCTATCACAGGGTTAAATAAGTTCACACGATCGGAATATGCTAAACGTTGCTGCCTAATACATAGGCGTTTCAAAATCATTTTCTGTAAAGTGAGCAGGAGATGTAGTGCTGTAACATATAAGGACATACGTCCTGGTCACCAACATTTCATCTACAAAAATATCCCATTCAACATCCAATTTTTGATACTTACATGACTGGGAAACTCATCTTTCTCATAAACCAAGCACAACCCATGTCCTACCATTGACTGATTTGTTCTTCTCATAATGCAAAAAGTTACGTCTAGTCAAGAATGAACATTGAAGAATAAGAACAAGAACTGTATCAGTTTTGGTGAAGTTCCTGAAAAGAACGCCTGTTTAGTTCAGATAAAGTGGAGGGGTTTAACCTCAGCCATGTGACAGGGCTCTACAACCAACCCATTTATCTATGAAGCCAGATATTGGCATTCCACTGCCTTTATCTCCTGGATAAAACGACCTCCGCACAGTGCATTCTGGCAGAAGTCAGCAGGCAGCAGCCACAGTGCAAACTCTCAAGGCAGAACAGCGATCAGAGCCGGATTAACCCAGTGTGAAACACTGCTTGCGTTTCTTTGTATAACTTTAGTACAGATTTTTTTTAATTTAATTTATTTATTTTTATGAATAGCAAAAACACACACAAAGAAGAGGGTGCATATTTTCCCTATTTGTGAGAATGTATATAATGTTTGGTAATTATTAAAATGCATGTAAATGTATGCATATTTTCTTTATCATTCATCATATTTGCACCCCTACAAACTCCACCTCTGGCATCATTTGCAGCCAATGCATTCTGTCAACGAACTATTAACAGGCAGCTTGGTGCCCTCTGATATCCCCCCCTATAGTGAGGGTGAGTAATTTCACAAATGGAAGATCTAGCTTGAAGGAGAAATTGTTCTCGGCAGTCAAAGTTGTCTTTTTTGGAAGAGCGGGTACCACCAAGATTAATCCAACAAGGGTGTTTTATTAAAACAATGTTTTTGGTTGTGGTAACTCTCTAACGATCAAATACGTCTACCTGAAACAGTTAACAGAAAATGGATGTTGCTGGAAACATTAGGTTTGAAAAACGTACCGAAAAGAAGGAGGTATAAGACTTGGGGGCAGAGTTAGAGGGAGAGGCTGCCCAGATTTAGCCATATCCATTAAATGCATTGCAAGTACAAACTCATCTGCTCTCAGCTTCCCATCTCCATCAATGTCAGCAAGGGACCTTAGGACAAAAGAAAGCACAGTTACATGTGTGTCTGCAGAGCGAACATGAGGGTCATTTATGTATCAAGAAATTAAATCTCCTGCTACCTGTATACAGACACTCTGAAATGGAACACAGAGACAATTCTTTAGCATTTTTAATACTAGACCAACATATTAGACTCCTGCACGATTGTTCACTAAAGGAGGACACACTGGGAATGTAAAAGTAAATTCATTATTAATTTAAAAGTTTAGGCCAAAAACTATAAATATACCTCACTTGGAGAACATTCTCCATTGGATTCTTTGGCTTAAAATGTGAAATTCACTTTAAACAGTTTAGTGAATAACTCGTTTTAATTTAGATATTTGTGAAATGCGAATACAAACCAGGCACGGCACTGTCAATGCATGGTTAAATGTAAAAGCCCAGCCTGCAGAAATGATGTTTTGTAGCCTACATGTGATTCCTTTATTTAGATTGTGTTTGCATTGATATGAATAGAAACAATTCTCTGTACAGAGGGGACCTGACTGCATTCATTACTCTAAGTGAACTATAGATTATTTGTTAACGGCTAATAATACCATAGTTAGAAAAACAAACAGTAAAAGGGGAGGCTAATATGGGTACTAACAGGTTAAACTTGTGGATCATCAAAGTCAAGGATTTTACTAAACATGCGTGTTTTCCTTCCTTTGCTTCTAATCATCCCTTGCAGTGTACATTGCATTGCCTGTTCATATCCTGTCCCATGACTGTTCTGGACATTCAACATTCTTAACAGGAAACTTTACAGACTCGAAGAAGTCAATTTTCTTTGCAAGGTGCTTGCTTTTATGGCTTTGTAAATTTAGGCTTATGTTTAGTTGAAAACTAAATCCGGGTTGCCAAATGTTCCTTGATGTGTAAGGATTGGAAAAAATGTACTTATTATGATGGTAGGAAGAATTATGTCCCATTATAAGTAGTTCATCAGTTTTCCAACAGTTTGAAACATACCTCCGTCCTCTGGGCACCCACTGTCTGACCTCTTTTTCTTCTAGTGTAAATTTGGAAGTCCCTACTTAATGCAACAGTGATGTCAATTCTACTCACGTTAATTCTATACAAACACAGAGAATGTATATATCTATAGCGAAATGGGGACTACTACCGCAGATATATGAAAAGGAATCAGGTAGGTATCAAACTGCTTGAAAATGGTTTAAATATTTACCCTAGCACCCGGACTCCCTTTGGGCACCATAACCACTACAGCACGCTCTAGCTGTTATGATGCCTAAACAGACCTTTTAATTCAATAAATAAACAGCAGAGCTCACATGACTATGACACAAAATAAGATATTTGAATTGATTCCACCAGATAAGGATTTGTAAAGTCAGACGGTTAAATTTATAAATGATAAAGAGAACCAAATTAGAGATAATTATCAAAGGACAAAAAAAATAAAGATTAATTCACAGTTCATCTAAAGTCAGTCTGTACTGGGGTTTAGTGGTTAGAAATACTCACCAGATCGTCGCAAGCTGAGTATGAGAGAGGTTTGATTGGATCAGTGCATTTTTCACCTGTGAGCCTGTAAATGGGGAAAAGGACTCAAAATTAGGCACCAGGTTGGAAGTGACTCCCATTTTAAATGTATTAAATGCAAAATGTCCAAAAAAAAACCAACAACATATCTATTTAAAAATTAAGCAAAAAATAATACAGCAGTGAGCTCAGCTCAAACTAGATGTGCCAATCAGGAGCCTCACATGCAGGTCTATGGGGGTCTTACATTATCCTATATACTCTTGTTCAGAAGAGGTTTCTGGGATTTGCAGTGCAGCTCCGGACAGTTTAATGCAGAAGTTCCACTTATCAGATAAGATGACATAAACTGCTTAATAGCTTGTTAACAGCCATACTATGGCTGCTATGAGAGCATAGCAGTTTGGACTAGCATGGAGTTAGAATTGGGAGAGGGAAGACGAACAGGGTGCATACAAACAAAGTGTGCAAGCTATAGAAACTATTTTGTAAGGGCAGGAAGGACAGAAAGTAACTCTTCCTCCTAACATCTGGGACAGAGGAAACATGTTTATATACCTGCAGCAATTTGGAGATCAGCTACTCTGGCCTTAAATTTGAAATGTAATCCTCACTTTAGTAAATAACCCTAATAATGTCTCTCCCCCCCATTATTTTCTTGGGGTGTTCTACCCCTTACACTTCACACCAATGTATAGCATTAAAGGAATGGGAGGGTGCAGCTTAAGAGTTTTATAAAAGTGCCAATCTCTCTTGAAATTGTACGAAAGGGGGCACAATCTGTTAACATCTGAAGCACTTCAGAAAGCTCTTGACATGAGATTTTACATAGATCTTTCTTTCTGCAAATTAGGTAATATTCAGAATGTGACCAGCAAAATGCACAGTGAGACAAGAGAGTGCCGTTTTCAAATGTATAAAGGAAGGAGATTGGGATATGTGATGAGAGTAGAAGTCTAGTGCACGTGAGAAATGTTTGAGAATGTCTGGAGAGTTTGTTTCTGATCAATGCATGCTGCAGATGAGCACAACAACCTACGACTGCCTGAATTGCGCTGTATGCTTACCTGTGAGGTAGCCACACATGGATTTATCTAGACTGTTGAACTTCTGCCTGTACTTTAATCTGGCAGCCTGTGGTACTGCCCAGTCCTGGAATCCAGCCTGGGGAGAATTGCCAGTCAAAGAAGTGGTAGATGAGGAATTGGAGCTGAAAGTATAGGGAAAAATGTAAAGATCAGGGTATTGCAACAATATCTATATTATGTATAATTAGTTAACAAGGACAAAATTTGGTCAAGATCAGAAATATCCAGTCACAATAATTGAACATTTGCAGTTCACACATTTAATAAACCCAAATCTGCTTGACATTTGGGTATTTGAACTTTAAAGGGACACCGTAGGCACTGTATCTGTTTCATTTCATTAAACTGGTTATAGTGTCTGGAGTCCCCTGGTACCACCATTTCTTTTAACATTAAACAGTTTTTAATGTTTTAAGGTTTTAATGCTAAACAAGAGTCCTCGGCAGTCCATCCCCTCTGTGCTGCTTTGGCTAATAAAGAAGTATCGCCCTGAGCAGCAATGGGCAACTGTGATTGGCTGAGAGTGTCAGCCGACTGCTTTTAGCCTGTCAGAGCTCCAACTGACGGTATGAATGGGTATGACAACAAGGAAGTGTGTAATCTCTGCCTTAGCTACACGTACAGAAGGGGCCGGGTTGTGGGTGGCCAGGGACTCTTATTTTGTGGCATTCTGCACAAACATGGTGCAACACTGAATGGAGGGACAGTGCCAGGGTACTCCAGGCACTATAACCAATTCAAAGAGATGAAATGTTTATTATGACTACACTGTCCCTTTAAGTACAATCACTTGTCTGCTTTAAAATCAATCTCACATGTGAATCTGCATAAAATATAGGATTTGCAGGGGCGTGGCCATGCCGCAGAGAAAGATGTCCGCCTGAGTGTGCTTCTCCTCCGCAACCCCGTGATAAACCATCACTAATCTACCTGCACATATCGATAACAGGGAAGTCCCACAAAACCTCAGCAGTCCATCGATCCCTAGGACCCCAAAAGACCTAACTTGATCCCCCTCCTTGTGCCAGAACCGACATTCACGCCAGACCTGGGCACAAGGCTGGAGATACATACACCACCACATTCCATAACCACTCCTAAACAGAGAATTTATGGCATTTGAAGAATTATGCCTGAACCCAGACTCATTAGAACACGGATTCTCCTACTTACACACCACACAACAACAAGAAACCACCCACCCTTTATGGGGAAAGTGGAAAGAGGCAATGGGTTTGACCCTCACAGATGCACAACTGCAAACGATTTGCATTATAAACACACCATTGTTTATTATCAAGCTAGGTGCAAGAATCAGCATACAAGTTGCTGAGCTTAGGGTACAGGACCCCACAGTTATTGGCTACATATGATGTATTTTGCACCGGGAACTGTTGGAGGTGTTTGGATGCAAAGGACACTACTCTGAACATTTGGTTGGAAATGCCCAAAGGTTTGCCCTTTTTGGCAAAAGCGATCTCCCCTTTTTTCTGATAAAGGTGCCAAGATATTGGGACATTTGTTCTGATACTATTCACGTTTAAATGTAACCATTTAATAGTACACATCTCTTCATACACTCAATTAGCCAAAAAACCTGAACAGATGGATCTATGGACAGAATATTGAAGTGCTTACATAGACCCAAAGCCAATGACAAATAGAACAGAGCAATGACAAAGAATAACATTTATTTATTGTAAAAAGTATTTCATTTCCATCAGTCGGCTGCATTTGGACAGGCTAAAATTTAGACAACACTTATCTTAATTCAAAGTCACTACTGGAAAACTGGGACATCAAAAAACAGCGTGATCAATGCCCATATTATGTAGTCCAAAGTTCCCAGGAGAGTATCAAATCTTTTTTTTTTTTTTTATAATCCATAGATGGAGATATCAGTCTTTAGTGAATAATTCTGTAAATCACAAATTAGATCTGGTTTTAAGAGAATATTGTTTTGACTTTGGTCAATTCTGACAGCCACCAGCAGTGTGTTTTCTGGCAAATGTAAACATTGCCTTCACTCTAAAAGGGGAAATATTTTACACTATCAGAGAAAAGTGTCAAGGTTTAAGCACCAAAACCACTTCATTAAGATGAAGTGGTTTTGGTGCTTAAAATGTACCTTTAATGCATGTGACACAGTACTAAAGAAAATATGCACACATAATTGAAGAATACATACCTGCTAGATCCCAGGTCTATCAGAGACTGAGTCTTCTGCATAGTGGAGGGGGTGCTGCCGCCAAATCCTCCACCCATAAGCATAAATGAGCTATTATGAGGCAGTGCTGAAAACAAACATTACAACAATGAGCTACAATGTCTCCCCTAGAAAGGCCTGCTGTCTACGGGCAACAACAAGTCTGATGGTAGCGGTGTCTGCAAGTTATAATGTAATGGATAGATGTACAGAAACAACAGACGAAGCAAGCAGGTGAACGCAGGTTAAAGATTAAGCCTTTGACTGAATTGGATTTAGATAGCTGGCAAAGGTATACGGTGATTGATCTTTTCATCAGTGAGTTTATGCCTTCTTCCAATAAGGGTGTAGGAAAAGATTAATTTCTGGGAGGCTTATTGTTTGGTAAATGACAGATTTTAGTTGCCTCCTTCACCCAACATTCTTTTTAAAAAAACAGAATCCACTGCAGATATTCAAAAGAAGACTTACTCGAAGACAAAGGCACAGGGAAAGATGACAAGAGAGAGGACGTTCCATTTGGCAATGTCGCTGATGAGCCAACAGAAGGCACAAAAGAGCTGGACATAGGCAAGGGTGGCAGAGAGCTCATTGAGGTTATAGAGGTGGCAGGTGCCAGTGGTAATATCGTAGGCATAGGCTGTGGCATGGATGGCGGCATGGACAAGTTTGGCATACTTCCCATTCCTAAACAGAAATTAGAAGGGAACAACCATAATCACTACACACCAAGGCAAAGGCATTTCTTTCAAATTATTGCAAACAAGAATCTTTAGAAACAAAATGTTAGCCCAGGTACGTTTTTAAAACATCTAGGTGGTGGCAGTATTTTGTGGCTTCTAACTCACAAACGACTAAGGGTTTCTGTTACAATAACTGAAACAGACATGGAGGGAACACTGCAAAATATGAAATCCACAAAATGGCAGACCACCATTTATCCATTTGAATACCACAACAATCTTGCATGTTGATTGGCCAGGCTAATTGAGAGCATTGCAGACGTCATATTCCTATATAAGTCAGGGAATCTGCTTTGTAATGTAACAAAGTTATGCTGCAATTATCTTCCCTTTTTTTTTTTTTTTTTAATGAATTTATTTTTTAATTTTGAATGCCTTACAATTACCTGCTACTTTTGACATACATAAAAATAATTATTCTAACCAGGTCTCATTCTGAGCAATCACACAACACAATAAAGGGAATAAATTACTTTATAATACTTTCACTTCAATACTTTACAATACCTATTTAGCAGCTTGTTTGTTTAATTTATCATACTTTATATTGAATCTGTTTTGCAATGATTTTCAGTAATCAGTAAAGAGCCTATATTTAAATTCTAATTAAAGGGACACTATAGTCACCCAGACCACTTCAGCTCAATGAAGTCGTGTGGGTGCCAGGTCCCCCAGGTTTTAACCTTCAGATGTCAACATAGCAGTTTCAGAGAACTGCTATGTATACATTACGGGTTAATCCAACTTCTAGTTGGCTGAAAATCGCTTTAAGCGTGCAGAACGTATTTAGGAAAGCATTGAGAAATGCTTTCCTATGGACTGTTTGAATGCGTGCGAGGCTCTTGCCGCGCATGTGCATTCTGCTCCACTCAGGAGCTGACGTCGGCAGTGGAGGAGAGGTCACCAGCGCAGAGGGAGCTGGATAAAGGTAAGTAGCTGAAGGGGTTTTAGCCAATTTTAGCCAATCCAATGCTTTCCCCCTCAAACAAATTTGCAATTCTGATGATGTTACCAAGAGGCCGGGGCCAATGCCGGCGGACCGGCAGGGCGCTGGAAATGAGGAGTTTTTCATGCTTTTAAAGGTGGTGAGGAGGGGTGGCAAACCACCTTAATGGTGGTTTAGCACAATAGGGTCAGGAATAAATTTTTTGTGTTTCTGACCCAATAGTGTTCCTTTAAATGCAATCTCAGATTTAAACCGGTCTGAGCTGATTATCATTTTGATGATGCTTGTGGATGCAACAAAAAGAATAGGTGAATGGTCTTCCAAAAAGTCTGTGTGACATATACCTCACAGAAAAACAAACCACAGATCTATATTGTAGCCGTGTATCTAACTTTGGAAATACATTTTTAAATAAGAGTTTCACATGATGATAAATAATATATTAAGAAAGAGTACATATTTCTCCCATAACCCAGCTACTCACAACCTGTAAACCAGTTATTTGCCTGTGAAAACAAATATTTAAAAAAAAAAAATCCTATAAAAGGTGCCAAAATAAACATTAAAAAAAAATGTCACTGGCTATAAGCAGCATTTTGGCAAACCAGAAACATCCCAATGCTGCTGCACGACATCTCCAAATAGAACTGTCAGGAAGCCATATAGTGGTAGAGGATTGTGGCAGTTGTATTCCAACACTTTAGGCTTCAGATCAATGCGTTTTAACACCTAACACGCACCATGAAGACAGATTCTGTGCATATCACATGAGGGTATGTGCAGCTAGTAGCATGTAAAAAGTGAGAGGAACATACCATAGCGAGAGGACATTAGTGGTGAGATGATTGGAGGCTGCTTCATAGAAGGTGGAAGGATTGCAGGCAGAATCTGGCCCTGCAGCTTGAGCTTGATGAGCTTCATTGCAATAGAGAATTCCTGTTGGTCCATCTTTCCATCTTTGTTCAGGTCTGATAGTGACCTAAAAGGATACATTATGCATTGTAGTAACAGAACTCTACTCACAGCCTGAATCACAATGATTATGTGCTCTCCTAATATACTATGTGACAGTATTACTATTGGGAAGATGGTTCCACCCATCTCAGAGACTGAAAGCACTCACAAAGCAGTTCATCTAGAACTGCTGACATCCGTGTCATTTTCATGCTCTATTTCTTTATAGGGTGAGGGTAATTTAACGTAGCTCCAGGAGTACACACTGTGGTTTTCAGACTGGGATAAATGAATTGTAAGTAAACTAAAAAACAAGCAGAGTACAATACTGTTTCAAAAGGGTGTAGCAATATTGAGGGTTAATATAATGTCCTGGTCCCTGTAGGAAGAAAAGATGGCTTTCCTTCTCAGGCAAAAACTCTGTTACATTTTGCATCCGAAGAGAATGGTCAACTGATATGCACTTTTTCTTTGCCTCAAGTTCTTCCTATTGAGGCATTTGACAGTTTCATCTATGGTCCAACCTCCGATGTTGGTGAAATCCCTTTTCCATAATACTTAAGTAAAAAAAAAAAAAAAGAAAAAAAGAAAAAGAATGTTACACCTTACCATATTTGAGCTAGGACAGCTGGGGGAAGGCCAGATTGTAAGAAAAAGCCACGTGCCTGATCACCTGCAATCAAAAATTGTACAAAAAAACAAAACAAATGTGTGACTTGGAGAATGGGTAAAAACTTTGACCATTATTAAATCCAGCTTCACAGTCATCACAATATTACACAAAAACCTTAGCACTGCAGATGTTTGCTAAGAACATTTCCCATGATGCACACTGGTCGATACCAGTTTGTTAATATTTATGTTTTTTTAAACATGTCGATACTCTGTATGATTTTAGACCATGTTCATCATTATTGCCTCCAGACCAGTCCCAGGCACTACTATCACTCCCAGTACTCCTTCGCTGCTGAATTCATGTGTTAAACACTTGCCATAAGTGAATACATTACTTCTTCACTGACTTAATAAAACTGCATGCTGGCATCGATGGGGTCATTCAACCTTACAATTAAATCATTGGGCAGGCTGCAGTCTATAAACAGGACAGATAACTTACTGCAAAGATGGCATCAAAATATGGAGAAATGTGCCTACCACACTACTATATTCTAACCACAAGAGATGTGCAAGCCTATTACTATGGTCAGCTGCCCGCTAAACCTTCCTATATCTGCGGAAGCAAGGAAGTCGGGGGCAGTGGTGTCCTGTGCCAGAGCCCCACCTTCGAAGATTAAAATGGTTGCAAAACGATTTAAAGGGACACTAAATGCTTATTGCATTTGTCCTATTGAGTGGAATAATTCCTTTCAGGCTTTTTGCAGTACACACAGTCTTTTCAGAGAAAATGCAGTGTTTACATTACAGCCTAGGGATACCTCAACTGGACACTCTTCAGAGGGCTACTAGAGGTGCTTCTTGGGTCAGTGCTGCAGAGAAAGCAGCACTGCCATTCAATGACTCCACGCTTTGCATGCAGACACTGAACTTTCCACATAGAGATGCTTTGATTCAATTCATTTCTATGAGGAGATGCTGATTGGCCAGGGGTGTTTTTGACTTGTGCTGGCTCTGCCCCTGATCTGCCTCCTTGTCAGTCTCAGCCAATCCTATGGGAAAGCATTATGATTGGCTGCAACCACCACTTCTGATGATGTCAGTAGACAGGGACAGAGTCAGGAGCTGCAGACTTGAATACAAGTAAGATTTTACTATATTTAAGGAGGCAAGAGGGGGCCAGATGGCTGTTTTAACACTATAGGGTCAGGAAAACATGTTTGTGTTTATGACCCTATAGTGATCCTTTAACTTCTGGAGATAAAATGGCACCCAGTTACTCATGTCCAATAACAGCTTAAATGGGTTTGAGTTGTTAGTGGAGAGGGAGTGTTGATTTAAACATTCTAGACATTGTTCGCAACAAAGAGTATTTAAGAAGCTCTGTAGAAATATGAAATAAAAAATAGCTTATGTTATGTTAGGATATTTTCAAACGTTTTGTTCTTAAAACAAAGGAAGATAAGTCAGTAAATATTTACTAAACACTATGTAGCATTGTTATAGGAAATACAGTGTACATGACAACAGTTCAATATTTCAAAAGATAACAGAAATAGGTTTAAATCCGCAAAAATACTGGTCATGGGAGTGATCTGGTTGTTAGTAAATAACCCCCCCAGCAAAACAAGCAAAAAAACAAACAAACAAACAAAAAAGCATTGCGTATTTGATTTATTGGTATTTATATAGTGGTAAACTATTCTGCAGGGGTTAATATAATAGATATAAATGGATATTCCAAATTCCACTGGAACTACTATACCCTGAATTTTCTTAACTCCAGTGTGAAAGCACATCCTCTTATAACAGTTACAATTTAAATAAATGAATACAAATAAAAAATAAAAAAAGTTTCCTGCTTCAGCTTAAACCATTTAAAGCTGGCTTTAAGCAACAAATCTAGTACAGATCAGTGTAATCTAATGGCTGTGTTTACAGCCTCTGGATTCTCTCCCGTGGTTTAATATCAAACTGCTTACGAATGGGTATTAGCCATATAAATAAAGCCCAAGTAGCCATCCTGAGCTTGCATACTATGAAATATTACATTCTTAACAATGGGACAGATTAAAAAAAAAAAAAAAAGCAATCCCTTGTAAACTGTACTATATACAAACAACTAGTGCAAAATACAGAATCCTGGTACAATTCTGTATGATGCACACATTGCAGCTCTCTCCAGAACGTAAAAATACTGTTCCATAAATGCCATCCTCCTTTTACACAGGCTATTTGAGAATTGTTTTGTATCAAATATTGTGATGGCTTTTCTATTTGCAAAAATGGCTCTTCAGTTTCTAGGCCAATATTTCATAGCCAGTTTGGAATATTGCAAAATAACAAATATCATATATTCAATGAGACAAACACACGCGCACGCACGCACGCACACACACACACACACAAGTGATTTATTTTTAATATCTCTAGCCACCCTCCTGTTAGTTTACCTTATGTGCCAGGAGGGTGGCTTGGAGTCTTGCTGCTGGTGGTAGTGAGGAGTCTGGAGCTGTTCATGCTCCTCTCCCCTCACGCTATCCCCGCAGGATGCTGGGAGGGAGTGACAGGCTGTCATTTCCTCCCAGTTGGCCAACATTAGAGGGGTTCGATTGCGGTCTTAAAGGACCGCGGCACCCGTTCAGCAGTAATGTTTCCCCGGTGCTATGATTATAGCACCGTGGAAACATTCCACGGCACCCCAATGTGCACATCGCGGTGCCTGGCACACAGTTTGGGAACCGCTGGATTAAACAATAAAATTAAACTAATACTGGTAACAGCAATCAAAGCTTGTATGCAAGATGTGCATGCAATGTTGTAAATAAAGTTATGCTACTTTTAAAGAGAAAATAGGTTTGTGGAGATTGCGTTGAAGCTATTATACACCATTTCTTGCTATCTTTTTCCTGGATCATCTTTAAAGTTTGGGAGAAAAAGCGATTAGATTTAGGGATGACGGTCAGACTTAGAGACATCTTTGTACTGTGCGCAGTCTATAGGGGTCTCTTGGGTTAGACATCGCAGGGAAGAAATCCTATCAGTTGACAGTCAGCTCTAACACATTTTCAGTGTGTTGGCATTCTAAAGGGAGGAATTAAGTATGCTAAATCAGAATAATTCCTGCACCCATTCACTTATTAAACAGTCTGATTGATCAGGATGCACTGATCATGTTCAATTCTCTAATCAGCATATTGGTCTGTGCAGATAAGTAATGTTTAGGCAACTTTGAAGATAATGATTGACAGACATGGTTTTAAAGCAGGATCCTGAGTTAATCTGTAACTTCTCAACTTTCACACATTTCCTAAACACATAGTGAGAGCAGTACAAGCTGGCCACATGTGTCTGTGTCTGAGGCCCCAATCGTGGATTAACAAGCACGTAGTTGTGTGAATCTGCTGATTGTGTGAATATCCCTCAATGAGTCAGCGCAGAGACAATGGGTGGGTAGCTTCTATGTAGCAAATTTAGTGTGTAATAATGTTACAGTTGTAGCAGACTGAGTTTTGCTACTAGCAATCTTTTATATTTTTGGCTGTACATAACCTTATTTGTTGCATTATTTTATATTATTTGCCACTGTTCGTTACTTATAGGAAACAAGTAACAAGCTGTCCTTTTATATCATTCGTCTAGTTGTTCGGTAAGAATCCTATTCCCACTATAGTAAGCCATATTCTTCGACAAACAAACAAACTACCGAACAACCAGGCCAACCCGGAGAGGAGATTGGCACTAATTGACCCCCACTATTGTTATTCACACTGCCTTAATTGCCAACCGCATAAACTGACTGGGTATTCCCTGGGTGGCCGCCTTTCGACATACGAACACGTGGCGGCGGCCATCTTTACATACGAACGCACCAGTGGTGTTTGGTCGTCGAGTGTCTGGAACCCAAATCGGACACCCAACAGCACGAACACCGCAGAGACTTCCATCCTCGCACAAGTTTGTGGGAAATCAAAGGAACAGAGCGGAGTTCGGTGAAAAGTCATCCGAATTAGGGGAATCATATGAACAAAGACATAACCCATTATGTTAGACATTTTCGTGCATTTCAACCTCACGAATGGAGACCAACCACGCATGGCCAAAACGCATGGAACTATGCTCGGCTTACACCTCGTGTGCAGTCGGTAAAACTAAGACCTCCATAAATCTTTAGAACCCCTGAACCGATCTGGGTGATTTTTCAGTATGTTGCGCCCCCAGTAAATTATGGGTGTATGTTATTGTTTTGGGATACATCCAAGAACTGGGGAAAAATGTGTTTTATAACTTTCAGGTAATTAAGTTCTCTCATGCTGAGGGGAGGGAATATGTGTACTCTATCCATCTATTGACTGGCTGATTCCTAATTCTCTGTGGGTGTCTCCCTTGCATGGGAGAATTGTATAAAGGCTGAGTGATTAAAGACCAGTTCTGCTCCTATTACTGAGTGTCGTCAAGTTATTGGGAAGGGTGATGGGATATTCGTATAACCTCTTGTATTTCTGCCTGCTATCCTGAAGTAACCTGCATGTTCCGGAGTAGCTGTTGGAGTGACCAGCGGAGAATAAACCCTGCTACCATTGCTCTCCACTACAACAGTATACTTCCTATTTATTCAAGCATTAAATGGGACACAGGGACAATCCAATCACCCAGATCCCTTCAGCTAATTGAGGTGATCTGGGTGCTGTGCCCCAATTGCACTTAGTGCTGTAATGTAAAACATTGCTGTTCCAGAGAACTGCAATGTTTACATTGCAGCTCTCAGTTTGCCCTCTGTGGCTATCTACCAGACAGGCTAGAGGGCTTCCGGAATCCAAATCGACCTTTGGTCGGTAATCTGACGCTGGACATCCTCACGGACCTCCAGTGTCAGATTTTCCCCATAGGAAAGCAGTGAATAATGCTTTCCTATATGGAGGTCTAATAAGCGCACGTGGCCATTGCCCCGCATGCGCATTAGGTTTCTCAGCTGAAGTTGGTGGGGGAGGAGCGTGGGCGGAGCCTGACAGCGCAGAGGGACATCGGCGCTGGATTCAGGTAAGTAGCTGAAGGGGTTTTAACAGGATCCTGCAGTGCCAGGAAAATGGGTTTGTTTTCCTGGCGTTAATTAAAACAAGCATTTGCCTGGCTACTGGAATTATACATGAAAACCTAAACGCATGCCTAGCGTCTTGACAGAGAATGAAGGTAAAAGATTGTCCTTTCAACGGATTTTGCATCATACTGCATAGACAGTCAATTCAAAATGTGTTTTTCTACCAGCATCTTACACAAGACAGAAGTGAAATTTGTTTGGAAATAGCCCAGCTAAACTATCCAAACCTCAAGAAAATGTACCTACTATGTGGATGACGACAACACAAAAAACATTACAAGTTTTCAAGAAGGGTGGCGTGGTGTTGGGATTCAGGACTAGAGTATCTTTATATGCAAAGGAGTAGCCACACCACTTCTGATGTAGTCGTCAGTAATGACTTTTCTCCAACCCTGAAGCCTTGAGCACAAAGGTTGCATGCATGGCAATTTCCACACTCAATCCAATGCTTCTCAGAGAAATCCTAAAGCTAATGCTTTTCTATGAGAAGCATTAAGAGCATTTAGTGTCACTATGCTGGGTGCAATGAGGTTAAATATGAAGACCATTGATTTAGAAGCTTTCATGCTCATATTTCCAGTAGAACTGTGTTTATTTTTTTATTTATTTATTATAAATAAAGAGTTGGCTGCCTACCTCCCCCAATTCCCTATTATTTCAATTTTGTGAATCATTGGTTAAAGGACCACTCTAGGCACCCAGACCACTTCAGCTTAATGAAGTGGTCTGGGTGCCAGGTCCAGCTAGGGTTAACCCATTTTTTCATAAACATAGCAGTTTCAGAGAAACTGCTATGTTTGTGAATGGGTTAAGCCTTCCCCTATTTCCTCTAGTGGCTGTCTCACTGACAGCCGCTAGAGGCGCTTGCGTGCTTCTCACTGTAATTTTAACAGTGAGAGCACGCCAGCGTCCATAGGAAAGCATTATGAATGCTTTCCTATGTGACTGGCTGAATGCGTGCGCAGCTCTTGCCACGCGTGCGCATTCAGCCGACGGGGAGGAGAAGAGGAGGATCGGCGGAGGAGAGGTCCCCGCCCAGTGCTGGAAAAAGGTAAGTTTTAACCCCTTTCCTCTCCCCAGAGCCCGGCGGGAGGGGGTACCCTCAGGGCACTATAGTGCCAGGAAAACCAGTATGTTTTCCTGGCATTATAGTGGTCCTTTAAGACTTTGGCTCACAGTTTAGTAAATAAAGCCCTAATCTGCTTTCCGATGCACTTCCCCTAACTGTGAGTAATGTGCCCTTTGTTTTCAAAATAACTTTTTGGTTTTAACCAAGAAATATTTCCTACCCGAGAGGCTACTGCTATATGACGAAGTTAAGTGGAGAAAAACATGCAGATATATCATAACACACAGCCCATAATGAAAACTGGTACACAATGTTTATCATAAGAAGCATCAGATGATTAACACTAACATTTACCACAATGGAGGCCTAGCCCCACATAGTCACCTAGGCAGAGGCGGCTCTCTAATTAGGCAGTTTAGGCGGCTGCCTAAGGCCTCGCGCTGTGTGGGGCCTCTCGGCCGCCTAAACCGCCATAGAGCAGACTGACATGTCAGGTCCTCGAGGACCCGACACAGGAGGGGACCCGGCGGCTTGCCCTGTATGCCGCCGGGTGCGAGGCCCCTCCTGTCAGTCTGCCTGGGAGAGCCAGCATTCAGTCTGCAGCTCCGCCGGGTGTGAGCTGCAGACTGAAGTGTCTTGCGATCTCTAGCCAATCAGAGCATTGCCACGGGTTACCACGGCAACGCTATGACTGGAGATCGCGAGACATTCACCATGTGGTCTGCAGCTCTGCATCTGGCTGAGCTGCAGACTGGAGAGCCCACTGGACCACCAGGGAGTCTGCCACCACTGGACCACCAGGGAAAAAGGTACTTGCCACCCCACCTGTCAGCCCCTCACTCTGCCACCCCACCGGTCACCACCCTCACCCTGTCACCCTGCCACCCCATCTGTCACCCTGCCACCCCCTCACCCTGTCACCCTGCCACCCCACCTGTCACCCTGCCACCCCTTCACCCACATGTCACCCCCACCCCACCTGTCACCCCACGGTCACCCGTCACCCCCCCCACATGTCACTCCCCCTGCCACACCCCACCTGTCACCCCCCACCCACCTGTCACCCAGCCACCCCACCTGTCACCCCAGCCACCCCACCTGTCACCCCATCTGTCACCCTGCCACCCCACCTGTCACCCCATCTGTCACCCTGCCACCCCACCTGTCACCCCGCCACCCACCTGTCACCCTGCCACCCCTCTCACCCTGTCACCCCATCTGTCACCCTGCCACCCCACCTGCCACCCTTTTTATTTTTTTCAATAACGGTGTTAGTGGGGGCCTCATGTATGAGTTTCGCCTAAGGCCTCGCCAAGTCTAGAGCCGCAGCTGCACCTAGGGCCCTAACTGAAATTTACCTTATCTACAGACAAGGCCAGGCATGGGCAGGTATACAAAGCTAATCTATGCATTGCGGTAGAGAAATCACCTACAATAGTATAGATTAAAAGATATATCCACCTGAGGATCATTACAAAGTCCTCCAACATGGATGCCTCAGATGGTAAAAACAGATGTATATTAATCAGTCTGTCTCATAATACAAATACTCAGAATGCTAGTATGGCTTCAACAAGGCACATTTGGGGAAATGTTTTGATATTGTAACTTTGTTCAGCTAGAACAATGTATATATGAACATTCTAACAGAAATACTGGAAGATATGACCACCCCATTGCCGTCGACCAACGTTTTTCTATGCAACTAGTTTAACTTAAAAGAAAAACCAAAAAAAACGAACAACAAACTGTACACAAATGCCGTGACAGACTCTCTGCTGACGGAAAAGTGTGAGCAGATCCTCCGGTCTGATAAAAAAAAACCAATAAAAAAAAAAACCAACAACAACAGTGGCATTTGTACATCACTACTGTGATGTTTGCATTTTAAATGTTAGTCAAGTTTGTATCAGTTTATCAAAAAGCTGAAAAAGTAAAAAAATATGAAGGTTTTAATTATTTCACCGCTCTACCAAGCTGTACATATGCAGAGCTATTAATCTATAAAAATAACCTTTTGCCTTTTTTACAAAATAAATATATCCTCTCCTGCAACTGCCAAAAATTACCTACTAAGCCCTCAATTAATACTTTTCGAACAACCTACTTTGTACCCCTACTTTTACCCTCTGTGTTACTGTACCCCACTCCCTATAGAATGTAAGCTCATGGAGCAGGGCCCTCCACCACTCTGTTCCTGTACGTCGAGATGTCTGGTTACAATTACATGTATGTTAGTCCACCCATTACAGCGCTACGGAATTTGATGGTGCTATATAAATAATAAAATAATAATAATATAACCTTAGATTAGATATACTGTACTTTATCTAATTGGCTTGATCACAGGTGATCTAGCCTGTGTACAGCGCTACGTAATTTTGCTGGCGCTATATAAATAATAAAATAATAATCAGCAGGAAGACAGTGCTGAAAACATTAGTACATAGCTTTAGGTGATCAGTAGAGTGATACAGTGTGTTGCATGTTCTTCTTTAAATAGATCTTGTTAATATCCTTTTAGAATTTAAGCTAGGAACTGAAATCAACTCTCTCAGTGCAGTAGTGTTAAGATCTGCAGTGGTTATGGTGCTGCGGTCTTCTGTTCCTTTTCCCAACAGCTGAGCATAAGTGATTATAGCTGCAGCAGGGAGTAGAGGAATAGGATAGATGAATGAAGTTCCAAGATGATTCTTCCCAGCAAATAGAATATCCCCCAAACATGAGCCTAGACTTCATGAAGGGTGTAACAGGAATGAATTTTATTGACAACACACAGGCTTTTATGAGAAATCCTCCTGCAAGAGGACCTCCCACAGCAAACAAAGACAACAGCCAATCAACGTACAGATTTACAGTAATACACGCCTACCCTCTGCCTGGGAGATATTGAGATAAGTTAAGGGATAAACCAATTATCTCCAGGCAGAGAGCACACAATTTCCCTAAAACTTAGAACACCCCTTTCCCCACAAGGTATCCCCTACATCTCCCCTGATAGCCCCGATCTGGGGGACAAACATATCCAAATTTCAGCCAGATCAGTTCAGGGGTTCTTAAAAAGTATGGAGGGTACCTTTTACTGACCACACACGCGGCTCCTGCCCAAAACAGTTCCATGAATTCAGCGTGTGCGGTCGGTCAATTCAGAAACAGGTCCAAAACCGAACAAAGTCACGAATGGCTCTTCCTGGCTCATAGGAGCAATTGCTCCCCTTGTCCATTCGCACAGAACTCCCCTTGTCCATTCAGCGGTGGTTCGGGAGGTCGATTGTCCGATTTTAGTTTCAGACACTCGGCGACCAAGTCCCGCTGACTCCCCTCGTGCGAACAAGATGGCCGCCGTCTCCTATTCCACGTGGCATTCGGCTATACGAACAGCGGCCGGCCAGGGAGCACTTAATAGATGGTTCCCTTGTAGTTAATGAGCCAGGAGGGGGGGTCGGTGTTCGGTAGTTTCAAACTACCGAACCAATTTATGCAATATACATGTAATAAACAGGAAAAATACAGAACAAAGAAGAAAATGTCAAATAAAAGTCTATTTTCTTCACAAGTAGCAATGAAAGACTTCCTCCAACCAAGTTCAGTCAGAGGACACTGCAAACCCACGTCACTTTCCCAAAATTCCAAGGACATCATAAAAAAGATTTTTGATTACAAATCAAAATAACAAATGTTACTTTCTAAAATGTTGCATCTCATTAGATAAATGTTGGCCAAAAAATATCCTCCCAATGTTTGCAGAACTCCCATAGTATTTAGTGGTGGCAAAGCATCATAGGATTTGTAGTTCTCCTGTGATCTACCTTTTGGCCAGGCCTACATTGTAATGCAAAAAAGCTCTGTGTAACCTCCCCTCACCTCTAGCAGCGGAATACTTACAGGAAACCTGCTCATACATATCAAATGTGAGGTTACAGATCAGACAGACCAGTGACATGTTAGTAAATATTAAAGACTCACCAGTTATGAGCCCACCCGCAGGCTTCAGGCTGGCAAACTGTTTGTCATGTTTTGCTCTCTCTTCTGTTGTGATGGCCCACATGTTCGGCCCGCCTGCAAACAAAGCATGTAAGGCAAGTTTAGCTTTTCAGAGAGGATTGCTGTGTCAAACAGTACTATATCCGCATCTGTGTATGCTTCAGTTCCTAAACAGGAAGCACAGACATTCTAAGCTGTCATTACAGCACACAGGTCGGCAACTGAAGATTGCTACAGATAAAAAGGCCACTTCCCCAACAAGACCTGCAATTTTAGTTTTTTTTTTCCTGTCTTATAATCAGTACGACCTTTAATAAGCACCAATGGGAAAGTCCATTTATCAGATAATTTAATTTTAATTGGCACTACTCACCCCGACAAAGTAAAAAATCCCAAACTTGGTACGTACATATTATTCTGGAGACACATGGCATTTGCCAGTTGTCTCTCGTTTTAGGGTGTATACAGTGCCAGAACTCGTATTGCATTCATGATTCATTTTTTGTTATAGTTTTAGATTGATCAACATGCACTTATATTCCACTTAAGAGGACTATGTTGAAATGGAATACAGAGGAAAGTAATTTTCATGCATTTAAAATTCCTGGTGAAAATAAGAGTTGTGGTTTATAACATATATGTATTGCACAGAACAGGAAAATACTGAAGCCCATTACTTAGCGTAGTAGAATAGCAGATACATTTTTATCTAGCACAGGAGAATATTCCATGGCTTAGCTAAGTATCAGAAACATTGAAATACACTCGCAAAACACAGGGAGAAGACATTCGTAATAGGTATGTAGCCCCTCTGAGATTTCACAGGCTGTACCTCCCAAAAACTCAAGCAGCTGGATAACCTTGCAGTACTGATTGGGTGCACAATTCATTTCTAAACTTCCCTTTTGTCAGATCATTAAAGGGTACTTCAGTGGCAAATTTTCAAAAATAGCTCACAAAATCACCTCGAAGTTGATCTGGATTAGCTCCAGACTGGTATCGGTTTGCCGTTTGAATCAACCTGAATGGAGCTACAAAAAAACAAAACAAAAAAAAACCCAATAGCAGTGAACACATTCCTGAACAGCTCAAATGAATTTAGCTCATAATTAATATTTTATTTTCCACTGGTCGCACAAGCCGCTAGTAAGCAAACTGAACCAGAACAATTTGGAGTCCATTTCAAGTTCAGAAATTAGTTTAATTCTAGAAGTCCAGTTAAGGGGAAAGCAGAGTAAACTCTCTTTGTTCATCTCTTCTTCACGTTGCAGGAGGAGGCATCCAGGGATGGGATCCTGGGTCTTACTCATAAAGCTTTTGGACAGAGAACCACTGAAAGGTAAATTGAAATTTGTGCTTCTCAAAAATCATAGAGCAACACCCTAGATTGGGAGATAGTTTTCCAAACACTAGATCTGTTGCTCATCCTATTAATTACCAGATCTCTATTCATAGAAGAAAGAAAAAAAAAAAAACCACACACACACACCTGATTTCTCATGAGGCCTACCATTTCAAACGTGGCAAAGACAACCCACAAGTTATTTACTGCAGCATTGTGGAAAAATAATAACCACGACAATAATCCCGATAATAAACAGCAGTTGAAAAAAAAAAAAAAAAAGTCATAAGGAAGGAGCTTGAAACAAGTAAGCATTTTATTTTAATATACTTTTTTTTTAATGCTGTGTAGAAAATAACTTGTGGATGGATACACCATAAGATTGGGAGAGATAACGGTGTAATCAACACATAACGTCGACTAAAGAGACAGCCCTCAAACTGGCATCTGGTGTATAACCGTTACATTAAAGCACCATGCCCATGTCAATGATTTAAAGTGGTTATGGGGATAGGAGTCTGTATGTGCATAGTATCTGCTTGAAACACTGCACATATGGAGTTATTTTTATTTGTGAGCCGGGAGTTAGTTGCACCGCTAGCACACATGACTTGGGTAACAGAGAACTCTGTTCCACGCTGCCCAAAGTCAAGTCTGTGCATATTTTACATCTCTCTTCAGTGCGCAGAGCATGTTGGCAGCAGACGTGGTAATCTTAATTGCAGACAGAGTGCCTGTAAGGGGAGAGTAGTTTTCCCCTCCCTGCTAGTGTGCTCCCTACCACCTCCCTCTGCTAATTCGCTAATTGTAAAGGCTTCAAAAAAAGATAAAAATAAAACTTTAAATCCCCCCCAGCTGAGATGGTGTGAATTGCTATGAGCCAGCAAACAATCCAATCACAGGATTCACTATGAGAAGCCCCCTGTGACATCAGGAGGGGTAATTGACTTTATCTGGGTCCCTCATTCAACCGGCAGGTTCTGGGAACAGTCACAATACCCAAGGATTACTCAATGGGAAATGTATAATATGTAAGTAGTGGGAATTGCATAAGCATTAAATTACAGGCATACCCCACTTTTAAGTGCACAATGGGACCAGAGCATGTATGTAAAATGAAAATGTACTTAAAGTGAAGCAATACCTTTTTTCACTTCCGAGTGCATGTACTGCATTGCAATAGTCATTTACAGGCATAACTGATTGTGCAACTGCAGATTTCCAGTGATTTATTTAGTGATTTACAGTGGGCTTTTATTCAGTTAAAACAAACAGTACATTCCAGATTGTACAATTTATCTTGTAATTTATAATGTTTTACTCATCTGACAATCTTAAACTGGGAGGAAAAGTAAAATAAACCTGCCCACTGGGCCATTTTCTGTCAATACAGGGCCAATTTGTATTTGTCCGCAGACTTTGTTTAGAAACACCTCTTCATCATTTTAAGCATTTATGGTTTAACTTTGAATCCTCACAATTGTGGCTAATGCAGCTAAGCTGCTACGCCATAGTTATAGAAAATGGCAGGGTAAACCCTTTCAACGGATGGCGCCGATTGCAGAATATGGACAATGTATGGGCAGAAAAAAATATATATGTTCAGCTAGGAGTAGATATTATAATGAGATAATTAACCTGTGCCATGTCAGAAGGTGTGAAATGTTCTGGCCCTAAAGACACTGAACTGAGCTGCTCCGGGCGAGAATAGAACCTTCCATTTACTGTTCACTCACGGACAGAAGAGGCACGGGAATGTCTGTACTCGCGAGGCACCTTTACGTACACTTGTGGGAATGTCTGTACTCGTGAGCGTACTAAAAGTGAGTGTATTTAAAGCGAGTTATGCCTGTTTACATTTTATTGAGAGATTTTAGAAATAATTCCAGTCGACAACACTCCTAATCAAAAATAGTAAATATAGACATTAAATAAAACTACACTAGTCTTTGGTTTCTTAACCCACCAAAACGGTGGTCTGCTGAAACAGTTAACTATTGAAAGGAGAATGATCAGAGCATCAAGGACTGAAAAGTCGTACAAAGTTCTAAAGGAAACCAATGGCGTCAACAAGTACATTCCATTGGTGATTACTTAACTTTTACACTTTGCTAATAATAATACTTTCAGAGATCTCTCCCATCTACGGTCACCGACTGTGCAAATGTAGAGAGAAAAACTAAAAAAATCAGGGCAATCACCATGGAAACCAAAATATTTTACCAACTTTGTCCCCCTTGTTTTGATTGTGAAAAAACGATAAAATCCGACCATTAAAAAACTTATTTAACTTTTGTAAACTTGTTCAATAAATGAATATGAAAAAAGATAGAACTCGACATGAAACATCTGAGAACCCAAATAGAACGCATGGTCCGGAGAGGTTAATGACATTCTCACAAGCTAGAAGGCGAGTTATGTTCATTCAAATGTCATTTGAAAGATTTAAAAGACATGTAGTTTATACTTTAAACTTTAACATGCACGGTTACAAAAATCCATAAAGACAGGGAGACATCAGCACAATCAGTCCCTCTAAAATGATCCCAGTTCACAGTCATCTAAAGCAGAACATGTTCAGTAACGAACCATAAGCAAAACATTGTGTGTACACAGATACAGGCCAAAGTGCTCCAGAAAATTAAAACACAGAAAGAGACTTATTTAGATCACTACCTTGTATTTTAAAAACAGATCATTACCCAAAGCACTGCGTGGTTTGTGTACAGAAGCGTGTGTAATTGCATATAAAGATACACTTACCATTCATGGCCGTGGGAAAGAGAGGCATCGTATTCTGCAGCATGTCTCGTTAGCTCAGGGCCATCTGCAAAGACAACACACAAGCATGTTCTTGTTAATATTGAAGGCAGAACAGGTCGCAGGGCATGGCCCCCGCTGCGCATAGAGAATGCTGCTTCCTATTGACAGGACAACAATGGTGGGTCTGCCGGTGTCCACTAAACACACTCGCTCTGTGAGGGGGCTGGGACAGCTAACCTAAATATGCCAATGTAAGTTTTTCCACCCCCCCATCCCCCTTTTTAATTCATAGGGATGTATTAGCACTAATCAGTAGTTGCAGCTGATCTGGCATTATGCCACACTGCATCCAGTACCCACAAGATCAGTACTGTGCACATGTTCAAAATGTCCGCAGACAATTGTAACCATCAGTATATGAACTTTTCTAATAAGCATTACAGTGATAAATGGTTCTGTTTTCAGAAAAAAACAAAAAGCAAAACATGCATTGAATAGCAGACTTTAAATCATGTGTTAAACGAACGCACCAGAGCAGGGAATCCCTCTAAACTCTGTTTGAGGAAATTTCCCCTAACATAGATTTAAGGGATTCCCTGCTCTGGTGCGTTTGTCCATGTTCGGGGACGTTTCCCCGAACATAGACGAACGCACCAGAGCAGGGAATCGCCATGACGGCTCGCACTTACCACTGGTCATATGTGCGAGCCGTCGTAAAACAGGTAGGTCGCAAAACAGGACCACCTGTAGTCACCAGAAGAACTACAGCTTAATCTAGTTGTTCTGGTGAGAATAGTCAGTCCCTGCAGCCTTTTTGCTGTAAACACTGTCTTTCCAGAGAAAAGGCAGTGGAGATGCTGATTAGCCAGGGTGGTATTTGGCTCCACCTCCTAACCCCTATTACATTGCACTCCTCAGATGGGACTGGAGCTGCTTTCTGGGGCAGTGCTGCACAGCTGGAGACAATGAACTTTCCCCATAGAAATGCATTGATTGAGGAGATGCTGATTAGCCAGAGTGGCGTTTGGCTCCACCCCCAGCCTGTCTCCTTGCCAAACTCAGCCAACCCAATGCTTTTCCATGAAGAGTTAATATCATCAATTCTGATGATGTCAGCCAATGAGGCAGATCAGGTGCTTGGCCAGAAATAAGGTGAGTTTTATTATTTTTTTAAGGGGGGAAATGGGGGTCAAGCCACCGAATTGGTGATTTTAACACAATAGGGTCAAGAATACATGTTTGTGTTCCTGACCCTATAGTGTTCCTTTAATATGCAACATAAAAAGGTTCTTGGAAATGCTGGGATCTGTCTGGGTTAAAAACAAAAACTGTTCTGTTGGACAGTTATATGTTAAACAGCTGTATTTATAGTTATATCCAAAGATAAGTACAAATTAACATGTTGCCTTGATGTTTGTGTAGGCATATAGCGTTCTGTTAGTACCGTAATTTGGAATGATGAGAACCTCCTACATCACAGAGCTGTAATTATCTGTATTATAAGTCGAATAAGAAAGCAAGTCAGAATATTAACAGAATGATACAATGAACCATGGCTTGCTGGGAACAGACCAGTACATTTCACATTCTAGGTGAAAACAGCTCATCTGTCCCCATTATTAATTACTGCAATGTTTCCAACAATTCACAGTTTTAGTAACTTTTGCTTAGAGAATAATAACCAAAGCTTATGCTTTACTGCTTGTCCACCCAAACCATTGTCGAGGCAGATTCCCAAAAGCGTTCATGGGAGGTGCTTCCCCGTAGCTCTCTCTCCCTTCTCACAGACCAATACAAATTTCCTTCCAGAAAACATGTTTGGGTTTAGATCACACGCTTCCCAGCAAACGCATCCCGCGCTTCACATAAAATGCAAGCACTCATTACAATAATCCACGTCCCTGTGATGTAATCGGTACAGATTGTCTTTCATGTTAATGCATGTAGCAGCAGCTCTGTATGTAGAAGCACAAAGTAACCTATTCTGTCCAGCTACCCTTTTGATGAGATTCTGCAACAGTAACTTATGCAGAGATAAGCAACTATATCATCAGCTCATTCATGGCACTGCATAGTGTAGTAGTCCTATAATCTGAGACGTTACTAGAAGATTTTAGAGAACAATTCATGTTATACAAAAATATATAGATGGTGGTTTTAACCCTATATGTTTGTGTTCTTGACCCGATAGTGCTCCTTTAAAGGGTTAGCTCAAGGACCATAAACACTATATGCTGATGTAGTGGTTATGGTGTCAGAGTATTAACATGTCTGACTGGGAACCAGTGGATGTTGCCCACAGCATTATGGCACCACAACAAGCACCTTGTATTGGTTATGGTACTCAGGTTGCCCTTTTAAGTTACATTATTTTAATAGACACCAAATCTAGATTCTGAAAGAGACATGTATTCTTCTATAGCCACGTCATACTGCTTTACCCACACAACATCAAAGTAAGTCAACTAAGTGCGGTCATACTCCATGTTCTTATTTATCTGGCCTTCTAAGAGAATATACACTAAGCAACTAAACAGAACACCTTGTGAAAGTTAATCAACGTCCTATAAGCTATCTCAATTGTAGTATATCGGATTCCCTGGCTCTATTCCAAACGAGGTCAATTAAGCCTTTCATCATTGGCTGGCTTTTTAAACCTTTTCGCACTAAAATATTGAGCATAAACACACAAAAAACAACAACATAAGCCTAGTCCTTTTACTGCGATCTATTCAAGGTTTGTTCTATTTATGTACAATATATGCTAACAGATAAATATTCAAGCTCTGTGAAAATATTGTGCCTTTTATCACTTTCAGGGACACTCTAAAATTCTGTTGCAGGAATTTATCACACGTGCAAAAATATTTTGGATATCAATTTAATCCCATCTCTCCTCCTCCCCTTTTTTTCTGCTATCTGTGCAGGAGTTTCCAGGAAAATACTGCTCCCTCTAAGCAACCTTTGAACAATTTCTCCCAATTTTTATAGCAATCAGTAACAGGTGCATGTATGTGTGCTGTGAGCCAGCATTTCACTCATGTGCAGGTTAGAGAACCGTATGCATGAAAACGATATCACAGTAGACATTTTTATTGATTTTCAAAGACTTATCCACTATGACAACAGTAAAGGCTACAAACATGCACACACAACCAAATTGCCACCTTGTGATGGAGTGACCCATAACATGTGCCTGCAGGTAGGAATTGTGTGAAAGTGACACATAATTTGGGGATGCCCTGGTCTGCTAGGAGGAAGTGATGATAGTTGTATTTTTAGTGATTTGTCATGCATCGTGTATATATTCAATCTATACCTATCTGAAGGTGAACTTGCCATTCACGTGATTTGAGGACAGGCTCACTTTCATTCTGTAGATGGAATACCAGATGGGCACTCAAAATATTAAGAATCCAAATCAGGATAAAGCATTTATTTTATACAATTATTTATATTGCACCAACATATTCTGCAGCGATGCACAACGAGTCAAACAAGAAACAATTCCTACAAAACACGTTTGGCATAAAGGCAGAATGCTTGAAGAGCCCTGCCCAAACGAGTTACAGTCATATACGTCACAGGCTTATTTTTGTATTTCAAAACCTGCTACTAATATACTAACATGGCTTCTTGTTGGATAAAAAGGCAAAGCAAGCAAGAATCAGTACATGGAGAGAAATTCTTAGCATAGTTATTCATTTTTATGTATTCACTAATCTCTAGGAGTACGGTAAAAAAAATGTAGAACTCCCACAGGAATTCAATTGTGGTAAAAATGTATTTAGAACCCCGGAGTGATAAAATTGGTTGCAGAATCTTCAATATAAATATATTCATGCCACAGATTAAAAGCTTCATCCTATATAAAATAGAGCTGTATTTACCATGACACGGAAAAGCAAATCATAAACAAAACAAAAAACCTTAAAAAAAAAAAAATGGATCAGATAGCAGCTGCATTGTTTGAGAGCAACTTTGTTTAACCGCTAGAAGAAACAAATTCCAAATAAAGGTACCGGTATATAGAACAATCTAAGCCGTACAATTACATAAGAGAAAGAAGGAAGGCATTCTCTGCAATTCTCTTGCCAGTTCTTCACAATTCTTAATTTAATGAATTCACACCCATTGTGGCACATTAAGCAGCAGAAGGTAAAAAAACATGCAGAGCTTATCATTCAAATGTCAGCAGGTTATCTAATTAGGGAACATTTGAAACCCAAGACTAAATAAACATACGTTTGCCATTATTTTTATCCCCAGTTAAACTCTCAACATGTTCTTCACAAAATATAATGCAGTATAAATAGCACTATGAATGGCTGAAACATTCTGAATTTGCCTTAGATGCCAGACTGCGCAATCAAGACCACATATTATGAATATATCAACAAGGAATCCTAGTTTTTGTTTTCATTGAGACTGTCTATATTACAATATTATGGTGTGGTTTTATATATGTGAGAGCCAAAGCCTAATTTGAAGTCATCATTGTTTTTAGAGAAAGTAAAAACACAACTTTTAGTCAAACTGTTGGAAAGGCCATCAATTCTGAAGGAACTGTGAGGGTTCTTCACTAAACAGAATTGCCCTGAAGAGTGGATTGCAAAATGTAAGCGAAAAAATGCTAGTTTGGAAAACTTGAAATAGATCAGCACTTTTGATCTAGACCCAGTGTCTAACTTTGGGTGTTCACCTGTTGATGGGCTACATCTTCCTGTCCTTACTAAATCAAATTTCCCATAAACTGGTAGAATGCCGAGGGTAATAGGAATCGTAGTTCAACGTCATATGGACTACATACAACCTGTGCATGCCATGCACCTGCTAACAGCTAAGCTAGTAATCTCCAAGCATCATAACCACTAATATGTGAGGAGTACCCTGGCCATGTGTCCTGGTAATGGTTCAAAATATTTTGAAATGGCTTGCTCTTACATGGGCCCCTGCTCAACACCGAGTGTCCTTCATGGCTGGTGCAGTGCAGGAGAAGCCAAATGCGAATCCCGCTTGCCATTCATTGACTGAGATCATCAGCTGGCTTCTCTTGGCCAATGAATGACATTCTGTGCATAGTTCCTGCTGACTGATGGCACCCCAATGACGCTGTTGGAGAAGGAGCTATACCTCTGGTAGCAAAGGGGTTAAACTACCTACAGCCTTTCATGGTGAAATGCTGCACATACAGACTCCAGGCATCATGACCACTTCAAATTACTCATGTCACGGAGCAACCCTTTAATGAATTGAGTTACCATTATAGGGAAAGTTGCTGAGGGCATTTTGTGTCCTAAGTTCTCTTTTAGAAACATTAAAAACTATATTACACAAACAAACAAAAAAAAAAACAATCCACAAACATTTTGAATATGAAATTAGGAGACAACTAAAAAAAAGGAAAAAAGTCAAAAAAGAAAAAAAGAAGCTGCTGTAAAACCACACTCCAGCTCTTTGTGAAATCATCTTCTATTTATATCATCCAGCAAAAAAAATCCACAACTCGGCCCTAATTACTTCTTTTCTAGTCTTGCTGGTAATCATGTGAGAATGTATAGTGTGATTTTTATGGCATACTACAATCCTCACAACCTGGCAGGTAATGGAAATGTAATGAGTTCAAAACACGTTATTTTATTATTACCGCTTCTGAAATGGTACTATACAACAGCTCGGCAAACCTACAAACAAATTTATAAAAGGTACATAACCAGCATCTAGCCAGATCTAATGCATGTAATAATAAGGGAAACGTACTGCATCTGGTTTTATATTATTGCCTTCAGTTTCCATAAACTTGCTCAAACAAGTTAAATCATAAAACATAAAATCGTACTGGCTTCCACATATATATGTACATGCCTCATATACTACAGCAACTTCAAAACTTCTGCTGAAAGTTACTTAAAGGGACACTGTAGGCACCCAGACCACTTCAGTTCATTGAAGTGGTCTGGGTACAGTGTCCCTATTGCCCTTAGTGCTGCAATGTTAAAGGATCACTATAGGTTCAGGAACACAAACATGTATTCCTGACCCTATAGTGAAAACACACCATGGCTTACCCCCTCAGAATGGGTTAAAACTCACCTTATTTTCAGCTCTCCACGGGTCTGCCGGCGCTGGCCCCGTCCCCTTGGTGACCATCAAAATTGCCGATTTTTAGCCAATCCAATAAAGCAAATGTATAAACAATCTCAGGACTTATTCAAGGATTAGAATACAAGACTGGTAGATCACATCTCATAAACAAAAAAATCAATGACTTATAATTCTTCTTTGTGGTAGAAAATAGCCATGCACATATATGCAGAGCATTATTAAACTGCCAAAGCACAATATGTTGGATAAACAATCACTTAATGCACCCAGACCACGTTATCTCACTTGTCACCAGCTACGATTGTAAAGAATAAGAATAACAGAAAAACAGAACTGTGACAGTTTTCAGCTTTGCGGTATCAGGCAGAAATTAATATAAAAGTACAAAACTAGATGGTAACATTTTCTTGCAAGGAACAGTAAATAATAGTTTGCATTAACCCCTTAAAGACACATGACATGTGTGACATGTCATGATTCCCTTTTATTCCAGAAGATTTGTCCTAAAGGGGTTAAACGGGTCAGTGGACTAGAAGAAAGGAATGGCATGTTATCCCAGTGGTGATAACAGAGACTGTACCCAGGCTGTCTGTGACATTCTTACAGTGGGCAGGAAAACAGCCTTATTGTGGGTGGGTACCGTGTGACCAGTGACATAGCCAGACTAAAGGAGGAAACTCCATAAAACAACACATTTCACATCAAAATACCCATTAGATAAATTGTTTGAAATACAGTTCAAGAAATGAGACAGGTCCAAATATAAATATCAACACAGAATATTTGGGTGAGCTGAAAATCCCAAATAATAAAATGACACAAAGAAAATATTATACAAGAAAATCCAATCCATAGGTCTCTGCAATCGCAAATTATGCAGGCCTGTCCTTACTGAAGACTCTGGGAACATGAGCAGTGAAGGCTGGTGTTAACAATCCCTCCACGCCACACACACACCTTGATTCCTCGCCATTATATATATATAAAAACTACCGTATATACTCGAGTATAAGTTGACCCGAATATAAGTCGAGACCCCTACCTTTACCCCCAAAAAACTGGGAAAACGTATTGACTTATATGCAGCAGCTACTGGTAAATTTCTAAATAAAATTATTAATTGAATATTAATTTAAAGTGTGTGTATATAATGAATGCAGTGTGTGTGTGTATGAATGCAGTGTGTGTGTATGAATGCAGTGTGTGTGTGTGTATGAGTGTGTGTGTGCGATGCAGAGTGTGTTTGTGCGATGCAGAGTGTGTTTGTGTATGTGATGCAGAGCCTTGGTGGGGGGTGGGCATTTTTATTATTATTTTAATATTTTATTTTGTTATATTATTAATATTTAATTTTTTTTTTTTTTAAATATTATTAATAATTTTTTTTTTATATTATTTAATTTATTTATTTATTTATTTATTTTTGTCCCTCCTCTCTGCTGGTTAGCTGGCCAGGGAAGGGGCTCTCATTCCCTGGTGGTCCAGTGGATTGGCTGTGTAGGAGGGAGGCTGGCAGCGAGCTGTTACTTACCTTTCCTGCAGCTCCCTTCTCTCTCCTCCGGTCCGGTCAACTCCCCTGTCAGCTCCACTGCAAGACTCATGGTCTGAGTGCCGTGCGGAGCGTTGCCATGGGTTCTGACCCCGTGGCTCTCGCGAGACTTACAGGGGAGCTGACGGACCGGAGGAGAGAGAAGGGAGCTGACAGGAGCTGCAGGAAAGGTAAGTAACAGCTCGCTGCCATCCCCCAACAGGACCGCTGGGCTTGTAATGAGCCCGGCGGTCCTGGTCTGTATTATGGCAATGTAAGTTGCCATAATACAGACCTTGACTCGAGTACAAGTCGAGTGGGGGTTTTTCAGCACAAAAAATGTGCTGAAAAACTCGACTTATACTCGAGTATATACGGTAATTAAAAAATACAATGTCTTCAGTGAATACTATTCTACCAGCCTACTTTTCTACCCCTACTTTTGTGTCACTTTATCCCACTCCCTCTAACATGTAAGCTAATTAAGCAGGGCCCTCAGCCCCTCTGTTCCTGTGCGTCAAACTCGTCTGGTTACAATTACGTGATGCTAGTCCACCCATTGTACAGCGCTGCAGAATTCGTTGACGCTATATAAATAAATAAATAAATAAATAATAATAATAATAAAGGGAAAGGTGGGGAAATCTGTGCATAGGCCATGCTGATAGGCAAGCTGGAAAGTAAACATCTCCTGCGTGAAACCAGTAACTAGCTCTGCCCCTATTCATATTCCTCCCCAACATTTTATCACCTCTCCTTGAGTTTATAACTTAAATATAGAGCTTACTTTAATGCTTTTTGTTACTTCGTATAATATGCAATGGATTCAGCCAGCTGATCTGATTGGCTCATACAACCCACTCTGGACAGAAGAAGAAAGGCAATGCTCAAAGCGCCAAGTGACAAAGAATGCCTTCTGTGATATAGCTGTACCATCGCTGCTATCAGCTTACAGACAGCTCCATTCACAGAGCCACTGTGAACAAATGAACAGACATGACCATGTACATGTGCGAAACTGGCTTTGTCATAGAAATCTTTGCTGAAGCCTGTTAAAGAAGGTGTGGAGCTGTTTAACAGCCACACGCCTGAGTGACTGAGGCTGTACATGTATTTGGATGTCTTAGAATTAGATCCATAGGCTCTTAGCTGCAGTTATGAGAAACTGTGTAAAAAAACAAGGTTACAAGGCACATTTCTACACCTCAATACACGCAAGGAATAGTGTTGTTATGGTGCTTGAGTTACCGTTTAATAAATGGGTGTTGCAATTAAATGCAAATTTCGAAATATTTCAGGATTACAGAGCTCTCTTCCACACACCATACTTTTTACTTGTGACCTTGCTTCAATAAAGTGTTTCTCTAGGTTACCGATAATGTGAAGAAAAAAAACAAAAACATTTTACAATACTCATGTGGCACTGCTATCTGGTTGTCAGGCAATTATGGAAACATTATTGATTCTTCTGCAAGAAAGGAAAGGAAATTACTGCTATGGAAATACATTATACCCAACTCTGATCAATACACCATTTTGATGTCTTCTATTGCTTGTTGCCTCTCACTACAAGGATAGAACATTAATATGGTTCCACTCAATGTGGTTCTCTGGGACAGGTGTCAATCACAGGAACAGGCACTACTCATTTCAGATTACTCTCTCATACAGGGGAGTCTTCACATGTCTTTTCCATAAAAAAAACTAAAACTTGAAGGTTTTTCCCAAGAGCGTTACTGACAAACTTGGGGTTCCTAACTTCTCAAACTAAATCTAGTCTCCACGTGTGGTTAAATGAAACAAGTTAATTGGATTAAATATATAAAGGGTAACTTAAACTTGGGACTAAATGAAACTCATTCCTATGGCCAGACTGTCTTGACACGCAATATACACCCCTGACTACTTGTCAATGGTGTAGGAATAATTGTGGGACAAAATTTACATATAAAAAAAACATAATCCCAAAAAATAATTAAATCACATTTTGTGAAAATTATGAATATTAATATGGCAATCACACCCACAATTTTGGTTTAAAGAGATCCCTACTATTTGAACTCTGACCCTCCATTCTTGGAGTTTAACTTAATTTTATATTACTTAAAAATAGAATTTATTGTGACAACAACAATGTATACGATAGTAACATAATCAGACACCAAAGAACATGGTAACTTGTCTTTTCAAATGACTATAGGAATACTAGGACACTGTTAGACAAGTATAATGGTCTCACAGGCAATATTCAGCATGGAAAATCCAGGCAACTCATCACACTAAAGGCAACTGAGACCAGAGTCCTGAGGGAATGGGAATGGACCATAATGGACTGAAAGTCAACAAGAAATGAGGCTCTGAGAGCAACAAGGCACAGAATTTCCAGGTCATTTCTGCAGTTCTAGAGAGTCCTGTTAAAGTAGGTTCTTTTAACTCACAGATGGCCCAGAAGACAGTAAAATAAGCAAACAGTCATTATAGATTGATATCTCTATTATTCATAATACATTGTTTCAGCAAAGGGCTCACACAAAGAATAAAAACACTTTCATGAACCTTAGCTACATAGTAACAAAGACAGAATCTTATAGTAGATGTTGAACATTTCATTAGATGACAAGCCAGGCATTCAGACAATGTAATCCAAAATAACTGAAGTGCAAGAAGTTAGCCAACACTGTTCCAGGGCAGTTTGTTCAGTTGTCACCAAACATTGTCTGAACAATGTGTACAAATGTGCATATAATGCATGCAGAAACATTATTCAAATGTTCATGACAGTGTTGCCCTAGAATGCCCCCCCATTGTAAGTAGCTAAACCTTTTAGAATGTGCAGTGCTATTGCATTGGCTAAGTGTGTCAATTGATTGCTCTTAACGAATAAGCCAAATCCTGAACCACTGGGTTTAGCTCAGACAGAGAGCGCTGTGTGGTGATTATTGTACCTGGAGTGGAGTGTTCATTTAAGTGCTAGTTTCTAGTCACAAGTGAAATCTTTATTTTCTGACCTTGAAACATCTCATTGCATAACTCATTGGAAGAACAGATCACACTTAAAACAAATACTGCCAGGATGAGTACAATGTACGAATCAATTCATGCAGAACACTTGGCATATTGCCTCTGCAAAACAAATATGAGGGCAACACTGCCAGCTTTCTTTTTAGCTTTGCCAATGATGCTGCCACCGCCCTGCAGCAGACACACAGCTTGTGTAGGAAACTGCCTCCGTGATCCAGCTCTAGAGCACCCCAAATTCCCCAAAGCAGATTAATGTTAAGATGTAAAGAATGCTAAGAAGTAAAAACCCACAGGTGTCAGTCAGCATCACCGTCAATGTTTTATAAAAGGCAGTTAGTCCAGAAACTCTGTCTCTGTGTAGATTAATAATTACAAACAATATACAAAGCAAAGAGAAATAGAATATAGGTAATGTTCCACGATTAGTTCAATGGGAATTGCTGTATACAAGTGGGATGTTTTAAATAAAGAACATTGTATTCACATGCTTTGTACAGCGCTACGGAATCTAATGGCGCTATATAAATTATAATACTAATAATTAGCTAGAGAACAAAGCATCACGTCTCTCATTCCAACTCCCTTTATTAAAATTTACAGACTTAATCTGTTTCTTATGATAGAGTGTCTGTACAGCCTCAATAGCTGCAGGGAAATACTGTGCAAATCACTAGAGATGTGTATGCAATTCTGGAAATACACAGGAAACAATTGAAGAGGTAACATTTTGAGATTTAAACCATGAAAATTATCTACAATAAAAAATATATATATATATATATAAATATTGACACACACTCTCTCGTATTTATTTTTCTGAACACAAAACTGTCTAAACATTGATTGCTAATATTTTCAGTAAAACAATTATTCTATCTTTCTTTGTTATGCTCAGTATAATGCTTAGTGACATTCTAGTGGAAAAATAATATAGGGGAGGGGGTGGGGTGGAAGATACCTTTGCAAGCAAGTCTACAAGTCTTAGTTTTGAGAGCTGGATCTTTATGAATGCTACTGTGAGCCAGAGACTCAGCTGAATGATAGAATCTGGGGTTAGAAAGAACCCTTCTGCAACTGTCACTAGTCTAATACTATCCTTACCTTTTTGTGTCATTTTACCCCACTCCCTCTAGCATGTAAGCTCATTGAGCAGGGCCCTCAACCCCTCTGTTCCTGTGTGTCCAACTTGTCTGGTTACAACTACATGTCTGTTCGTCCACCCATTGTAAAGCGCTGCGGAATTTGACGGCGCTCTATAAATATCATAATAATAATAATAACAACATTTATGGGTGAAGGAGGTATCCAGATATTAAGGCGAGAATCGATTTAGCAAGGAGAGGAAGAATAGGAAAACAAACATCTGTGAAGTCAAGATTAAAGTGAATGGGAGAGAGCAAAAGGGTGAAAGTAAAAAATAGTGACATAAATTAATCAGACTATCCGTGGCATGTAAAATAGGAGGCTACCACTCAGAGAGTCCTAGACCAATACAATCTATAATGAAGTGATCTTTCCGACTTCGCAAGCTCACTAATTTTGGCAGACAATTGTTACATTACCACCCGCCCCTTACATATGTCATATCTGGAGGGGGATCTCCAGTCATTATAATAATTAATCCAATGACTAGTAAATACAAAATAAAAAAAATGATAAAATATGTATTAGCATTCTACATCACAAAGAAACTAAAACAGGAATATATAAAATATGCATAAACTACAGCAGTGTTGGACACGACTGCCAATGCAGATGCCTGTGAACTTATTTGGCAAACAACCATTAATACAGATAATGTATCTGTGCTTTGTGGTTTTAGCACATGATTATTCAGATTTTTTTTACCCATACAAAATGGATAAAGAAGCAAACTCCAAGTATAAATAAAACATTCTTGGAATCCCTGGTTTTGTTCTTCTAAAAAGAACATTTATGAAGCAGCCCAACACAGAAATCCATTGACAGTTCCCATGCCAGAGTGACACGGTCCCCAGAGCTAATATGGAAAACAAAGCAAACACTTAGTCACCAGAACTGTATATCCGAGCTCTGAGTGCAGCCTGCGCAAAAACAAAGCTGTGAACAAAATGAACAATGATCACACAGGAAGTATCAGGCTAAGAAATCTGTAACACACAGACGCGAGCCAATTCTGGGATACCCAGTCCACATTCACATCAACTTATATACCATGTTAATATGAGTGAAGGCAGTTTGTATCAAAGCGCATATTATAAACTAATATAATGTGTTAGCAATCATACGGATACAATATGAGTCTATGCCTGTAACTACGTCACTGCAAAGAATGAAAGGTTTCTGATTGGGGGAGCCTTTTCCTGGTCTGGCTGAGGTCTGCCTGTAGCCAATGTTGGAAACCCTCACATAAGTATACCTGTTAATATATACTGTATACCAAGCATGTCAAACTCGCGGCCCACAAGGACCATCTTTGCGGTCCGGCGAGCCGCGAGTACATACTGGTATGTAGGCACCTGCTTTCCCCACATTGCAGGTGCCTACCCTGCTAACACTTACACGGCCAGGTTGGAGGGCCAGTGAGGGAGCTCAGTGTTCCTGCTTCTCACTGCTCCTTCGCGTGCACCATCTGTAGTGAAGCTGGGCGCCGGAATATGATGTCATATTCCAGCACCCGGCATCACTAAACTGCCGAGGGAGCAGGAAGGAGATCTTCAGATAGCTGATCCCCACACCAGCTGCCAAAGATAGGGAACAATAAATTAAATGATGTGAGTGCTAGAATGTTTAAATGTGTGTCTGTGTGTGTGACTGTCAGTGAGTATGTGTGTGTGTGTCTGTCTGTGAGTATGTGTGTGTGTGTGTCTGTCTGTGAGTATGTGTGTGAGTCTCTGTCACTGAGTATGTGTCTGAGTGTGTGTCTGTCAGTGAGTATGTGTGTGTCTGTTGGTCAGTGCTGCATTGGCTGCGACTTGACAGTGGAGTACCTGGAGGTGCATGGAGGCACACAACGCCATGTGACATCGACGTGCTCCACCTTCACAGGGTTTAAAGAAGTAGCATGAGGATCAGATTTGGCACAGGGTGGTAGTTTATTAGGGGGGGTCTGGGATTTAGTAGAGGAGTGTGCTTTTTTTTTTTTTATACTGTACTTTTTAAAATAAACCTAAGTTTCTATGAAAATTTAAGGGTTTTTTTTTGCGGCCCCCATAAAACTTAAACCTTGTTTATGTGGCCCGTGCCAGACTTTGAGTTTGACATGCTTGCTGTATACTATTTCACCAGTCTCTGGTTATTGTTTGCTGTGATGTCTGTGAGTAATAGAGATCCTTGAAGAAGTCTGTCTGTGAGTAACAGAGATCCTTGAAGAAGTCTCTCTTAATCCAGTTCACATTAGGATACACTCTTCCCTGGTGGTATAGATACTGCGACCAAGTTAGATACCATGCTGATTCTCACTCCTGCGTGTGTGTGAGAGCATGGGGTTTAAGACCCTGTTATTTCTGGAAACTGGCCATGCGCCTGATCCCAACCTTAGCCAGGAGCAGAGTGCTCAGTGTAAATAGTAATATGGAGCATGACAGAGCATCATATTCCTGCGTCACTATTCGTACTGAGTGGAGAAGGCCTTATATCAAAGGTTAGGCAATGCAACAGCTTTCTCGTGAAAACAGCGACATTTCAGAATTGCTGTAACAACTTTAAAATGTAAAACTCACAGCTATAACACTTTCCAATCAAGTGACTTTAAATGGATGTGTTTTTAAACAGTTTTCCAGACATTGCAGGCAGAAAACTGACTACCTTTGGACTAATAAGGGACGGTAAAAGATGGAAATGCAAAGAAATAGTTCCTCTCTAAAGGGGGGGAAAAAAATCGCAACTGCTTGTGGGGTGAGGAAGTAGTACAGAAATATACTTAAAGGACCACTATAGTGCCAGGAAAACACTCATTTTCCTGGCACTATAGTGCCCTGAGGGTGCCCCCACCCTTAGGGACCCCCTCCCGGCTCTGGAAAGGGGAAAGGGGTTAAAACTTACCTTTTTCCAGCGCTGAGCGGGGAGCTCTCCTCTTCCGATCCTCCTCCTCTCCGCCCATTTACAATGCTTTCCTATGGACGCTTGCGTGCTCTCACTGTGATTTTTACAGTGAGAAGCACGCAAGCGCCTCTAGCGGCTGTCAATGAGACAGCCGCTAGAGGCTTTGTTTTATGTTTATAAAAAAATGGGTTAACCCTAGCTGGACCTGGCACCCAGACCACTTCGTTAAGCTGAAGTGGTCTGGGTGCCTAGAGTGGTCCTTTAACTTTAAAAGTTCTCCTTCTCAGACACTGCCATATTTCAGCAGCTGTTTCTTTAACTCCAGGTGGATTCACCTGCCTGAAGCAGTCTTTACTACTGTAATCACACGCATGCACAAGTAAAAGAACGGGTCTATGAAAAACTGTAGGATCTTCCATAGATGTAATGCATCACATGAGATGATGCCCGTTCCCATCACAAAGAGTTTCACATAAAGATTATTTCTTCTTAAAATAGGGACACTATACACCAGGGCTTGACAAACTTGTTTGGAATCTAGGAGCGAGTTTTTTTTTAACTAGCAACGTTTAATTTATAACGAGAAATATGTAATTCTTAAAGGGACGCCATGGTCACCAGAACGACTACAGATTAATAGTAGTAGATTATAGACTGTCCCTGTAGCATTCTCAATGTAAACGCTACAATGTTCAGCATGGAGGCGCTTAATGTTACTCATAGAGAACATGCGCAATATCCTCCCAAAGCTTTCCTATGGGAAAGCATTGGCTTAGCTGAGATCATAAAGATTGATGATCTCAGCTACAGAGGTGGGACAAGCCATAGCAAAACAGTCACAACGTGAGAAAAAAAGGTGAGTAAAAACACCTCTCATGATCGGAGGGGAGCAGGTACCTAAACAGACACACACAGACAGACTCTCTCTCACACACACACACACACACACACACACAAACATTGACAGAGACATACACACTGACAAACAGATTTACATTTTTTTATTTTAATCCACCCAGCCTCCCTACCTTTGGGAGAGCTGTGTGGATCTTTCCAGTGGCGTACATACCAGGGTCGCAGGGGTCGCGACTGCGACCGGGCCCGGCCGCCCCTGCGACCCGGTATGTAGCCACTGGGCCAGCCTCTTCCCCTTGGGGGGCCCAGGAGCCGACCACCATAGGGGCCCCCCTGAGGCTGGCCCTGCTGACCCCGGGTGGCCGGTCGGGCAGGCAGGCAGGCGGGCGCGCGAGGGAGCACTCAGTGCTTCCTCTTCAGCTCCTCCGCGCACCGCACTGATACCGGAGCCGGAAGATGACGTCATCTTCCGGCGCCGGCATCCCTACGCGGCGCGCGAGGGAGCTGAAGAGGAAGCACTGAGTGCTCCCTCGCGCGCCCGCCTGCCTGCCCGACCGGCCACCCGCACAGGAGCCCAGCAGCACCACTGGACCCCAGGGAATCCCCCCAGCACTCCAAAAGGTAAGGAGGCTGGGGGATTACATTAAAAAATTTTTTTTTAAAAATCATGTGTGAGTGTTAGTGTGAGTGTGAGTGTTAGTGTGTGAGAGTGTTAGAGTGAGAGTGAGTGTTAGTGTGTGTGTTAGTGTGTCTGCTAGTGAGTGTTAGTGTGTGTGAGTGTTAGAGTGAGTGTTAGTGTGAGTGAGTATTAGTGTGTGAGAGTGTTAGAGTGAGTGTTAGTGTGAGTGAGTGTTAGTGTGTGAGAGTGTTAGAGTGAGTGTTAGTGTGTCTGCTAGTGAGTGTTAGTGTGTGTGAGTGTTAGAGTGAGTGTTAGAGTGAGTTAGTGAGTGTTAGTGTGAGTGTTAGTGTGAGTGTTAGTGTGAGTGTTAGTGTGAGTGTTAGTGTTAGTGTGTTAGTGTTAGTGTGAGTGTTAGTGTGTGAGAGTGTGTGTTAGTGTGTGAGAGTGTTAGTGTGTGTGTTAGTGTGTCTGCTAGTGAGTGTTAGTGTGTGTGAGTGTTAGAGTGAGTGTGTGTTAGAGTGAGTGTGTGTTAGTGTGAGTGTGTGTTAGTGTGAGTGTGTGTTAGTGTGAGTGTGTGTTAGTGTGTGAGAGTGTTAGTGTGTGAGAGTGTTAGTGTGTGAGAGTGTTAGTGTGTGAGAGTGTTAGTGTGTGAGAGTGTTAGTGTGTGAGTGTGTGTGTCTGCTAGTGAGTGTCAGTGAGTGTGTTACTGTGTGTGTCTTACTGAGTGTGTGTGTGTTAGTGAGTCTGTTTGATGTCTGTTAGTGAGTGTGTGTTTGTCAATGAGGGTGTATGTTTTGTAAGTGAGTGTGTATGTATGTCTGTCGCTGACTGTATCTCTGTCAGTAAATGTGTGTGTCTGTTAGCTAGTGTGTATGCGTCTGTAAGTGTGTGTGTGTGTGTGTCTTCAGCACTTACCTTTCTCCAGCGCCGGACTCCCTTGGCGCTGAGGATCCCTCAGCCTCTCAGCTCCGAATGCGACCGCGCACGCATTCAAACCGCCCATAGGAAAGCATTACTCAATGCTTTCCTATGGACGTTCAGTGTGCTCCTCTAGCGGCTGTCAGTGAGACAGCCACTAGAGGCTGGATTAACCCTCAGTGAAACATAGCAGTTTCTCTGAAACTGCTATGTTTTCAGCTGCAGGGTTAAAACTAGAGGGACCTGACACCCAGACAACTTCATTGAGCTGATGTGATCTGGGTGTCTGTAGTGGTCCTTTAACCCCTTAAGGACACATGACATGTGTGACATGTCATGATTCCCTTTATTCCAGAAGTTTGGTCCTTAAGGGTTGACCACTATAGTGCCAGGAAAACATACTCGTTTTCCTGGCACTATAGTGCCCTGAGGGTGCCCCCACCCTCAGGGACCCCCTCCCGCCCGGCTCTGGAAAGGGGTAAAACTTACCTTTTTTCCAGCGCTGGGCGGAGAGCTCTCCTCCTCCGATTCTCCTCCCCGTCGGCTGTATGCGCACGCACGGGGTTAACATTAAAAAAGTTTTAAAATAATCTTTAAAAAGTTAAAAATTAAGCTTTAAAAAGTTTTAATAACATTAAAGGAGTTATGGAAAAATGGGGAATTTACTGTTAGTGCTGCTTACTGCTAGTTAGGGGTTAACGGTAAAAAAATTAATAAGCAAGTTTTCTCTGAAACTGCTATGTTTATGAAAAAATGGGTTAACCCTAGCTGGACCTGGCACCCAGACCACTTCATTAAGCTGAAGTGGTATGGGTGCCTAGAATGGTCCTTTAAGTGTGTGTGCATTTGCATGCACTGGCGTACATACCGCGGTCGCAGGGGTCGCAGCCCTGTAACCCCTGCGACCAGGTGCCCACCGCCATGTGTTGCGGCCCGGCCCGCACGCGGGGGGGGGCCCACGGATCAATTTTCGCACCGGGGCCCCATGGGTCATGTGTACGCCACTGGATCTTTCCCTGGGGTCCAGTGAGGCTGCTCTTTCTTCCTCCGTGCGAAGGAGCAGTAATCTATCTGCAGCTCCTCTATGCTCCCTGTAGTGATGCCGGGACCGGAATGACATTATATTCCGGCTCCCGGCATCACTTTATAGTGTGAGGGTGCAGATAAGAGCTGCAGAAAGATCACTGCTTTTTCACGAGTTGCCTCTGCCGACCACTTCGATGCTCCTCAGGGTGGGTGGCCAGCAACAACACTCCCTGAGCTGACCGCCTCCATGCTCCCCAGAATGGCCAGTCTGCTCCATTGTTTGCCGAGTCGGCCGCTTTAGCTAAAGGGCTGACAACTCCCAGGTGCCAGGGCGTGATTTCTAGTCACAAAGCGACCTGAGATTTGTCAAGACCTGCTATAGACGCATAAACAACTTTAGTCTAATGAAGCAGTTTTGGTGTATAGACCATTGCCTCTTTTAAAAGACAAAAATATGTATATTTTCTTGGGATGAGTGTGAGAATAATGCTCGAACTGTGTCCAATATTCAGATGGTGGGGTTTTCTGTTTCTTATTCCCCAGAAAACCTTGGCTTGCTTCAAGTTGTAAGAGTGATATAATTTGATATATTAGTTATTTTTGAAAGAAGAGAAAAATATATAAAATTTTTTAGGAGGTTAGATTTTATGTAGGCAGACACATAGGATATTCACTGTATGAATGACTATAAGACAATGTTCACTCTTACTTACTAATGGCCAGTGGGGAATTGCAAGTTAAAATAAAAGGTGAATCAAAAACCATTTAATTCAGAAATCAGCTGCACTCATTGGTAATTTAGAATTGTATCCTGTCTGTCTATAGCATATGTAATAACGTATCTATTGTCCACATCCACCCCTTTCTTAAAGGGACACTACAGGCACCCAGACCGCTTCGTTTCGTTGAAGTGGTCTGTGTGCATTGTCCCTGATCTCTTAACACTGCAATGTAACCACGATGCCGTTTTTGAGAAACTGCAATGTTTACATTGAAGGGTTAAGACTGCCTCAAGTGGCCGTCTACCAGACAGCCAATAGAGGTTCTGCGCATGGGACATCCAGCGCATTGAAAATCCCCATAGGAAAACACAGACAATGCTTTTCTATGGGAAAGGCATAATGCGCATGTGGCACTCGCCACACATGTGCTTTAGGTTCCCCGTTGGCTGACGGTGGAAAAGTGTGACTCAGTGCTAGAATCAGGTAAGTGTAAAATATTTAAGAAGTCCTTTAAAACGTCATCTATTCTGAGTAGCCTATTGTCTTTCAGAGTAACTATTATTTCACACTCCACTCTTACCTTCCAATTCTGCTACTTTTCAACCATGTCACCTGGTTCCTATCTCCAAACATGCCCTTCCTATTGTGTTTATACCCCTCGTCCTCTAGACTGTAAGTTCTTTTGAGCAGAGTCCTCATCAATCTATTGTTCCTGTAACAATTTGCATTTGTCTAACTTTTTGTTAAATGTTTGCCTTTATAATATTGTAAAGTGCTGTGGAATAAGTTGGCGATATATAAATGCCAATAATAATAATCATCTATAATTGTACTATGTGCATGTACTCTCCAGGACATGCCTTAAAACCCATCTCTTTAGGAAAGCTTACAGCCTCCCAGAGTAACCTCTACCTCATATACCTGTCTCTTGCTCTCTCCTACAGGGCAGCTCTCTAAATCTCTCCTCCAGCTCTGCTTCACTCCCACCTTATGTGATTGATATTTCCTGTCCTAATGTGTTTTATGCCCCACCTCCAATAGACTGTAAGCTTGTTTGAGCAGGGTCCTCTTCAACCTATCGTTCCTGTAAGTTTTTTGTAATTGTCCTATTTATAGTTAAACCACCACTCTTGATATATTGTAAAGCGCTACAGAATCTGTTGGCGCTAAATAAATGCCAATAATAATAATAATACTTGAAAACAAGAGAACTCTCAACGTATGCTTCCTGATAAACATCAAATAAATCAATAAGGAATGTATAGCTGGAAATGTCTCCTAGTTAAAGTAGAAAAAAACAAATACAACATTGTAGCCAGTGAACGTCATCCAGATCTGAACAAAATTTACATAGGTAATGCACATTAGCATCTTGCCTTAGGGAACAGGCCATGGGCACGCGTAAGATATTCAGTTAAAACGGTTTGAAACAGAACTCGGGGGCACTTATAGTGTCCCTTTAAGGAACCAAAGAATTCTGTATAAGTGCACATCAACCTGCCCTGATGAATAAAAGGGGTTTAAATGATATGTAAATAAAAATGAACAGGCTGGATGGTCCAATTGGCTTTTAATATCACAGGATGGGTTTCTATAAAAGTCAGAAGTGCAGAATTTTTAGAAGTAGGTAGATTTTGCATTGTCAGTCAAATTATTAGATATATTACTAGTGCGCTATCATAAACACAAAACACATAATTATACCTGGCCATGGGCAACCTGCATGCACACCTTAATTACATGTTCACAGCTTCATGGTGTGTGCCTGACACAAATGGAATTTCAACATTAAATTGCCTTTAACTGTCTCTGATCACATGCTCAGTGTTGTAGGCTCTGCCAAGACTGTATTATTAAAATGTTTCAGGGGATGGTAGTTCAATTTAATAAGGTTAAATACCCATGGGGGAAAGGCTAAAATATGCACTGATTACATCAACGTATTCCCTTGTGCAACAGCTTGAAGCTGGTATTTCCAGCTCTGTACAGCTCACTGGAAGAAATAACATACTGTGCAGGCTGTTTATTCCCAACAATCAACTTGGTGTATTTCCATGATCGTGTGTATGCTCCCATCCATTTCTGGTATCTAAACTCCTAAAAGACTGTACTAGGAGGGTTATTCTAAATTGTAGAAAATTAAAACTGAGCTGAACCATTTAGAATAAAATAGCTAAACTGTGACAATAGATGAGTTTCAAAATTTTTCTTATCAGCTAATCTAGCCTATATTTTCCCATTTGCATTTCAATTCACTATAGTTCAGATTTTAGTTAATAACTCCCCACCCCCTCCAAATTTCCAGCTAAGATATGTTTGGCCTTAAATTTGGAAATGCCCTTTAAATCCCCTAGCAATTCATTGTTTAGTGAACAACCCAGTGGCGTAAATTCTATAAGGAGTAAATTGCAGGAATGTAAAACTGAATTGCATAAATTATGCGAAAATAGCAGATTTGGAAACATTTTCAGAATGTTCTTGGTGCAGTGCCCCTGCTGTTTTAACCCCTGCATTGCAAAACATTTTCACTTTGCAGAAGCAGCAAAGTTTTCATTACAGGTTAAACACAACTCTCTACAGACTGTTTTCCTGGGAGAACAGTTAGACTTAGTTTTCAATGAAATGCTGCCCATACAGACCAGTCTATTGCAGAGTTATTCACTAAATACTGATTTTGAGTAATATGAATGACACAGCTAGACACAGCTTGAAAATTTAAAGGGACAATATAAACACCCAAACCACTTCATGGCATTCCCTGTGTCCCCTTAACACTGCACTGTGAATTATTGCAGTTTCTGAGAAATTACAATAATTATATTCCAGGGCTAATTTTTACTCTAGTGGCAGGGTTGACTTTTCCTATGATGAAGTCCTAGAGCGCATGCAGTGCGTATTAGGTTCTCCCCATCGCTGATGTAGCCGGAGGAGTATCCCAACCCAGTGCATAGGGACCTCAGCACTGGAATCAGGCTAAAAATCATTTTGTGACAGGGGACAACGACACTAGAGATGTAGAAGCATCCTATAATGTTAGGAATACAAAGCTGTATTCCAAACATTATACTGTTCCTTTAAGCATACTTGTTTTGCCATTTGGATTTCAATTTTCTAAAACTCCAAATGATATTTACTAAAGTAGGAATTCAAAGATAATTTCAAATTTAAGGCAGGAGTGTAACTGAATTTTTTAAGTTTTGCTATTTGGACCTTAAATTTGAAATTCACTTTGAATTTTCACCTGTGTTTTACTATGTTAGTGAGAAAGATCAAAATGAGAAAATTAAACCATAGTTCCAATTCAGAAAACACACCACAGTGCAACGTTTTTAGTACCTTAAATCCCAAAACAATCTTGCGACCAACAGCATAAACAGCATATCAACCAAAAAAACCCCACAATTTCTATACTAGCAAACAACAGAAATGTAATAAACAAACAGCAAAACAATGACCGTTATTCTCTCAAGTGAATTGTTCAAATTGAATTTAAAAGTTTAAACCAAAAGAGCAGAATTGGAAACATTCTCAGTTATGCCTTCAGTTTGGCTACTTTGGGCTAATATGTAAAATTCATGTTAAATTCCCAACAATTCTCACTTTAGTTAATAATCCTGTTGGTTTCACCAACCAGAAGAATGTAATTGGTTAAAAGGATATTGTTGGAAATTACGCATGTTCATTCTAGTATTGAATGCTCATTGTGAAAAATGTGCTTCATAAAGGCTGAAATAACAGAGTTGGAACTTTTTTTTATCAGTTTTGTTTTGATCTACATTTTAAAATTCAGTTGCCACTTACATTTTTAAAAACATTTATTTGTCGGGTTTAAAGGAACATTATAGGGTCAGGAATACAAATGTGTATTCCTGACTAGAGATGTCGCGAACCGTTCGCGAACTTCCCGCGAACGGCTCGCCGCGAGCTCCGGTCAGCTGACACATCCCGGGCAGCTTCAACATGGATGCTGTCCAGGAGGTGGGAGGGTCTGGGAGGGAGGATCTGCTGGAGATTGGCCGGGATGTGTCAGCTGACCGGAGCTCGCCACGAGCCGTTCGCGGTGAACCGCAGCGAGCCGTTCGCGACTTCTCTATTCCTGACTAGTGATGTCCCAAACTGTTCACCGAATAGTTCGCCACGGACTCATCATTGAGTAAACTTTGACCCTGCACCTCACAGTCAGCAGACACATTCCAGCCAATCAGCAGCAGCCCCTCCCACCTCCTGGACAGCTCACTAAGAATGCAGCTTCACAATGGATGCTGTCCAGGAGGTGGGAGGGAGGGGCTGCTGCTGATTGGCTGGAATGTGTCTGCTGACTGTGAGGTACAGGGTCAAAGTTTACTCAATGATGAGTCCGCGGCAAACTGATCGCGGCGAACCGTTCGCGAACATCACTATTTCTGACCCCTTAGTGTTGAAAACACTATTTAGGTCACTGGCCCACTTCTGCCACCTTCAAATAGGATCCAAACTTACATTTATTACGCTGGCAATACTCTGCCTGCATGGCTGAAATCATCAGAATTGACTATCTCAGCAAATCTAATGCTTTCCCATAGAAATATATTGAAAGGGTAATGTGCATGCGCAGAAAAACGCAGCTCTGCACCAATCAGCATCTCTGTAGGGAATGCATCTCTATAGGGAAAGTTCAGCAGAGCGTGGAGACGATGAACGTTACCCAGGAAGCAAATATAGTGACTGTCTGAGTGACAACCACAGGAGGTGTCCCTAGGCAGTAAGGTAAACGCTGCCTTTTCTCTGAAAATGCCTACAGGGACATACTATACTTACCATAACAACTATATTAAGCTGTAGTTATGGTGGCTACAGTGTCCCTTCAATGTGTAGATTGGTTAAATAATCCTTAAGGTCTATCAAATGAGTTAAGCATTTGGGTTTTCTTATAAGGTGTATAGGGGATATAAATCATAAAGTTTTACCTTATACACTAATAGGGGCTATAAATCATAAATAATTATATGTGGCAATGCTGTATGAACACACATGCAGTATATTGTATATCCCCTATTAATTAGATAAAGCTTTATTATTTTAGCCTATATTATGGAATAAGGTAAAATATGATTTATATCCTCTATATACCTTAAATAATGTATATATTATCCCAGGTAAGACATGATACTGAGTGTTATGATATGGACACACAGTATAATTTATATCCTCTATACTCATTACACAATATATATATTATCCCAGGTAAGACATGATACTGAGTGTTATGATATGAACACACAGTATAATTTATATCCTCTATATACCTTACATAATATATATATTATCCCAGGTAAGACATGATACTGAGTGTTATGATATGAACACACAGTATAATTTATATCCTCTATACACCTTACATAATATATGACTTGATAAATGACAAATGACTTGATCGACGTTTCGACCCAATAGGGTCTTCCTCAGGATCCTGAGGAAGACCCTATTGGGTCGAAACGTCGATCAAGTCATTTGTAAACCTTATATGGATTAAAATACACTATATTTCTTCTAAAAAGACCTCTGAGTGCATCCTTTTTCAACTATACTATTTATCAGCATAGGTCTGCACCGGGGCACAGTGACTATTACTTCTTTGAAGCAAGGGTGAGTGCCATTATTATGTTTTATATATATATATATATATATTATCCCAGGTAAGACATGATACAGAGTGTAATGATATGGACACACAGTATAATTTATATCCTCTATATACCTTACACAATATATATATTATCCCAGGTAAGACATGATACTGAGTGTTATGATATGAACACACAGTATAATTTATATCCTCTACAGGGAGTGCAGAATTATTAGGCAAATGAGTATTTTGACCACATCATCCTCTTTATGCATGTTGTCTTACTCCAAGCTGTATAGGCTCGAAAGCTACTACCAATTAAGCATATTAGGTGATGTGCATCTCTGTAATGAGAAGGGGTGTGGTCTAATGACATCAACACCCTATATCAGGTGTGCATAATTATTAGGCAACTTCCTTTCCTTTGGCAAAATGGGTCAAAAGAAGGACTTGACAGGCTCAGAAAAGTCAAAAAATAGTGAGATATCTTGCAGAGGGATGCAGCACTCTTAAAATTGCAAAGCTTCTGAAGCGTGATCATCGAACAATCAAGCGTTTCATTCAAAATAGTCAACAGGGTCGCAAGAAGCGTGTGGAAAAACCAAGGCGCAAAATAACTGCCCATGAACTGAGAAAAGTCAAGCGTGTAGCTGCCACGATGCCACTTGCCACCAGTTTGGCCATATTTCAGAGCTGCAACATCACTGGAGTGCCCAAAAGCACAAGGTGTGCAATACTCAGAGACATGGCCAAGGTAAGAAAGGCTGAAAGACGACCACCACTGAACAAGACACACAAGCTGAAACGTCAAGACTGGGCCAAGAAATATCTCAAGACTGATTTTTCTAAGGTTTTATGACTGATGAAATGAGAGTGAGTCTTGATGGGCCAGATGGATGGGCCCGTGGCTGGATTGGTAAAGGGCAGAGAGCTCCAGTCCGACTCAGACGCCAGCAAGGTGGAGGTGGAGTACTGGTTTGGGCTGGTATCATCAAAGATGGGCTTGTGGGGCCTTTTTCGGGTTGAGGATGGAGTCAAGCTCAACTCCCAGTCCTACTGCCAGTTCCTGGAAGACACCTTCTTCAAGCAGTGGTACAGGAAGAAGTCTGCATCCTTCAAGAAAACATGATTTTCATGCAGGACAATGCTCCATCACACGCGTCCAAGTACTCCACAGCGTGGCTGGCAAGAAAGGGTATAAAAGAAGAAAATCTAATGACATGGCCTCCTTGTTCACCTGATCTGAACCCCATTGAGAACCTGTGGTCCATCATCAAATGTGAGATTTACAAGGAGGGAAAACAGTACACCTCTCTGAACAGTGTCTGGGAGGTTGTGGTTGCTGCTGCACGCAATGTTGATGGTGAACAGATCAAAACACTGACAGAATCCATGGATGGCAGGCTTTTGAGTGTCCTTGCAAAGAAAGGTGGCTATATTGTCACTGATTTGTTTTTGTTTTGTTTTTGAATGTCAGAAATGTATATTTGTGAATGTTGAGATGTTATATTGGTTTCACTGGTAATAATAAATAATTGAAATGGGTATATATTTGTTTTTTGTTAAGTTGCCTAATAATTATGCACAGTAATAGTCACCTGCACACACAGATATCCCCCTAACATAGCTAAAACTAAAACAAACTAAAAACTACTTCCAAAAATATTCAGCTTTGATATTAATGAGTTTTTTGGGTTCATTGAGAACATGGTTGTTGTTCAATAATAAAATTAATCCTCAAAAATACAACTTGCCTAATAATTCTGCACTCCCTGTATACACATTACATAATATATATATTATCCCAGGTAAGACATGATACTGAGTGTTATGATATGAACACACAGTATAATTTATATCCTCTATACACCTTACACAATATATATATTATCCCAGGTAAGACATGATACTGAGTGTTATGATATGAACACACAGTATAATTTATATCCTCTATACACCTTACACAATATATATATTATCCCAGGTAAGACATGATACTGAGTGTTATGATATGGACACACAGTATAATTTATATCCTCTATACTCATTACACAATATATATATTATCCCAGGTAAGACATGATACTGAGTGTTATAATATGAACACACAGTATAATTTATATCCTCTATACACCTTACATAATATATATATTATCCCAGGTAAGACATGATACTGAGTGTTATGATATGAACACACAGTATAATTTATATCCTCTATACACCTTACACAATATATATATTATACCAGGTAAGACATGATACTGAGTGTTATGATATGAACACACAGTATAATTTATATCCTCTATACACCTTACACAATATATATATTATCCCAGGTAAGACATGATACTGAGTGTTATGATATGGACACACAGTATAATTTATATCCTCTATACACACTACACAATATATATATTATCCCAGGTAAGACATGATACTGAGTGTTATGATATGAACACACAGTATAATTTATATCCTCTATACACATTACATAATATATATATTATCCCAGGTAAGACATATGATACTGAGTGTTATGATGAACACACAGTATACTCCTATATCCTATAATATCTTTACACAATATATATATATTATAAATTGTGGTAAGACATGATACTGAGTGTTAAGATATGAACCCACAGTATAATTTTATATCATCTATACACCTTACATAATATATATACTATCCTAGGTAGATTACATATCAAGAGTGTTAAGTGATATGAACACACACAGTATAATTTATATCCTCTATACACCCATATAATATATATATTATCCCAGGTAAGACATGATAATTGAGTGTTATGGATATGAACACACACAGTATAAATTTATATCCTCTATACACCCACACAATATATATATTATCCCAGGTAAGACATGATACTGGAGTGTTGCGATATGGACACACAGTATACCATATCCCTATACACCTACACAATATATATATTATCCCAGGTAAGACATGATACTGAGTGTTATGATAGGAACACACAGTATAATTTATATCCTCTATATACCTTACACAATATATATATTATCCCAGGTAAGACATGATACTGAGTGTTATGATAGGAACACACAGTATAATTTATATCCTCTATACACATTACATAATATATATATTATCCCAGGTAAGACATGATACTGAGTGTTATGATATGAACACACAGTATAATTTATATCCTCTATATACCTTACACAATATATATATTTTCCCAGGTAAGACATGATACTGAGTGTTATGATATGAACACACAGTATAATTTATATACTCTATACACCTTACACAATATATATATTATCCCAGGTAAGACATGATACTGAGTGTTATGATATGAACACACAGTATAATTTATATCCTCTATACACCTTACACAATATATATATTATCCCAGGTAAGACATGATACTGAGTGTTATGATATGAACACACAGTATAATTTATATCATCTATACAGCTTACATAATATATATATATATTATCCCAGGTAAGACATGATACTGAGTGTTATGATATGAACACACAGTATAATTTATATCCTCTATACACCTTACACAATATATATATTATCCCAGGTAAGACATGATACTGAGTGTTATGATATGGACACACAGTATAATTTATATCCTCTATACACACTACACAATATATATATTATCCCAGGTAAGACATGATACTGAGTGTTATGATATGAACACACAGTATAATTTATATCCTCTATACACATTACATAATATATATATTATCCCAGGTAAGACATGATACTGAGTGTTATGATAGGAACACACAGTATAATTTATATCCTCTATACACCTTACATAATATATATATTATCCCAGGTAAGACATGATACTGAGTGTTATGATAGGAACACACAGTATAATTTATATCCTCTATACACATTACATAATATATATATTATCCCAGGTAAGACATGATACTGAGTGTTATGATATGAACACACAGTATAATTTATATCCTCTATACACATTACATAATATATATATTATCCCAGGTAAGACATGATACTGAGTGTTATGATAGGAACACACAGTATAATTTATATCCTCTATACACTTACACAATATATATATTATCCCAGGTAAGACATGATACTGAGTGTTATGATAGGAACACACAGTATAATTTATATCCTCTATACACATTACATAATATATATATTATCCCAGGTAAGACATGATACTGAGTGTTATGATATGAACACACAGTATAATTTATATCCTCTATACACCTTACACAATATATATATATTATCCCAGGTAAGACATGATACTGAGTGTTATGATATGAACACACAGTATAATTTATATCCTCTATACACCTTACACAATATAAATATTATCCCAGGTAAGACATGATACTGAGTGTTATGATAGGAACACACAGTATAATTTATATCCTCTATACACCTTACACAATATATATATTATCCCAGGTAAGACATGATACTGAGTGTTATGATATGGAACACACAGTATAATTTATATCCTCTATACACTTACATAATATATATATTATCCCAGGTAAGACATGATACTGAGTGTTATGATATGTAACACACAGTATAATTTATATCCTATACACCTTACAATATATATATTATCCAGGTAAGCATGATACTGAGTGTTATGATATGAACACACAGTATAATTTATATCCTCTATACACCTTACACAATATATATATTATCCCAGGTAAGACATGATACAGAGTGTTATGATATGAACACACAGTATAATTTATATCCTCTATACACCTTACACAATATATATATTATCCCAGGTAAGACATGATACTGAGTGTTATGATATGAACACACAGTATAATTTATATCCTCTATATACCTTACATAATATATATATATATTATCCCAGGTAAGACATGATACTGAGTGTTATGATAGGAACACACAGTATAATTTATATCATCTATACACCTTACATAATATATATATTATCCCAGGTAAGACATGATACTGAGTGTTATGATATGAACACACAGTATAATTTATATCCTCTATACACCTTACATAATATATATATTATCCCAGGTAAGACATGATACTGAGTGTTATGATATGAACACACAGTATAATTTATATCCTCTATACACCTTACATAATATATATATTATCCCAGGTAAGACATGATACTGAGTGTTATGATATGGACACACAGTATAATTTATATCCTCTATACACCTTACACAATATATATATATTATCCCAGGTAAGACATGATACTGACCTCCTGTAAGGTCCTGCTCCCCAGTCTGCCTGTCTTCCTGCTGCCAGGCTCCTCTGTGCCCAGTAACACCTCTCCTACAGCAAGCCCCACAGGACAAACCAGTCCGGAGCGCGAAGCCAGCAGTCACCCACTGCGGCCCAATGGAATGACAAGGTGGGAGGGCGGCGGCGAGACAGCAGCAGCCCGGAAATGCGTGCGGGCGGGCGCAGACAGACAGGCAGGTGCACGCTTTGATCTGCGGTTGTGTGGACATCCAGTCGCGTCAAGAATAGCTCGGTCGGTTTAGAAATAAAAAACAACCAACAGCTATAAACATCATTTTTAGGAAATCGCGAAGTTTTGGTTCTGTACCCCCTTGGTGGTGAATGTTATGCCTATTCAGGGGGATGACAGGACCCTGTGTGAAAATTTGAATGAGTGTTGGTGTAAAATGGTGCAAAGTCCATCTATTGCAGACTTACAGCCAATGTGCTCTTGGAGACGGCACAGAGCGGCTGGAACCCACTATCTGGCTAAATCAGGTCCCAAACATGCAGTATAATCAATGGTACTCCAAAAACGGTGGGACCGGAAGTGTTTACTTTTCCGACTTCCGGCGACCGCAGCAGGGCTCCGCCATGATGTTGGAGTCTGTTTCACAGATGCATGGTGGTGGTTTGCTGGAGTAACTGGATATCCCTGTGCTGCCACTCTCTGATCCACTGATACCAGTAAGGATTACCGTCTGATAGATAGGTAACGGAGGGAAGCAGCCTGGGAGACTGGCTCACTGCTGGTAGGGGGGCACAGGGTAAATAAGGAATGGGGTAACTGTGAGAGGGGCACAGGCTAAATAAGGAACTGGGTAACTGTGAGAGGGGCACAGGCTAAATAAGGAACTGGGTAACTGTGAGAGGGGCACAGGCTAAATAAGGAACTGGGTAACTGTGAGAGGGGCACAGGGTAAATAAGGAACTGGGTAACTGTGAGAGGGGCACAGGCTAAATAAGGAACTGGGTAACTGTGAGAGGGGCACAGGCTAAATAAGGGACTGGGTAACTGTGAGAGGGGCACAGGCTAAATAAGGGACTGGGTAACTGTGAGAGGGGCACTTTTGGATCAACAGCAACAACATTTGTGAGGAAGGCTGAACTTGATGGACTCAAGTCTCTTTTCAGCTATGTACTATGTAACTATGAACGGGGTAACTGTGAGAGGTGCACAGGCTACATAAGGCTGCTGGTCCACATTCACATATATATACACCATGGAGGAGGGCATACCTGGCAGGTAATCCTCTGTACAAGAAACAGTCCATGTTCTGAGCCCAAATCTCACAGCCCTACTCTTTGCTATCCCACTATTCCTTTATTTAGTCCCAATATTCAGTCAAATGGATTGTAAGAGCTTTCACAGTAAAACCCATAATAATTGTCCTAATATATATATAATTTAGGATACAATGTAAACTATTGTGTGAGGATACAATGTATGACCCTGTAGTTGGAGCCAGTGGCGAATCCAGAGCCTGATCTCAGGAGGGATACTTGTACATTATTTAAAGAAATAATCTAGGCACAATAACCACTACAGCTGTGTGTAGTAGTTATGGTGCCAATAGTGCCAGCATCCCATCCCAGAGTAAGTAGTGAAACCGTTTAAGAACAGTTTGATAACTTACCTGGGGTCTGCTGGGATATAGGGCATAGGAGTAGTGGTATGTGTTAGGGGTGATGTGTGCGGTGAAGTGTGAGGGCGGCAGTGTGTGTGAGGCTTGCAGTGTATATGGGTGGGGGGCACTGTATGGGGAGGCATGGTGTGTGTGTGGGGCAGTTTTTTGGGGGCAGTGTGTGTATGGGGGAGGAGGGTAGGGAGGCTTTTGAATAATTTTTAAATTTATTTTTATTTAATAAAATAAATATATTGATATGTGTGGGGCACTGTGTGGGGGGCATTGTATGTATGGGGGGCAGTGTGTGCATGTGGGGGCAGATTTTTGGGGGCAATGTATGTATGGGGGGGGGAGGAGGGTAGGGAGGCTTTTTAATAAGTTTTTAATTTATTTTTATTTAATAAAATAAATATATTGATGTCCCCCTTCCCTTCTTACCTTTACTGAGGGAGGAGGGGGGACATGTCTTGATCCCTGGACATGTCTTGATCCCTGTTCACACTCGCAAGATCCGGAGCGTTGCTGTGGTAACCGTGCTCGCGAGAGTAGGACCCGGAGGAGCTGCAGGTTGTGCTCCCGGGTCCTCACTCCCTCCCCTGCCGGCTGCCAGCACGTTGCCTGCAGACCAGGAAGGGAGATCACTGATCTCCCCTACTGTCCGTGAAGGCACATTGCAGGGCTGGCGCTTGGACAGGGCCAGCACTGCATTAGCCGGCAGGGGAGAATCGGGGGGGCAATTGCCCCGTTGCCCCCCTCACCCCCTGGATCCGCCAGTGTATTGTTCTCATTGGGAATAAGAGTCCTACTGGAGGGATTATTGCCAAGCACGGTCTATCATTGGGAGGGAGGCAGTAGAAAGGGTTAAGTGTTGCAGTAATGCAACTCCCATAAACCCTTGATCAGCTACTGTAATGTGTCTGTATATGTGCGCACATATGGGGGGGGGGCAGATTTCCATCATGGTCACCATAAAAACATTGAAGCCTTAGATTTCTGTGACATTGTCTGTTCCATCTTTTCAGTTTATAAGAGATGTTTAAGAAACCAAATCGCACTCTTCGTGTGCGGAAAGCAGAATCCAGCGAGGACGAAGAAGAAGAGACTCTGCCTGAGCAGCTTGTTGACAAAAGACAGAAAAGAGTCGGCAGCCGTGGCTTGGCATGTGGAACCAGAGACAGGAAAACTGTTCATGCTGCAAAAATTGCCAGCTATGCGGATGAAGATGAGGAGGAAAGTAATTCTGAGCCTGAAGATGCTGATATCAATGAGGACTTCAGGAAGCAGCGGAGGGCTGGGGGACCCCACAGTTTGCTGAGCTTCACTGAAGAGAAAGAAGGTGACAAATAGCTCTTAGTTGCCACAAACACTTATTATTTTTATAAAATTTCTCAGTAGTTTATTCTTTTTAGCCCCCACCTTTGTTATTGTGTTCTGCATTCTGCTGCCAATTTTAAAGTATCTGTAATCAAGGGGCAGCCACTAAGAAGACCCCCAGATTCTGTAAAATCACAAGTCACGTTTGGTTGGACAACTTTAAAGGAATACGATAGGTACCAAAATAACTTTTGCTTAATGAAGCAGTTTTGGTGTTTAGACTATGCCATTGCAGTCTATGGCAATACTTTGCCATTTAGGAGATAAATCACTTATACAGCACTTGTCACACTTCCTTGCATGTGACCTGTACAGCCTCCTTACACACTTACTCTAAAGAGATTTAATGTTTAAACTTTCTTTATTCCTTTAATTTAAAAGTTATTTTCTCCTGCTCTGTTATTAGTGTTCTCGATCCTGCAGGAGCCAAAGTATAGAAATAAAAGACCAAAAGGGTAAACCGTTTAGTAGGTGAGGCCCTTAGGAAAGCGAGTAACCCAAATTAAAACGGAACTTTTAAGAAATATAATAAAAGAAATGAGTGAAAAAAATACTAAATCAAATATATAAAAAAATTAGTCAGCAGAATAAATATAACTTCTGCCTGTATAAGGAAAAATAAATTCCACAAAGGTGCATAAAGCACATAGAGTATACAGAGTATCTAAGTAATACTGTCAAAATAAATATTCAGAATACGTAGCTAGAAAATTAAATAATAATTGAAGTATGAAGGAAATATAAATGAATAAACTCAAAAGAATGTAGATATCAGTCCCATAATGTCTCACTGTCAAAAAACCGTGATAATTGGAAGCTTAGATGCCTACTGCAAGGAATTGATACAGGATTAGCAACAAATGTAACTGCAAGCTGAAAATCACATATGTTGCTTCTCTAATAACCCAGACAGGGGAGATAACACAAAGAGTAAAAAGACTGTTAGTCTTGCCAGAGATCGAGGTGGTTATCGAGGAGAGAAAGTGGATAGGAAAGACTAGCTTCCCTACTCTGCTGTGCCTACAAGGGCACCCCTTAAAAAAATACTAGAAACCCCCTCCCCTTGTCTAAGTAGAATAAAGGCAGTATGTCAAACAAAAAAAAACAAAAAATGATAAATAAAGAAAGGAATAAACATAAAAGATAAAATAAATCTCGTATGGGTGGTGTAATCTAATGGTATCAAGGCATGTCCCCTTATCAACAGGACCAACACCATACAAAATAATGTCCTGACGAACGTTTCGCCGTTAAGGCTCTTCCAGAGGAACAGAATCAAATTTTGCAATGATATAAATAGGGCGTCTCTGTCCCTAATTGGCTTTCCGTTCACCAATCCATGAATGGATTAAATGTAGATCCTGCGAAGCCTCCTGAAAGTTACATTTACAGAGCTAAAAGTAAAATAAGTTAAGGTCTGATTGAAAATGAAACCATTTTTGTCGTGCAGGCTGCCTAAGTCACATGCAGGTGAAGTGTGGCAAGGACTGCATGGACAGAAAAAAGGTGATTTAACTCCTAAATGGCAGAGAAGTGAGCACTGAGACTGCAGGGGCATCATCAATACACAGAATCTTCTTTATTAAGCTAAAGTTGCTTTGGTGCCTTTTTGTATCACTCTAATGATCTTGGTATATTTGTACAGCAAGGTGGGAATCCACCTTAGATTAACCCTAGCATTTTCAGTCTAACACTTGTGGTTCTTCATGCTGTTCCAATAGCTGTCTCCATCTCCTTTTAAAATGTGCAGTTATGTATCGTTGACACTTTACTCTCCCAAAACTAGCTGTACACATTGTTTTGCTGCATTACTGATATTTACAATACCACTTTCAAAATGAACTCCACTCTGTCCTGCTGTACATTTATGCCATACATAATTTTTCGCTGTATCTTTCAGAAGGCAACTGCTTTATAAGCGATAATATGCAGAGAAACTGCTCTATTTACAATTTTGACAAAAAGGTAATTGGGAGCACACCCAAAACATGCATTTTACTGGAATGGTGCTGCTGTAGTGGCCAAAATGTATAAATACTACAGATTAAGAACAGCGGACACATAAAAATACAATTTAAAATGTTATAATGCTAATTAAAATCACCTATTTTAGAAAACAAACATAGGGATTCAGTTCCACCATCTGGCCATATTGTGTTAAGCACACTACTACTTCACAGTACCCCAATATCAGTGAGTCCTACACTAATACCAACATGGGAGACAAATTAAATAGTACTAGCGCTAAATAAGCTAAGGTGTACTTTAATAAATTGTTGTAAGAGCATTGTGAATATATATAATGCAAAATTAATGTGATAAACGCAATTCAAAAAAATACAGTGTCAAAACTAAACAATTAAAGTGATAGTGCTTTTATGTATATACTCACAATACATATCACACATCTGCTCTTTACCAAATTTAAATTATAATTAAAGTTACATTACTATAAAAAAAAAAAAAAAAACTCCTCATTAGCTGTCTAAAGTAATATGTAGACCAGGGCTAAAAATTCCACTAGCCTTAGGCAAATGAAAATGTAGCCCTGACAAGTAGAAAGTCGCCCCTTATGAATAAGCTTGGACCCTCCAATGGTGAGTAACTTTTAAGGCCTAGTTGGTTTCTTAGGACTTGAAATATTAAACCCTGGTGTAGATTATTATTTTTGCTGAGTTATAATCAGCTTCCATGTGGGAATGTTTTACGTTGGACTAAATTAATATAATCTAAACCACCTACTTTGTAATTAAGCATTTGCTATATAATTGAAGTAATATTTGTTATACTAATATTGAAAACTTTAAAATTTACTTTTGTCTAAATAATTTATTGCAAGATTATTTAATTGTTTCTTTCCTTTTGCAATATATATATATATATATATTTTATTTTAAACACAATTAAGATTGGCTATAACCTACACTATATCTAATGTTGATAACCATGAGTATAAAGAAATATTTCCTGTTTCAATATGACTTTTTTATTTTTAATTTTCTAGGTGAAGAGGTATCCTTTCAAATCAAAAAACCTTCTGTTAATACGTTTGTATTTAAAGCTAAAAAAAAATCCAAAAAGGAGGACCATGAAAAAGAGCAAGAGAATAGTGGTAAGTGGCGTTCTGGAAACCATGTCTGGTCACGGAATTTGTTCCTCATCCACTTAGGTTATGTAATATGGCAGATTTGTTTATACAGCTTAAATGGACGCTCTATGTATCAAAACAATTTTCAATTCACAAACTAGTTTTGGTGTATTGATCATGCCCCTGCGGTCTCACTGCTCAATTCTCTGCCATTTAAGAGTTAAAACACTTTGAGTTCTGTTTATGCAGCCCTCCATGAAAAAAGGGTTTCATCCTCAGTCAGATCTTACAGGATAGTGTGTTTACTTTTAAATTTATTATCTCTTGCTCTGTTAATTGAACATTATGAACATGCATAATTGTCCTGTAGGCTCTAGAATCACTTTTCAATGTAGAAGAAGGCTGTGTGAGTCACAGACAAGGTGATTTATGTCCTAAATGGCAGGGAACAGAGCAGTGAGACTGGAGGGAGTGATTTATTTATATTTTTATATATGTGTGTGTATGTATGTGTATGTATATATATATATATATATCTATATCTATATCTCTATCTATATATATATATCTCAGAAAATCCTTGCACTCAGGCTATAGTGTCCTATACTTGCCGGGTGCTCAGCCTGGGACTTTGGTTATCCAAAAAACGAGAGGAATGGCAACACTTACGGATTCAATAAAATATCTTCTTTATTAGCAAAACTAAAACGTGAGATCAAGAAGGATCAACGTTTCATTCCTTTTCAGGACTTTCATCAGGATCAATAAGGTACATACATATAAACTCACTATATATAGGAGATGTAAATTAGAAAATAGAACCACCCCAAGTGCAGTGCATGCCAGTCGGCGTTCCGCCGGAAACTGTGCGCATGTGTGACAAGAACTCCACCCCTAGAATTGACGTGCAGCGTGTGTACGTGGCGACGGCGTGCGTGTTGTCATAGTAATGTGGCATGCCATAACTGGTAACTATGGTTACCTGGAATAACAATAATAAAGTGCCGTGCAAATTAAGAAGATGAGAAATGTCTTCACATTAAAACCCATGCATTTTAATGTGTTTAGCAGAAAACAGGAACTGCCATAAAGAGTGTTACAGAGATGGGTGAGTTTAGTGAAGATGCAATAAAGCATAAAAGCAAACAAATTATAACAATAATTTGGAACAGGGTGTAATTAAGCTAAAATGTTTTTGTTGCTTAGTGTTCCTTTGCGTTTTTAAGTTTTTAAATATTCTTCTTATTTTAATATATCATTGTTTTCCAAGCAAGGTATAGTGAGTCATGCTTAAAACCATTTTTTTTGGTCTTTTAGATTCTTTTGAGTTGGAAAGTGACCATAGCTCAGAGTCAGAGCATCCTCAACACACGAATTCCCCACCTTTAAAGAAGGACTCTTCAGAATCTGCAGCCAGCAGCCCGTCCCTGTCTCCTGGTGACATAGAAGTGACAGGTTTGTACTTTACCCATGTATTTTATCTCTTTTTTTATTTTATCTCTAAATTCTGAGCCTTTACTCACAGCTACTACAGGCCATTTGCTATATACACTGATCAGCCACAACATTAAAACCATTGACAGGTGAAGGGAATAACTTTGATTAAATTGATTATATTGTTACCTGTTCAGGGGTGGGATATATTAGGCAGCAAGTGAATAGTCAGTTCCTTAATTTCATGGATTGGAAGCAGGAAAAACCGGCAAGTTAAAATACCTGAGTGACTTTGACAATGGCCAAATAGTAATAGCAAGATGACTGGGTCAGAGCATCTCCAAAAATGTCAAATCTTGTGGGATGTTTCCGATATGCAGTCGTTAGTACCTGCGAAAAGGGGTGCATGAAGGACAAACGATGAACTGGCATCAGGGTTATGGGCACGTGGGGAGCGGGTCCAAACAAACAGAAGCGCTATCGTTGCTCAAATTGCTAAAAAACATAATGCTGGCCATGACAGAAAAGTGTAAATACACAGTGCTTTGCAGTTTGGTGCTGCGCAGCCACAGACCGGTCAGAGTGCCCATAATGATCCCTATCCAGTGCCGAAAGCTCATTCAATGGAAACGTGAGTGTCAGGTCTGGACCATGGAGCAATGGACGATGGTTGCCTGATCTGATGAATCACGTTTTCTTTTAGATCAGATGGATGGCCAGATGCGTGTGCGTAGTTTAGCTGAGAAAGAGATAGCAGCAAGATGCACTATGGCAAGAAGGCAGGCCGGCGGAGGCAGTTTTATGCTTTGGGAAATGTTTTGCTGGTAAAAACTTGGGCCATGTGGCTTTTACTTTGACATGTATCACGTAATCATAGATTGTTGCAGATCACGTACACCGCTTCATTGCAATGGTGTTCCCTAGAGGCAGAATAATGCGCCCTGACACACTGCAAAAATTGTTCAGGAATGGTTTGAGTAACATGACAAAGAGTTCAAGGTGCTGCTTTGGCTTCCAAATTCCCCAAATCTCAATCTGATTGAGTATCTGTTGGATGCAATCTGATGGAGGCCCCACCTCGCAACTTGGAGGACTTAAAGGATCTGCTGCTAATGTCTTGTGCCAGATACCACTGGACACGTTCAGAGGTCTTGTGAAGTCCATGCCTCCATGCATCAGAAATGTTTTTTTTGCTCAAGGGGGAACTACACAATATTAGGCTGGTGGTTTTAATGTTGTGACTTTTCCGTTTAGATTTAATTACAGTCATCTTTAAATACTGATGCTTTAACTTTGCATAGAGATTCAATATAACTTTGCAAATATATTGGTAAAAATAAACATTGTTCCAGACTGAAAGTATTCTCTAGTTCTTGCTTCCTAGCTCTGATTCTTTGGCTATTTTTCTGGTTAGTTCTGTACAATCCCAGTTTAGTGAATAACCCCAAAGAAATATATCAGTTGGTGAATATAAGAGCAGTTTCTACTCAATTGTTTGTAAAGATGGATTATTATGTGGAATAGTTTATTTATGAAACACACATCCCCAAGCCTGGCAATATCTTTTGATGACTTGCTAGCTTAGCTGCCAGTGTTTGAACATCCTATACGCCTCTAGCAAGTGTGACAAAATGTTTGCTGGAGCACTAGCAAAGGAATAAGGAGCAAGAACGCTGCCATTAAAAATAATAAAAAAAAATAATAATAAAAATCAATCGATATACCCCTAAAGAAAACATGCATTTCAATCTTTTGGGAATATATTAAATATTTGTTTCCAATAACTGCAGAGCTTGTATCTGCATTTACTGCAAGTCTTCCCCTTCTTGTCTGGCACAAATGAAAGACTCGGTACAAAGGATAAGCATTTTCGGCAGTGAGCCCTTACAAAGCCAGATATAACCCTCAAACAATTTTATTACCCCCATACATTTTGTTTGTGTATATCACATAAACCCTGCATTAAGGGGTGGGGAGATGAGGACATATTTAAAATCCATTGTTACTAAAAGGTTCTAAAGGTTACTCGCTGCTACAATCCTGGGAGGGTTAATGGCTCACTCACCAGGGGTGAATTTCAATTCGACAGGGCTAAATTTTGAACACCTGGCAGTGTTACTTTTATTAGTATTTCTTCATTTGTCCTCCCATCCCGCTATATATGAGGACATGTCCCACTAGTGGTAAATTGTGAATAATAAACCAAAAGCTTTAACAGTTGGGGTAGAGAATCCCAGTAAGTGTTGCTGAAGATGATTTGGGCTACTAGGTTGTCATCTTCCAGTTGACATTCGGTTGATTTCACAGACTTGCTGGGAAGTCATTACTGACTCTAGTTTGCCTCTTAATTTCTGTTCAGCACAGGTGAAATCCCAGATGCCAAGAACATCTCGGCAGCTTGCAGCCCAAGGAGACTACTTATCTCTTGGTGTGTTAAAGAAAGGTAGAGACTCCAGCCAGTCAGAAAGTGACGATGAACAGGATGATCATGAGAGAAGAATCTGTTTTGCTCCTGGAACAAAAACATTGAAAGATCAGATGGCAGAGGAGATTTGTAAGTTGAGATACAAAGCACTCTGTAAAAAGTCATCATGATTTTTTTTATTTTTATTTTGTCTAGATGAGGAAAATTAAGCCACAAATAAGTGAATATGCTGCTTATTGGCTTTAAGTAACAGAAGCTAATTTGTTGAATAACAATATTATCTATAAATGTTTTGCTCTCTAAAGCAGAACTGTTGCATTGCATTTTTGATTACTAAAATCAGCTATGATCCTCGTCTGGTATTCACTCCCCCTCACTAGAGGGGAGGGATGTCAAGGAGGACTGGCTGAGGGGAGGACTTTGGGCAGCAGAGCGAAAGGAGGAGCCGTGTCGCCATTGGACATGCTATGAGTTACACCTCTGATGGCGAACAGCTTTAACTCTTTATGTGCAGTGTTTCATACAAAAGCCAAACACCATGATCACTTGAAATCACTGAAGTGGTCATGGTGCCTGGAGTAACCCTTTAAAGAAAAGAAAATCCGATTTAACTTTCATTTTGTTAACATTATTTGTTTAGTTTTTCTGGCCAAGATATACCATGATAATTAATATAACCCTACTATCCAATACACGAAAGCACAGGTAAGTGTATGGTGCAATGGAATGAATATACGTGGGAACACTAATATTTAATTTCTCTACAAAAGCACATCAGCATGTCAAAGTATCGTGGGGAAATTATATTTTGTTGCCCGGAGCATGGAGGTGCTGTGGATTTAAGTATTTTTTTGTTTTACTTACTTTGCTACTCAAAGTCTAGCATCTGGCAATGTGATCTGTATTTTTTTGTTTTTGTCTACATCTGATCTGCTGTGTTTTTCAGCAGCAAGTAGTGACTCAGGCGAAGAGAAGAGCAAGGAAGACGAGGACTTCCAGGATCAATGGGAGGAACAGCAGATAAGGAAAGCAATAAAGTACCCAGAGGTGAGTGCTTAGTAAACATATATTCACCAAAATGTATTCTTGATCAAATATGGCCATATTGGAAATTCAACAAAATAATTTTTCTGCTATCGAACATAAATGCTGTTAATAATATTGTTTTAATTTTAATTTCATTTTTTTAATTAAGTTATCTTTAGTGGAACTCCTGAACAAAATCTATAACTATAAAAAATACTTGTGCTCATAACACTGCCATATTTTTTAAGAAACCTGTAATAGTTAAAGGAACACTATAGTCACCCAGACCACTTCAGCTCAATGAAGTGGTCTGGGTGCCAGGTCCATCTAGGGTTAACCCTGCCTGCTGTAAACATAGCAGTTTCAGAGAAACTGCTATGTTTACATTTGGGGTTAATCCAGCCTCTAGTGGCTGTCTTCCGGACAGCCACTAGAGGCGCATCTGCTCCGCTGGAGGCACATTTTGCCTCCATCACGCAGAGCGTCCATAGGAAAGCATTGAGAAATGCTTTCCTATGGACACTTTGAATGTGCACGCGGCACTTACTGCGCATGCGCATTCGGCTACGCTGACGTTGGCGGGGGAGGAGAGGTCACCAGCGCTGAGGGAGCCCAGCTCTGGATTAAGGTAAGCTACTGAAGGGGTTTAACCACTTCAGGGCCACGGGAGAGGACCCTAAGGGCGAGGGCACCCTCAGGGCACTATAGTGTCAGGAAAACTGTTTTGTTTTCCTGACACTATAGTGATCCTTTAACACAGATGCTCCTTGTTATACATAGGAATGATGTGCAAAATATATTATTTTGTATGATTAGTGATCTGTAGGAGGCAGGACTCTCCTCTGTGTTTTGTTTTTTATTCCAATCATTATAATACCCAGACCATGCTGACTAGATATTATACTATGCTTCTCTGCTACAATGACTCTCTGACTGCACAGGACAGGGGTGACTCCATGCAAGGGACAGTTTGTCCCACCCTGTTAAAATACTACAGTGACTGCCTTTTATGTGACACCAGATGAATTCATTAAAAGCAAATTCCTATGCCGGCCACTGTTGCAAAGTAGTAGTTTTTATGAGCATTTGTAGAAAGCAGATCGCATCATGCCTCTTACAGCATTTCTCAATAGTTGCATAGCTCTGTAATATGCTTGGCCAAATGTGCATATTCAGCTTTATCATATGTCTAATATCTCTTTTGCCTCTATAGATTCTCGACAACGATTTGTTACCTGTGCGAAATACGCAGAACCGTAGAAACATAGAGCCAAGGTTTTCCCTGCCTCCAGTAAATATTGGAGACATCAAAAAGAAGCTTACTGCAAGGTGAGGGTTGCCGTTTGAGTAGGTAATCAATGAGGGGTTATTCAGTGAATTGGGAACTCATGCATACCTGTCAGCCAAAATTTTCTTTAATATTTCTTCCTGTTCTTAGGAAAACCCGCTGTACTTGCAGTGTTATTCATTAAATTAAGAGTGAATTTCAAATTTAAGGTCAAAAGAATTTAAAGTTACATCTGGTCATTAAAGGGACACCGTAGGCACTGTATCTGCTTCATCTCATTAAGCTGGTTATAGTGTCTGGAGTCCTCTGGTACCATCATTTATTTCAGCATTAAACAGTTTTTAAACTTTTAATGTTTTAATGCTAAACAAGAGTCCTTGGCAATCCATCCCCTCTGTGCTGCTTTGGCTAATAAGGAAGTTTTAGCCTGAGCAGCAATAGGCAGCTGTGATTGGCTAAGAGTGTCAGCTGACTGCTTTTAGCCTGTCAGAGTTCCAACTGACGGTATGAATGGGTATGACAACAAGGAAGTGAGCAATCTCTGCCTTAGCTACACATACTGAAGGGGCCGGACTGTGGGTGGCCAGGGACTCTTATTTTGTGGCATACTGCACGAACATGGTGCAACACTGAATGGAGGGACAGTGCCAGGGCACTCCAGGCACTATAACCAATTCAAAGAGATGAAATGCTTATAGTGACTACAGTGTCCCTTTAAACATTGGAAACCATGTGTAATCAACATCCATCAGCAGTTCATAGTTTCCCTTTAAAATACTTTTTAGAATAATGTTGTTGCTGTTCATTTATTTTTATTTTTTTGTTACTTTCAGCATAACTTCTTTAGAAGAGGTCCACCAATCGCATGTGCACGAAAATGAGAAATATACTCGTGACCTTGAGAGTTCGAAGCACTCTCTAGAAATGCTGGGAAAGTCTGTAAGCGAGCAAAGCTACAAGTTTTTCAAGGAGATGAAAACCTATGTAGAAAACTTTGTTGACTGTATGAATGAAAAGGTAAGACAGATAATCTGTTTTCACAATCACAATAAACGAAAATGGTTGGTGTGTATTAAAAACCAGAACTCTTCATTTACAATATTTAAAAGCCAAGTGTAGAAATTATTTGCAAGATTTATATTACAAAATGAAATTCTAGCCCTATATTGAGGATGTGTGTTTTATACATGGATCAATAGATTGGGAAGGAAAATGATGTGACTATAACAACTGATTTGTATTGCCTTGTGCAAATATCATTAAAAGATCAAATGTTCTTGGTCTTTCTATGGAAACAGTCTATAACATATAATAAAAGTATTGCTTTGAAAAGTTCTTTGTTGGACCCACAATTTAAAAAATAGATAGAAAAGGTCTGGTCAAATAAAGCTCTAGCATAGTCTCTCGGGTATAGGCAACCTTCGGCACTCCAGATGTTTTGGACTACACCTCCTATGATGCTTTGTCAGCATTATGGGTGTAAGAGCATTATGGGGGATGCACTCCACATCTGGAGTGCTGAAGGTTGCCTATCCCTGGTCTATGTATAAATTAGTCACATTTTTGCTTCTATTCATTTGTACAAAGCAGTTAGAAAAATATGAATTTATTCGTTAGTTTTTTTTTGTTGGGTTTTTTTTTCCTTTTAAACGTTTTTTCCTAAGTGCGTAAATCTTACATTTTCTTGCTTTCGGCAGCGGAGTCAGCCCAACACACTTTAGGCCCAGCACAAGCTTTCTTGTTAGCGCTGGGCAATATCCAATCAAAGGCTTAATGCAAATAATTCACTATAGCCTTGCACTTCTCTTATCTCACAAGCAAGTGAGATGCACTGCCAATGCTTTATGCCAGCATTAGCAGGCCAGTAATAGAGTTGTGAACAATTCAGTTCTCTGAACATGGAGATTAGGATATCCACTCTCCCCAAAAATATAAAAAGTCCTAATGTAAACACTGATACAAACCCTTAACTGTATATTGGGTCAAAATGGATCTATTTTTTTCCTCAATGTGAGAGGAGGCTGTGTGAGTCTCAGCCAGGGGAGGTGTTGCTAGGACTGCAGAAATGATAATTTAACATCTTAATAGCAGAGAATTGGGCAGTCACACTGCAAGGGAATAATCAAAGCCATTTCATGATAGTGAAGAGGTTTTTCGTCTGATCCTGTAAGTTGGGTTACAATAGCAACTAAACCCCAGGACATAGTTAGAATCTTTAAACAGCTAAGTGCACCTTTTCTGTTTAAATACTTTAGTTATTTTTATTATATAAACCATAATATTTCACCATTTATCCAACCGTGAAAACATTTTCTATTCTAACAGATAATCCAAATTAATAAACTTGAGTGTGAGATGTTTACATTATTTGAGAACAGAGCAAAGGATCTTCTGCATCGCAGGCAAAACGACCTCCGCAATGAGTCTGCTGTCCTCCAGAAGCTCTCTGGTAAGTATATCTAAGAATTCCTTAATATGGGGAACAGGTATATCCATCTACTCTTTTAATGTCATCATTCATGGGAAGAGAAAACAGGGAGTAATGATTCTCTGTGGCAAGGTTCTTCCTCTTATTTGTTAAACGCCTAGTTTTCAGAGATATTTCTTGCACCTCTAATGTATAACTCAACATTCCCCTTTCATATTCACTATACTATCTTTGAGATTAATTCTAGCCAAAAAGATCATGTAATAAATGTATAACAATGAGTTGTGTATTAGGAGAAAATAATCCTATATGCAAGTTTGTGAGACATTTATTAATCACAATCTTCATTGTCATGGTTTATGTCTCTGGCAACACAGATATGTGATCATAACACTGAGGGGTGCTAAAGTACATTGTTTAGGAAAGGGGATTATGGGATGTTTTTATTTTCATGCAAGAGGTGTGTGTATATAGAAGTATGTATATATGTACATTTGGGGTTTGGACGGATAGCACAAGTCAGTTGTGCAGAGTGGTGCCAAAACTGACGTTTTGAGGAGAGGAGGGTGGGGTAAATTTGGACGCTGGCAACTCAGAAGGGAGTGCGGCTCGATGTTTAAAGCTGGATAGACCCACCCACAACTCAAGGCTGCTGCCTTGCATATGTATTTTAAATATCTTCTTTATATCTTGTTTTCCGTTTTACTTCTTACCTGAGGTCTACTGGGTGCCAATTCAGGCCTCAAGAAGATTCAGTCTGGTCTGAGCCAAGACTAGCAGTATAGAGTTTAGCTAATTTACAGCTCAGCAGTTTACAGCTGCATCCTACAGCTTATCTTAGGAGAGATAACAGAAGCCACTCGGAGGAGCTTCCGGGTCTCTCACAACCAGAAGAGAAAGGAGTAGGGCATGCCATCAGGAGGAACCCTAGACACAAATGCAAACTATTAGCCTTATGCAGTGGTTATGGTGCATGGCGTGTTTCTTTTAGCACATTAGCATGTTAAAAATCGATTTTGCCTCTTACATCCGTTTCCTTTTTTATTTAACAGGAAAAAATACAGACATTGAAGATGCAACAAAAGGTGTGCTGGAAGATTCATATTTAAGAAGGTGCCATGTTTTATTTTTTTATTTGGGCAGGGGGAGTACTGTTGACAGGGTGGCACATTTGTGTATCAAATGTGCAGTTTATTTAGGGATCAAGGGGTACAAATAGCACCCTGGTTTTAGTCTAGGCAAATTGTAACCATGTTCTTCTAAATTAGTGCTACAAAATCAACCAGCAATAGCAGAGGGACACCTGATCAGCATCAGCAATTGATTATTATTATGGAGACACACACACACAAAATGTCCACTAGCCATTAGTGAGTAGAATGAAAGTGTGAATGTACTACCCTCCAAGCTTACTGTGTGCTTTATTGTGCCGTATCAACATTACCAACATATATTTCAGTCCATGTCAAGGACTTTTACCGCGTGAAACTCAAGTTTTTATAAAATACACGAAAACAATCAGGACAGAATTTTGGCTTTTTATTCTCCATTAATTTGTCTTTTCACTGTGAGACTTGTATAAACAATAGTGGAAGATAGAGAATTGTAGTGCACTTGTGGACTTTGTATAAACCACTTTTATGACTTTTTACTTTTCTGGTTTGGCTCAGTTGTCTCATTGGTATTTTGTTCTGGCTGAGATAACGACAGATACTATTTCACTGAATTTTCTCACAGACTCAAATCCCTTACAGCCTTTCCAGTCTATTGATTAAAAATAAGTTTGTATCTAACTGCATGTTTTTACTTTATATTTTATAAGTTATTATTAGTTGTTATTTAAATATCGCAAATCTACTAATAATGCATATTTTGTGCAATATTGTCTTTAACTAGATCTATCTGATAAGAAAATCAGATGTATTTTTTTTGTAGAAGGAGTAACACTTAATATTGCTACAGTAATTACAGCTACCATGCATTGAGCATTCTACATTCATTTTTCTTTCTATTAATTTTTGCAATAATACAAACTGAATATAATGCATGCTATGCCACTTTCTTTACAGGAACAAAAGGCGGAAGAAACGTGAGCTCTTGGGGATAAATGATCACTGTGAAGGCATGTCTAGTGATGATGAGATGCCCTCTGAAGAGGAAACTTCTTTCAAAGAAAGTAGAGGTATCTGAAAGGAACACTCCTCTACCCAAATAAAAAAAAATATATATTTATTAACAGATATACCTACAAAGAAAACATACATGCATTTATTAATGTATTTCTGTCATTAGGGGTATTTGTAAAAAACACTTGCATAATCTGCAGATCTCTTGTTTGAAACATCTGAAAGCCCTCCCCTTCTAACCCCACGCAGACATTCTGTGGCTGTCCAATCACAGACTTCCTAAAGCAGCTCAGTGAGAAGTCTTTGCAAGGCAGGTGCTCTGGGCAATTGCTGCCTCTTGAGTTTAGTCCCAATGAGCTAACCAAACCAGGAAGTAGCAGGACTGGTTGACTGCTTAACCCCTTAAGGACTAAACTTCTGGAATAAAAGGGAATCATGACATGTCACACATGTCATGTGTCCTTAAGGGGTTAAAAACCAGGGTTTTTTTTATATATAATTTTTTTTATTGAGAGCTAATTTTTTTTTTTTTTATTAAAAAAAAGAAGACTTTTCACACAACGCATTTCAGCAAGCTAAAGTACTTTAGGTGTTTGAAGTGTTTCTTTGAGAAAAATGGCATCATTGACAATACAGCGCTAAATCTGGTTAACAATTAGTTTCCAAACAGTAACTAGTAGTGTATAGTCATCCAATGGATTCTGCATCACGAGGTACTGAATCGTGAACAAAAAAAACCTATATTGGATGTGATTGTACAGAAATCACACAACTTGCCTCCTACAGAATATTGTAGGTGCAATCAGATTATCCAATGTGTCCAGTTATTTCTCTATACAAATCCCAATACATTTTTTTATATCCTAAACATTGAGCTCAGTACTTGTCTGGCCAGCTGTTCCTGCTGTTATCATCTCACCCATGTGCAGCTGGTGAGTGAATAATAGTTGGAATGGGTTTTGCACTCGCATCACCTGGCCTGACTCAATAAATACGTGCTATCTTCTGTTGCATTACGTCAAACATGAAGAAACTTTTACAGTGACACAATTTGCTGTTTAAATCCTTTCCCACTGTTTTTGATTTATTTTTGAGCACAATCTCTTTCTTTATAATGCAATCTATTTAACATTCCAGTACAAAAAAGTAAATCGTGTATATTTGTTTTTCATTTTACAGCTAGAGTCCTATTCGAGAGTAAAGATTTGTTTGAAGACGTTCATGAAGACTTTCACCGGGTAAAGAATGCCTTGTCCAAATTTCAGGAGTGGAGACAGAGATTTCCAGAGTCCTATTATGATGCTTACATTAGTTTGTGCATCCCCAAACTACTGAACCCACTTATTAGGGTGCATCTTTTAGACTGGAATCCACTAGAGGTAAGAGGCTTGCATGTGCCACCTAAGTGCGTGATCTTAGTGCCAGGAAAACCATTTCTAGAATGTATTTGTCTGAATTTTTTTACTGTTTCAAAAGAAAAAGTTTAATATATAATGTGTCAGTTGGAGGTTGATCCTTTGAGGCTGTTGGAGGTATTATTGGCTGGATTATCTATTTATTGTCACATTTTATGTCAAGCAAATACACACATAATAGGATGGCCAGATACAGCAATAGTGTCACTCTTTTGCTCCCCAGAGCTATTTCTCGTCTAACCTATCATACTGTTCTGTAAGCCAGTGTGTGGCAGAAGGATATAATAGTCTTAGTCTTGTTGTGCTGCTTAGCCTTCATTTACTTTTACATTTCTGGATTTCTCATTATGATAAGTACCAAAAACACAGGGAAACTTTTTAATGCAAACGCTTAAGAATTTATTTTAACCAACTGCGTGCCTCAATCTGGCATTAATATTGTATCCCCTGAGAGAAGCCCAGGACAACACGATCAGGGCACTGGCCTTGCTCCATCACACGTGGACAGAATTGAACAGCTTTCTCCTACTCTCCACAGACGAGGTGAAAGCCTTCGACAGGGTGGGTTGGAACTTCCTATTTGCAGTGCAACAGGCATGCTATGCTGGATCAGAGCCATCTACCCGGTCAGCTCAACTGTGCATTAACGGAGCCCTTACAGAATGATTCCCCATACGTAACAGCACCAGACAGGGATGCCCTCTGTCGCCCCTGCTCTTCGTCCTTGCCCTCGAACCCTTCCTCAATGCGGTCCGACATAATCCTGGCATCGCAGGAGTAACAGTAGGAAAAACAGAACATCGTGTCGCCGCATATGCGGACGAGCTCTTATTCTTTGTAACAGACCCGACCCACTCCCTACCACACATCATGACGGAATTCGATGTCTATAGCGCCTTTTCGAATTTTAAGATCAACTGCTCTAAATCCACAATACTACACACATCCCTGCCGACACAACAGATCAGACAACTCAAATGGACAGACACCTCACTGAAATATCTTGGAATATGGATGACACGGGACCCAACTCAACTATACCAAGCAAACCTCCAGCAGCTACTCTTGAGAGTAGAGAGGGAACTCAGGGAATGGTCTTTGCTGCACATCACTTGGTTCGGCAGAGTGGGGATCATCAGGATGAATCTCCTACCACGGGTCATATACCTTTTTCAGGCCCTACCGATATCAATCCCAGAAGCTTTTTTCACTCACTGCGAACCCTGATCCTGATGTTTGTGTGGCGGAGATCCCGCCAGTGCATTAAGTATGATGTCCTCACACTGCCAAAATCCGAGGGTATGCTAGCGCTACCAGACTTCCACCTCTATTACAAGGCCACACACATACAGAGGGTGGTGGAGTGGTCTAAGAGGGGAGTAATATTGTAAAGTGCTACGGAATATGCTGGCGCTATATAAATACCAGTAATAATAATAATAATTTATAAACTCTGGCAGCAGGTAGAGGCCATACAAATGGGTAGACCAATGTCGCTGCTGCCATGGCTAGAACCACTAATAGGGGCAAGATTAGCATCCCAAAACCCCTTTATAAAATCAACACTTCAAGTCTGGTACACCCAGGCCCCAAAGCTGGAGCACACCTCCTTCCCTTCGCCCCTCTACCCTATAACCTGGCCTTCCCACCGGGCCTGGAAACGAAAGCCCTTCAAAGATTAACTGGGAAGGACTTACCACATATCAGACACATACTACAGGAGGATAGAGTTAAACCCGTAGCACTAATGCTGAACACAGGGAATCCAAATTTTATGCAACAGTTTTTTGTTACAAACAATTGACAGAATTCTCTCTATGCCCCAAAGGCCACTCATGACACATGCCCTTACGTCTCTAGAGGCCATCTGTATGGACGAGGACCCCTAAGAGCACGGGCTCTCTTTCTTGTGCAGACTGCTCATGACACAGAGGAGGCAACCACCTCCTGGTTTCATGGGCAAATGGGAGACTGCCCTGGGGAAACCTTCACCCCTGCGCAGTGGCAAAAGATATGTGTCCTAACGTACCATTGTGCGATCTCAAGCAGGATCCAAGAATCCGCCTATAAACTAATGTCCCTCTGGTACAAAACCCCACAGGTCCTACACACCATCATCCCATCTATTGATGAGTGCTGCTGGAGGTGCGGTAGGGAGGTGGGCACCCTCCTACACCTGTGGTGGAGCTGTGCCCGTATACAACCGTTCTGGAAATAGATCTATAAATTATTTTATTTTTTTAAAAACACTGATGCCCCCTCCCCCTTCAGCCCAGCACCACTGCTGCTCCACCACTCCAAAATCCGGACTTCAGTCTATAAAAAGTCCTTGACAATCAGAATCCTTAATGTAGATATGAGCCTAATCACCCTCTTTTGGAAACAAGAGCGCACCCCACCCCTAACCCTCTGGTTCCAAAGAATACTCCGCTCCATGGAGGACCTCACCTACCAATCAAGTGGCAGATCACAGACATGCTATGACCTGTGAGTCTAATACCTGTTGATCTATCACATTTACATTGTGTCTCTCATATGAGACCCGCGCATCTCACAACATTATTACATGACTTTCTTGCATGAGCAGTTATGAAATGAAAAATTCCAATAAAACGATATTTACAAAAAAAATATTGTATCCGTCTCGGTGTGCAGTACGTTTTTAAATGATATCCTGATGTCCGCTCCATATAAATACTTCTGCATGGTCAAGCTGAGTAGTTGGCTTAAAGAAATTTACAAAAACATACTCCAAAGAGGTAATGCATTTGGTAACCATATAAAATAATGTATAATTTTCCATATCCAGAACATCACTGACCTAGAAAAGTTGGAGTGGTACCATGATTTAGAAGAGTTTTGCTACAGCAGTGAAGATCCTGAAACACACACCGAGGACAGCCCTGATAACAATGTTCTTTCTGCTGTGGTTGAGAAGAGCATTCTACCCAAAGTGTCTGGTGAGATTCAGATATGAATTAAGGTGTCAAATAAACCCAGGTTTTTTTTTTTGTTTTTTTTTCAAAGGTGGACTGTAAATGATTTCTGCAGGAACTGGTGGCATACGCCTGTCCAGTATAAACAGACTTTTAGTGACTGTTTAGCCATTAGAAGTTTAAAGGGATTCTATTCTGCCAGGACAACAAAGCAAATTTCCTGGCACTATTGGTTCTTACAGGGCCCCCCTCCCTCCCACACCCTCTCCCGTGGTGCTGAAGGGGTTAAAACCTTTTTAGTAACTTACCTGAATCCAGCACCGATGTCCCTCGGGGAGACCTAATGCGCATGCTTTCAATGCTTTCCTATGGGGATCCTGGTGATGCTTGAAGTCTTCATGCATAGCGTGAGGATGTTCTGTGTCATTTAGGCGAACAAAAGTCGTCTAAGCAACGGAAGTTCCTCTAGTGGCTGTCTGGTAGATAGCCATTAGAGATGGACTTAACCCTGAGAGGTAATTATTGCAGTTTCTCAGAAACTTAAGGGACACTACATCCAGACCACTTTAATGAGCTGAAGTGGTCTCTGTGCCTATAGTGTCCCTTTAAGTTTTCCCTTACTCCATTGCATCAAACTTTCTTTGAATTTCCCTTTAGGGTATTTATACCTTTTGTAGTTAAAGGAACGCTTGTTAGGAATACAAAGATGTAGTCCTAACACTAACATACTCCTCCGCCACCGCAGCCATCCCCCAAAGATATACAGGGTTAAAAAACACTTTATTCACTTACCCGATTCCAGCGCTGAGTTCCGCTTCCTTCGATATCAGGTGATGGGGGGCTTTCCCCAGGGATTTCCCATGGGGTATTTCTCTGACGCTGGACATCCTCATGCAGAGTGTGAGGTGATCCTGCATCGTTTCACAGCGTCAAACTCAGTAAAACTCCAAGAAGAGCTTCTAGTAGCTGTCTTGTAGACAACCAGTAGAGGCAGTCTTAGTCCTGCAATGTAAACAATGTAGTGTCTCTAAAACTGTGATGTTTTACATTGCAGGACTAAGGGGCACAGGAACACTACACCTAGACCACTTCAATGAGCTGAAGTGGTCTGGGTGCCTGTAGTGTCACTTAAAGGACAAAATAGGTGACAAGGAAGTCAAAAAAGCCACATTAGAGTATACTAATATTAATCACTCCTAGTCTACGGTCTTTACCTCCTGCTTTATCATCCAACATGCTTACTTGTTTCTCATTAGTGTTTAAATCCCACATAATGGATCCTTTTTTTTTTTTGGTTTCAGCATTTCTCACCCCTACCATACTTATAATAATAATATGTGCATTCTGAAGTGCTGGATATATTTTATGTATAAATATAAGGTAGTATAATATATACTATAATAGTAAAATGTTTGTTTATATTGACCGACTGCTCTTCCCCCATTTTAAAGTCTTTACCTTCAAAAGTAATCGCGCTATATTAATGACTATCTAAAAATGACAAGACCCCCGGAGTGACTGTGAGACCTTAATCAGAGTAATCCAGCAGAAACAGTTAAATGTTTCTCCATATGTTTTATGTTTCTGTAAATAATTTCAGGAAGTATTGCTTTACAGAGAGGGTAGTGGACACATGGAATAGCCTTCCAGCTGAAGTGGTAGAGGTTAACACAGTGACAGAGTTTAAGCATGCGTGGAATTGGCATAATATTATCCTAACTATAAGATAAGGCCAGGGCCTAATGAATGAATTCTTATCTGCCATCACATACTATGTTTCTATGTTTGATTGCCATTTTTAAGGTGGTCTACAACATGATAAAACACTTGGTTATATGCAGGGCTTTTAATAACTCTGTGCTGCTGTGCACATTAGGAACACGGTAATACATTGATTACTGACACTGTATTTCTGAGTTTATGTGATTAGAGTTTGTAATAGTGCTTACTGGAAATAATGCATTTTTCTTTCAGAATTTATTGATCACGTGTGGGATCCACTGTCCGCCACACAAACAAGTAATCTGGTTAGATTCTGCAAAACATACGTACTGGAGAGCGAGTCGAAAAAGGCAGTGCAGGTAATGAATTACTAGAGTGAGAAAACTGCATCAAAATAAATATTTTATTTTATGAGTAATCTCGTTAGCTGCAGCTGTTTAACCCCTTAAGGACACTTGACATGTGTGACATGTCATGATTCCCTTTTATTCCAGATGTTTGGTCCTTAAGGGGTTATATTTCCTTTTCATTTTTCACAATTTCTAAAGAATGTTTAGGTTACATTTTCTATATGCACCTTTGATAGTTCTTCTATGGCTGGTCTCCCCCTGGCATAAATGTAAATACTAAAAAGCATGGCTGTCGCATGGAATTCTTGCACAGCAGTAGAAGCAGAAGGTTATTATTGAATCCATACATTAGATGTCAATGCAGATAGCGCTATGCACAGAACACATTTGTTTGCTTACCTGCCATTTGTTTGCTTTGTTTGCTTACCTGCCAGTGAGGTGCGACTAGGGCTGCATTAACAAAGAGATTTAACTGGTAAATGGCAGAGAATTGATCAGTGAGATTGCAGGGACATGTTCTATACACCAAAACTGCCCTATTAAAATAAAGATGTATTAATGCTTAGAGTGTTCCTTTAATTAGAAAAAAAACAGTAAAAGAATTTGGAATAAGGCATTGAGATCTAATGTGTCAATCGGCAATAAAAGACTAGGATAGGGATGTCCCATCATTTTTGTGTATATGAGAACAATTTTCAGTGTGTTGTTTTATATCTACTGACCCTTTTAGTTTGCTATAAGCACTATCCCAATGGTCCCTTTTGGGAACTTTATCTTCTTTAATAGAAATGTTTTTGTTTTACTGTATTTGTAGGAATTGCTAAATTCCCTGGAATCTCGGTTAAAAAAAGCCATCGAAGATGATGTATTCATTCCACTCTATCCCAAAAGGTACAATGTTTGATATATCGGTACATTAAAATGTATATGCACAGTCAATCTAAGTGCATCCGATCATCCTATATTTCCATATATTAATGTATTACACATGCACAGTGCTTTTCAATTATTTTCATTATTTTTCAATCTCATTTAATCTTAGTGCATATGTTTATCCTATGTTTTCACATATTCACGTACCACACATGCATTGTTATGATCTAATTGAAGAAAAAAGGAGGCTGTTTTTCCTTAGAGCCTATTTTATCTGATTGCATTTATTGTTTATGTGCCAATAGCTTATAATGCTATTTTATGTTGTGTATTACTCAAAAGCCTCAATAAAATAATGAATTAAAAAAAAAAAAAATGATATGCACAGTGGTGTAAATCACTATTGAAGATTCAATATTGGTGTGTGTCTAAATCAAAACACTGTACAACCAAAGAGTGCAAACATTTTACTCTTTTACAAAACCATCTTCATTTTACCCTGACACAGTCACAGAAAATAAAATAAATGCCTGATGTGTTCTGGATACCTGGGTATCTTGAGTCTCAATCTTGAATGAGATTTATCTTGCATTTGTGATATCCATTTTGTTTAATTCGTTTTTTTTATTTTTTTATTTTGCTTTCGATTCCATCCTTCCATTAAAATGATTCAGAACATTTGGACGCATTTTGCAAAAACAAAATATTGAATTTTGTTAAAATAAAATTTTTGTAGTGTATTTATTGATATTTGAATATACAAAAGTACTTATTTGTTTCTTTAAAGTGTAACTCCAAACACCATGATCACTTCTGTTTTTGGAAGTGGTTTGTATGTGCTTGAAACTTTGCACATACAGACCATATTTTGTGCCAGGACTAGTTACACCCTGGGCACATGTTACTTAGGAAACCTGGAACTCTGTTCTAGAGTACCTAGTGTCAATGCTTTGCCTCCTTCCGAGCCTGCTTGTGAGTTCTCTCCGTCCTCCCTTCCATGCAATTGTCAGTTTTCTCTCTCTCTCTTTTTTTAATCATTCTCTTCCTTCTCCAGCTCAGAGCACACATTTTATGCATTTTTCCAACAGCTGGCAAAATCTGCAGATTTCTTGTCTGCGGTCTTTGCAAGCCCTTCCCTTCTGCCCAAGTTCATACTTTCTGTGGCCATCCAATCACAGACTTCTATTTTTAGCTCAATGAGAAGGCTTTACAAGGCAGGACCTCTGATCAATTGCCTGCTTCTTCAATTTAGCAGAGTTTAGCTGCGCTAACCAAACCAGGAAGTAATAGCACCGGTTTTCTGACTGACAGCCGGGAAGATGTAACAAGGTTAATTTAAAAAAAAAAATATTTATTGAAATGTGCACTTTTTGTAAAATAAAGAGGAGGACATACTCTTCACACATGAAGCATTTTAGCAAGCTGAAGTACTTCAGGGGTCTAGAAATAGATTTAAAGTGACATGCATCACTTGACAATTATTTTTTTTACAATCAACAAACAAACACGTTTCAATGAATATGCAAATAAAAATAAAGCTGCACATGTGTAAAGCAGTCAGACATTCCTATTGCACTTTGCCCGCATTCCTGGGCATAGATTATTAAACCCCCTGGAGTGGGTGTGGATGTTTTGATTTTTTTTCTTCAGCCTGCAGAGTGCGGCAACAGTGGCTTTTGAGTGATGCATGAGATGCATGTCCTTTAATCATATGATGATTTGTTGAATGTTTAAAGCTTCTAAAAACGTTTATTTTGATTCTGTTTAATAGTATTTTAGAGGACAGAGCCTCTCCACATTCAAAATTCCAAGAAAGGCAGTTCTGGTCAGCTGTGAAGGTACACAAAATACATCTTACCTATGTATAAAAGCCATATAAATACTATAAAACCGATACAGACTGGGATATAACATTGTTGCCTTTTAATGAAACTAAAAAGTTTTATGTTTTATTTTTTTTTATTATTTTTTTCCTTTTCTGTTAAACAAGATACCATATCACTCTAACTTATTGAGGCTAAATGGTATAGGAAATTAGCTCTTTTTTTTATTTTTTTTATTTTATTATAGTCTTTCATTGATTTCCGCTGTTAATTCTTATAAGATATCACAGTAACACATCTTTCTCCACTGACTCATACGTGTAAAGTGACTGACCTAGGAAGAGTTTATCAGCAGATCATACATGTGTTTCTATGTTCAGTCTTGACATAAACATTGTGGAAGTAAACATAGCACTTGGTGTCCCCATCCTTACTGCTCTCAGATGCTGCAAAATGTTCTGTCGTGGGATGGTTTCCTTGAAGAAGAAACCCTGCGAGAGCTGGGACTGGACAAATTGCTGAATCGCTACCTCCTGTTAATCCTTCTGAATTCCTCCCCTGGCAAAGAAATGGTTAATAAGTGCAGCAAGGTAACTGCACACCTTTTTGATTATTGGTCTTTCTAGTAGTTTTTGAAAAGCGTTTTTCCTAATCTATTCATCCACCAGTTAAGCCGAGAATGGATTTAAAACTTTCTAAGGAAATTCATCGAGTTCTAATGCTTTTATTATTTTTTATTTATTTCAGGGTTCTTGCTAATTTGGATTTTCTTTTTTTTCTTTTCATATAATCAAACTATTATTGCAGTGTATCACAGAGCAGTGTAGCAGCGTAAACGACTTGCATATGTTAACGTCTGTTGCAAGTGCTTACAAGAAAAATATCCAACTGCCATTTGACAGTCTTGATCTCACAGGAAAAATAGTCTACCCTTACATAAAATGTGTTGGATGTGGGATTAAGATTATGATTGGTTTCTTTTTTTCCTACCATTTTGCTTTTATGTGTTTTTTTTGTCATCTATTTTAGCTATTTTATTTATTTTTACAATTGTGTGTGTGTATATACATCAATAAGAGGTTTTGTCTCTCTTTGAGATGACGACATTAATTAGCTACAGCCGAGATAATACAGGCTGGTCCCTTTAAATATGGCGGTAACATTACATTGTGTGTTTTAAACATATTTCTTGCAGATTGTTGCCTGTCTGCCGCACAGTTGGTTTAAAGGCCTTGACAGTGGCTCCTCTCTGCCTTGCTTGGCAAATTTCAGCAAGCACATGCTGCAGTGTGCACATACACTGCATTCACTAGATGATCGGTATGTTACACTGCTTTTTTTCACCAGGCTGAGATTATAACTTCTATAGATCCCTAAATGCACAATGTCTCTGTAGATTAATCTTGCACTGAGTAGTCTAAGAAAAACTCCCAGGCTGAATATCCTTTTATTCTGGTTAAAACATGCCACCACAACCAAACTCTGGATAGTGATAATGGGATTTGTAGACTAGGAATATTCTGTACTCCAAGTGGTAATGAAATGACAGCACTCCTGGGGTATAAAGAGTCTGCAGGCCAACCCTGACTAAATTAAAGGATGATGTATGTTTTAGTGCTTTATGGAGGTAATGCATTAATAAATGCAACATTAAACATGATACATTCTACTGCATTTCCTTCTTTGCTGCAAATCCTTTGCTTCTGCAACAAATTTTAGTTCTGGTTCTCTCTGTAGCTTATCAGTTTTATTCATGCAAAGACTGAAAGCTGAAAGAAAGGACAGCCTTTCTTCTATGAGCTTGACAAAGAGCTCCCTCCTTGTTTTTTATTTATTTAATGCATTAAATATGGGTCGTCAGGTCTAGCTTTCTTCTGTAACATATCACAGTAGAGAATGGGCATATTAGAATAGGTAAGGTTGTTTGTAGAAAGCAGGGTTTGTTGTTCACAGTAGTTGCAACAAAAGTCTATGGTATATCTTGAACTACTGCTTTATTGTAATCAGCAGAGATCGAGATAGTGGAAAAAAGTATGTTTTAGCAAATTTAAATTCAAATGTCAAAGTGTATATTAATGTAGCTGATCTGAAAAAATACCCAACTCTGCTTTAGTTACAGCTTGACTTTTCAAACCTAAATTTTGCTATTAGGATATGTTAAAATTCAGTGTTTATTAAGTAACCCTGAGATGTATTTTATTCCTCTCCTCCCCAACTGAATACAGGTAGTAGTAGCACGTTGTAGGTTGCAGGTGGATCACCTCTTTTGCGGTCTCAGTTCTCTATTGGATGGCAAGTTTAGATTCCCTTTCATCAGCTGACACATTTTCATATGTTGTATATATTATCCTTGGAATATTCTACTAATGATGTGTATCATTCCAGGGAGAACTTGCTGGTTCTGGTGTCTCTGCTGAAAAAGATCAAAGCAATGGATAATGTGGAGGCACTTTCCAGTAAATATAACATTGAGGAGCTGAAATGATTTTTTTTTTATAAGAAGCAGTGAACACATCTGATTCCAGATCTCATGTCCACAGTCAGAGCACAGGGGCCTGTACTAAATGCGTGGCTCTCACAACAAAATGGACAGAGATTTTCTATTTTTATAAAGGACATTATGAAGGAATTGGCCGCCTTTTTTTTGTTTGTTTTTTTTCCGCTTAACAGGGCTGTGCTTTGTTAACAACTTACTTCCAAAATGTTAGACCTGTAGAACAGAGATGGAAAATGTTCCCCAACTCAGTTGAATGTATGCCTTTCCCAATTTTATTTCCAGGATATTTAAGTTACAGTTCTTGAAGAAACCACCAAATAATTATATAATTTACATTGTCCATTCCTTGACAGTTACGATTAAATGACAATTATGGACACTTAGTCCGAACCAACTTTTTAAGGTTTTAGAACATTCTTTGTGAATTTGCCATCTGCTTTCAGATTTGTCTTAATTGTAACTACACATGTGTGAAATAAAGATATTTTATTGTACAAACAAAATGGAAAATCTATATTTTGAATACTGAACGTGCGAAATGAACTTTTCACTAGTTTACTTGATTAATTAAAAAACAATAAGAACATTTGATAAAAATGCATGATCGGCTCTTTAGAAATCTGAAAATATCTTAACCCCTTAAGGACCAAACTTCTGGAATAAAAGGGAATTATGACATGTCACACATGTCATGTGTCCTTAAGGGGTTAAACCAAATATGTAATTTGAATGTGATGCTCCAGCTGATTAACAAATTAATTGAAATGTAAGAAAAAGCTTCAATGTGTGTTTAAGTGCAGGATTGGAACTTTGATGTAAATAACTTGGTTTCAAAACTGTTTGCCATCACTGCACTAGGAAATGCTACAAAGCCACAGTGGGGAGAAAGGGAGACAGACAGGATTGACAATTTGTTGAAATTAAAGTTGAAAAATAAACAAACTGACAGAGGAGGATGTGACGTTAACTAACTGGGGGTTGTTTAGAAAAATACTTTTATAGAATGGGAAAATTACTTAATGAAAGTCTTGCAGCTAACAGAGTAAAGGAAAATATTTTGAATTATTATTATTATTTTATTATTTATATAGCGCCATCAGATTCCGTAGCGCTGTACAATGGGCGAATGTAAGGTGATTTTAATAGGGATTTCTAGGGATAGTTTAATCTCTTATACGCAGTGTTTCCAAATAAATGGGATCAGCATGTCTGCATTTTATTATTTTATTCAGGACTCAATTCATGATTTTATGTAAAATAAGGCCCTCCATAGCAAATATACAGCCCCCTCCCACTGATACCTTCATGATTTATACTCACCATTGGAAAGGTAGTTATTGTTTCTGAATTGAAGTTTCAGTGCATGGTAGAGCTAATTAGGCAGACATCAGGTTTTCAGTGCTTTATATTCTTTTTGTTGTAATTATTTAAATGAGATTTGAATACAGATACTCCCCTTTTATTTATAAGGCTATAACCCACAGGGGGTCCCTCACTAGTTAGAAAAATACATTAACATTCGATTAGTAGTTTTAATTGTATCATGGCCACATCACTAGCAAAGGAATATCTCACTTGCATAAAAAAACAAACAACAAAAAGGTGAAACTGGAAAGTTAAAAACCCCATTACATCTCTCTAAGAATATTAACTGTTTTATTACTACAGTTGCTTGTCTGTCTTTTCAGTTCTAATTGAAGCAAGGCCCTAAGTGATAAACAGAAAGAGAAACTAGACTGGGGCAAACCAACTCTCTGTTGTTTGGAATAGAAGTGAAAAACTGCACAAATTTAATCCAAACAATTCTAAAAGGGAGGATTAAAACTTCATTTATATTAATAATGTTTATAAAACTCAATTATAGAGGAAAGTAACCAAGATTATCAGAGTTATTCACAAAAGTGAAAATTTAAAGGGAAATTCTAATTTAAAGGGATTCTCCTGTGCCAGGAAAACATTAGTTTTCCTGGCACTGCAGGACCCTCTAGTGCCCTTCTCCCTCCCACCCCCATCCCAAGTTGCTGAAGGGGTTAAAACCCCTTCAGTGACTTACTGGAGTCCAGCGCCGATGTCTCTCGCGCTGGGTCAGGTTCCACCTTCTCCTCCCCCGCCGACGTCAGCCGGCGGGGGAGACCTAATGCGCATGCTTAAAGAGCTTCCAAAGCTTCTCCTCATATTAATGCTTTTTTGTGCCCCCCTCCAAAGGGGCCACCTATATTGGATGGGTTGGGTGCTCAACCAAAAATGAATCTGATCTGGATCCCAAATATACACAACAAAAATGGGAATTGGGGGCCCACCCGGGATACACGTATAAAAGATATACAAAATACAGATTAAATAAATACATTTTATGGAACAGCGCACACAAGAAATGCAGTTTAAGGTTTGAAGGTGATCACGGAATAGTATACATTCACCCCCTGGTTACAGTATCCAACCCAGTACTTTTATTTTTTTCTGAGTGATAGTCATAGTATACACTTAACAAAAGTGATTGCAAACTACTTTAATCTCCTTCCACTAAGTCCATTAGCTAGTTTCTGTGTGACCTCAAAGTCTTGATCCTAAAAACAGAGAGATGGTAATAACACTGTTACTGTTGCAGCATTTTTGAATGACTTTTTAATCTCCGTTGGTTGACATTTACATCAATTTCTAAAAAACAATTGTTGCAAGAAATTTTTTTTTCAAATCAAAACATGTAGCTACATATTCTGTCCCACCACCTGTCCCCCTTCTTGTAAAACATTCTTGTAAAACATTGGTTAGGAATCTATAAATGGGTATTTTTAACACTGGTAAGGGAATAGCAATATTCCCAATGGAGTTCAATGTCTGATCTCATCGCAAGCGGTTTACGAAAGTCAGAGAGAGGTCTCTCTAAGTAAATAACACGGTTACTGTTGCAGAATTTTTTTTAACAACTTTCTAATCAAAGGAGATCCAATCTCAGTTGGTTTAAATTTACATCAATAGCTCTATAACAATTGTTACAAGAACATTTCTTCAAATCAAAAATTATGTGGCTACATATTCTGCTACCCCCTCACTTCTTGTAAAACATTGGGTAGGAATCTATAAATGGGTATTTTTAACTCTGGCAAGAGATTAGCAATACTCCCAGTGAAGTTCAATGTCTGATCACAGAATTTAGCTCATTGTTCATACTGTCACAATACGAAATGTACTACAGATATCCTATACTGAAAATATCCTTGATTTGTAGAAAACTCAAAAAGTTTGAGTGAAACTTCTGAAATGCATATTTATTTTATATGGTTCTTCTAAAAGGATTGTGTGTTTTTCCCAAATAAAGTGCATTCAATTCAGTTCACTTATGTGATGTGTTAACATTAAATTAAAACAAAGACCTCATGAATATGATATTAGAGTGTTTCTTCACACATTTCATGAAGTGTTAGTATTGTGGGAATCAGTGATAAATTCACCCACCCTAATTTTACTTTTTTTTTTTTTTAAATGTGTGTTGCTTGTAAATATTTAACTTTGTGATATTTCACACATCTGTCCTTAGAAAAAAATAATCCGATTGCAAGAAGCCACATAGGTTTGATAGAAAGTGCAATGAAAACTATACACAGTTGGGCTTTGGGGTAAAACCCAGGGGAAGATGGACAAGGAGGGGATTGTTGGCTGCTGCTTCACAACACAATACTAGACTATATTATATAACTGTATTTTTATTGTATTAGTATTGGACACTAGCTTTTGCAGTATTAGTATAACACTTTTAATATAAAATTAGGAAAGGGACTGGAGTTTTCTAATTTCATCTCAGACTGGGCTATTAATTTGCAGTTGCCCCACAGGTCAAATGTAGCCATCTCTCTCCTGGAAAGACCCATGGTTTACACACAAAGGTAGAAGGTAAAAGTGGTGAAACTATCTATCAATCAGTTATTCACATTTCTAAAATATACATAATTGTATAATGTATGCATGATCCTTTTCTTTCTAATCATTGTGCCAGTATCATAGTTTCGTGTAAACAATAACTTGCCAATTGAAAGGATCAATTAGCATTTTGTGTACTATGGCTAGCCAAGTAAAATCCAATCACTAACCAAAACCACCCCATAAAAACCCATGGACTACTTGCTATAGTTCACTATCATCTCTGGGGGGGCAGATCACAACTTGAAGTTGCCACATTGTATTTATTGGGAAACCTGTTGCATTACTCTCAGTGTGGATGTGTGATTCTGCTACAAGAACTTCCAAGTGAGAGCAGGAACCTGGCAAGAGAACGAGACCAAGAAAATACTTAACCTGATACCTCCGAGACCTCATAACTGGTTGTGAAAAGAAGCAGCATATTATTAAGCAATGCCACTTCATCTTTCTGGGTCCAATCCTCACTGTCTTGGGATCCCTGCTGAAGTACTTTCACTTCCCCATGGCAGTTCTCCAGCAATCAATAACAATGTTTTACATTTCCAAAAAAGCATCAATAATGAGGTCACATTCAAATCTGGATCAACTAGAACACCTCGAGATGTGCCACGATATTGTCCCCAGGTTTCCAATGCTTGGGTTGCATGCAAATCTCTATTGTGCTACGTAGTGTCCTGCTGCCATAGTTCACAGAAAGACCCAGATGTATACCATCCCTGCTCTGTGGGAACATCAGTGAGTGGCCCCCACAATGATCATTCTTCAGGAAGGACCAATCTACGGTGTGTAGGTGAAAGCAGTAAAATAACTGGCCTGGATAACAGTTTTAATTATACAGACCTTAAACTCATGGGGGTTCCAGTCTTCAACAAGACTTGTGCTACTATTACTGACATGGAAAGTTCAGGAGAACCTGCACCACCTCCAGCATCCATGAACACTGAAGGAAACTACTCTAGGAAAGAGTCTTATCCTGAACTCTCTGGAATGAATGGCTCGATGTCCAGTGCAGAGATAGATGGGCTAATCTGGCAAAAACTCAGTGAACTTTTTAGCTTCCACCAGATTGATGAGCTAGCGAGGTGCACCTCAGAAACCGTGTTCTTGAAGAAGAGCAACCAGATGATGGAACTTATTGACAGTCTAACACAGGACTACCAATTGGAGAAGCAGGATGCAGAATGCCGACTTATCCAAGGCATTATCCGTCTAAGCACCCGCAAGGAACGGACAAACAGAAATTGCACTTCAGGAGGAGATAAAGGGAGAGAGCAACAGTTCTCAAGGGAAAATGGTGGCAAGATTCCTGCCAGAAGTATTATAGTCACGCAGGAGTCTGGGTCATCCAGCCAGGGTGATCTAGAGGTGAAGATCTCAGAAGAAACAAGCTTTGACATTATGGCAAGGAACCTGAGGAGATCTGCAGATGCCTGACTATCTATAGGATATCTAACAATTCCCAGTAACGGTGAGCAGTAGCCTGAAACAGACCATGGCATGGTTTCATTTAGGAAACATAATTGAATTTCTTATGGTCTTTCTTGGTCATAGTTTACTTTTTATCCTTTGCAGAAAACTCTATAGTGGTGTCCCATCTTTTGTGCTAGATATACTAAGGGGTGCACACAATCTCTTTAAATGAGGATACATGTAAGAAATAGACTGCTTGAATGTTTGTTACTATGTTACTTTTCAACTTCCTTAATCTGAGGAACATTTAAATTGTTTTCCTGTTCAGATTGTGTGGATGGTTTAAGGTTCTCTTAAACTCTTTAAATGCCAGTTTTATTTTTTTTTCTCTAATTTTAACTTTATTTATGAAAAAAAGAGAACCCACAGATATGATCTCAAATATAATATCAAAGGTAGATGCTTTCTTTATGTCCAAGGCAAGATACATGTTTATGTGATTTTTATATATAGATTGCTTTAGTAATTCTATTAAATGGAAAATGCTCACTCTGATGAAGTCCTATTTTGTCTGTTTGGCTATTATGTGGGGAAAAGGGGGTTCAATTAGAGTGTTTGTCTAAGCACCATAAGCACTTTGCATTGTTTTAAAGTATGTGGTTATTAGCACCCTGAGCACACTCATTTTTGAGAGTAGGTTATAGCTGCAGTGATTTATAAAAAAATGCTGCCACTATAAGGCACTATAAGCCTGAAACAGTAACGGTGTTATTTACTAGAGTGAGAATTCATAGAGAATTCAAAGTGAATTTCATATTTTAAAATAAAACAGCCAAACTGGAATAATCTGTTATGCTTTCTGACTATTCTGGCCTTTAATTTGAATTCTCTATTTAGTAAATAACCCTGACAGTTTTGGGGTGCCAATGTTGATATTAATTCTCCAACTTAGCTATTTGTACAATGCATTCACCAATATATAACATTTTTATAATATATTTAGCAATAAGCCTTCCTAGCTATGCATTTCCTTAGATGTTATATGGACTGGCTTTTAAAGAAAAACTGGCTTTATTTTATATTAATTGCTAAATTAATCAGTGCTTACAAAATATCTCTCTGTTAAGCCAAGTGCTGATTAGACTTGTGAATTTAGTTTCAATCAAATTGTGATTTGTCCAGATTTTGTCCAAATGAAGATGAAAATCCAGATGAAAATTACCAGATTCCAACTGCAATTCTGTAACTTTGGTTCGGATGAAATCTAAACCAAATGCATCCAAGAGGATTCCCATTTGCAAATTTTCATTCACTTGCTTTTTGCAAATTCATTGATTTTGAAGTACTATTTACACTAACAGCCAGCAGACAAATAGTTAGAAACCTTTCGGCAGCATAAGGGTTCAGAGGCGTAACTAGAAACCACTGGGTCCGGGAGTGAAAATTGCCCTGCCCCCACCTGTCCATCCACCCCTCCCCACCCATCCATCCTCCCCCCATATGTCTACCGTCCCCCTCCCAATACGATCCCCCCTCCCACCACACATGCAAACAGATACACATGCAGACACATCATATACAGAAACACACACAGACACACACAGACACATACATGCAGACACATACATACAAACACACATATATACAAATACACATACATACACACAGAGACATGCGTACAGATACAAACAAACATACACACACATACATACAGACACACAGACAGACACACAGACACACATACATACATACAGACAAACACACAGAAAGACGGAAATACACACATACATACACACAGACAGACACACACATAGATACAAACAGACATACATACACACACAGACATGCACACACATACAGAGATTCATACAGACACACACACCTTTCCCTGGGGTTAGTGGCTCAGCCTAATGGCAGTCAGAGTTCCCACTCTGACTCCCTTCTCTACTTCCTCACGTGCGTCTCCCAGTGGTTGCTGGGAGGAAGTGACCAGGGCAGTCACTTCCTCCCAGCATCTGACATCATCAGAGGGGGCCCGGTCACGCTGTTAAAGCGCTGACCGGGCCCCCTGGAAATACATAGTATTGGGTGGCCCTAACAGCATGGGCCACCCGATGGGCCCCTTCAATGCAGCCCCGGTTGTTACACCGCGCGGACCGGGGCCGCATTACTTATCCGGCGGTCGCAGGGGTCCGCAGGGCGGCCAGGCCCCCTGCAGTGACGGGCCCGGTCGCAGATGCGACCCCAGTAGTTCCGCCGCTGTAAGGTTTAATTATGTGGTGACTGGCTAGAACTTGCTAGCCAGCCAGGCTGGCTAGCAAGTTCTAGCCAGTCACCACATAATTAAACCTTACAGCGGCGGAACTACTGGGGTCGCATCTGCGACCGGGCCCGTCACTGCAGGGGGCCTGGCCGCCCTGCGGACCCCTGCGACCGCCGGATAAGTACAAGTAAAAAAAAAAAAATAACAATAAATAAAAAACCTATGTGGGTCCATATTACAATAATGGAGGTATTGTGCCTTCATTTGCCACCTACATCTGGCAGGTGAGGCATATCTACTAATTATTTAAAAGGAGTGAGTGGGTAGCCATTGCTGCCACATGTACCCATTCTCTGTACACACTGTGCCATCCTCACACATATAACACTATGATATACTGACATTGCACACAGAGACCTACATGTACAGTAATATGCTACACACTCTAACACTCGCTGGTGTGGGCGGAACAGTTTGTGGAAGGGTGACATTTTGGGGGAGTTGGTGTGGGGGAGTGTAACAGTGTGGGGGCAGTGTGCTAAATTACTATAATGGAGGTAGTGTTCCTCCATATGCCCACACCTACCTTTCTACCATCCGGCAGGTGGGGCATATTGACTAAATATTAAAAAATAGCGACTTGCTGTCCACTCGCTAGAATAGGCCCCATGCCATGGTGGCGGGGCCTCCGAAATAACGTGGGGTGGGGGGATGTCATATGTCATATTGCCATTATGTGGGATTATACTTTACATTTTAAGAAACGGTAATCTAGTTTCCCATCTCCTGGCCCTCACCCATGCCAACAAGTGGGGGGCCAAGTTGTAAAATAGTGGAGGGCCTTGTGTCCCATCCCCCGGTCCCCAACCATGTCTGTGAGTGGGGCCCTAATATTAACAATAGGGGGGTGTCTTGGGATTTGACTGTTAGAGTGCTCGTATTGGCTGGTTTACGAGCCAACTAATCAGAGTGCTCTTGGTCATATTGCAAACCATGGGACATTTTCGGATTCGGAGTTCTGTATATGCCGCAAAAAAAATATGCCGATAAATATTGCTTTTATTCACAGATTAAGTGAGAAGTAACCAATAGAGGGAAACAAAGAGGGGCAGTAAAAAAGTTTATTTTTTAGATTTATATTTTATATACTTAATATAAATATGTGTTTACTGCGCCTCCTCTTTTTCTCTCTTTTGGTTGCTTCTTCTCACTTGATCTGTGAACTAAATAGCAGGAAAACGCGTCTTTCAGTACAAAATATATATGCACAACACTGATCTACTGCAGTAGAATGGCCAATTTTTGTGCCATTTTGGTATCTGAATTCTTCTTTTTCTTGGATGGAATTTATCTGAAAAGAAACCCCAGATGGAAGAATCCTGAGTTGCATGAAACAAATTTCGTTTTTGGACGATTTGAGTTGAACGGATCAATTTGTTTTCGCCATGCATTACGAATTCACTGCCAGGGAAATCAGAGTCATCTTTAGTCAAGTAAGTGTTCCTTGTGACCAAAGATGTCTTAAATGGCAGTGCTCTAAGAGAGAATGTCACAGGAGTTGACTGTTTTCCTAAAGGCTCTAAGCTTTCATATAAAATTTCATAGGCTCCTTTGCAGAGTATTTAGCTAGAATTATAAAAGTAGAAATAAGAGTCAATTTGCATTAGCACAGCAAACTGTTTAGGTGTAGGTGTATATTTCATGTATTTGATAATATTTAGTACCTGTTCTGTCCCAAAACATTAAACAAGCCACAGGCGGAACTACAGGCTGTTCAGTTGGTGTGACTGCACTAGGGTCCACAGCTTGAGGGAGTCATCAGATGCCCCTCTCACCTAGGTCCACTCAAAGGGCACCTCTGACTGGGGCCTGGACCAGCCCCCCGCAGCCCTTTTTTAGTGAATTGGACGAGGTCCCCTTCTTACACAGGTCACTTCCTTCCACCTTGCAGAGAGCCACTTGGGGTAGAAGATGATGAGGCACAGAGAAGAGGGACTGAGAAGTTTGAAGCCTCAGACTCCCATCAGCCACAGCCATGTTAAATTCTCTCTGAATTTATTTTGTTTTGAATTTTCACTTTACTGAATAACTCTGTACAACTTAACGTACATTCTCCAATTTGTCCACTAGGTGTCCACCTGCACCCAAAGTGTGTATATCATAAAAAAAAGAGTAGAATTAAAACAAATTATCGTAGGAAGATAAACATTGTTATAACTGATATAATTCAAATAGCTATATGTTTGTTATGAGTATTATGTGTGCATCACTAAATTTTGTATGTAGAGTGATATTTTTCCAATATTTCCTATTTTCCCAATGTCTCTCCGTGCTAATGTACATTTTTCTCTAGGATTCCCATATTTCTACATTCATGAAACTTTTACAACAGCTCTGCCATCCCATCACGTGAATGTGTAACCTGTCCTGGTTCTCACCAACAGGGTTTGTCTTTTAGTTAGCAGTTCTAGGTCATATCAGAGGTTTAATCCATGTTAGAATTAGTATCATGTTTCTTTGTTACACAATGCTAATGTTCACTAAACACCTAGATCTATTCTAAGCCCTCATTATCAGCTTATTGTCTGTATTTGGGGCTACCAGATCCACCTTTTTTTTTGCCAGACACATGTCACTTCTGGATGCTGTTGGCCAGAACATGACAAGTGCTGCCCTTATGTATGCAGCATGTGTCTAGGTGGGAAATCCATCTGTTAAAGGACCACTCTAGGCACCCAGACCACTTCAGCTTAATGAAGTG